CTTATCCACCTGGAATGCCTCGCAAACAAGAAAAGAAAGGGGGAGATGAAGGGAAGTTTTCTTTCTGCAGTTCTCTCACTGTGAAGTTCTCTTTCTGCAGTTCTCTTACTGCACATAACTGTGGCATTATGGGAAGTCTTACTATGAAATCTTTCTATGCTTACTATGAGCACTATTGCTTCTTTTCTCTCTTACATTCTGGGAAGTTTTTGCCTCTGCACATAAGTCTGAGAATGTTCTGAACAGTTCCCATTGAGTTCATGAAACAGTGTATCCTGACCTGTTCTTAATGCTTTGCTGACCACATTTACGGAACGTGATTGTTGTATTCCTTCATGTTATGTTCTCTCAATATTAATCTTAGTTACAATTTAATTAGGAGGATTCATGCCTGTCTAGTTCCAGCTCCGCTCCCAGTCTTTTGAACTATCACTGATTAATGTAAAATGTAATGCCCGCCTTGTACCTATGTTAACCAATCAGCAACAAGATGCTTTGTGTTTGTATCAGCCAATCAGCCACAAGCACACCTGTGGCAATGTTTGTAATATTCAATAAAAGAGAGTCCCCGGGACTTGCCCCGGGCAGACGCCTCTCCTTTGACACCCACCATTCGTCTGTCGTGATTTCAACCCAACACCAATTAAATTCACGACTGTAGGAAACCTTAGCCTTAAATTAACTCCCTTTGCATAGGAACCAATTAAAGTAAGGAATTGACCGCAGAAAAACCTAACCCTCAGCCACAAAAAATCAATTAAATCCCTCCTGATCACGACTAAATTCCTAGCACTTTTGTAACTCCACAGAGAAAGAGCCCTTATAACAGCCCCCCTGAGCAGCCGTGTGGCAAGCAAGCACCCCCCCACTGGGACAGCAGTTGAACCAAAAATTGCGCTTGCCAGAACCTAATTAAGTCAAGTGCCCTATGCTGAAACTCCGCCCTTGTCCTTATGTTCTTATAATTAAAGCGCAATGAGAAATTGAAGCCGATAAGCTAGGGGTGGAGTCTATTAGCCTCTCCCAAGATGGTGCCGATAATCCCCGTAGACGAGGAGCCACGTGGTTTGCCTACAATGGCGACGCTGCGTCGTGCCACCCCGGCAAGTGAAAAATTAATATAACAGCTCGAATCGGTCAGCGGTAGCCCTAACGCGCCGCTGCCCCTTTTGTCCTCCGTTCGGCTTTTCGTGAGGGAATTTAGCCCCAAAGCCCAAAGAACGCTGCGCAAGACAAACCTGAGGCGGGGAATTGCCACACTTAAAATGGCCGCCTTGATCAACCCCCAACACACACGTGGGGCACCCACGTGGGCCTACAGCGAGCGACGCTGTGCCGTGTAACCTAGGCAACCGGGAGAGGGAATTCCCTCAATAACCGAAGAACACCCGTACGCGCCGCTTAATAAAAATTAAACCAGTTTACAAGAAAGGGGGACAGTCCCGCAGCCCGTTAAACAATTAACCCAATCGGGCCGCCCGAAACAAATCCACCCCCGAGCAGTGCTCCCCAATACGTTACCACCTCAAACAGAGGGTGCTTAGCCGCCCAGGAAGCGGCAGGCAGGCGCCCGGGGAAGGGAAGGTGATGCCGAGATAAAGCACCTCGAGCGCCGTTTCCACGCCGATGTCGTTGCACGCTCTGAATACGCTTCCGCCAGCGGCAACAGGGAAAAAGCAGCGAAAACAACCCTAAAAATCAAAACCTTCCAGCGATTTCAGCTCTGAACACGGGGGAAAAAAAATATCTGGCAAGAGCCTGGTCGCCACGAGGCCAGGAGCCCGTTGGCTGGTGGCCGCAATCTGCCGGTCGGAGCCGAAAAAGAGAGCTCGCGGAGGCAAAAAGAGAGCTCACTAGCGATCCGAAGGAGATCCAAATGAAAGTGACCCGAAGCAACCCAAGCCCAGCCAGAACCCTGCGCGTGATTTCAGCTCTTTCAAAGGCGTCTGGCAGCGGCTTCTTGGGGTGGGGTGTCCCTCCCCTGTAGTAGGACTTGGAATCCAGGAGAAAACTCTTGGAATAGCCTTGCCAGGTGCTCAGGGAGGGACTCACCTGTCCCCATGTCCTTCCCTTTGGAGATGTGCTGCAAACTCTGTTGGAATGTGACATCAAGCTTTATTTACATCGGAAAATAACAAAGAAACATGGTGTAGTGAAGTTAGTACATTTCAAGAAGCTGTTCCTTGGTCAAGCAAGAATAAGGCCTTGTGGGCAATCAGCAAGCCACAAGAATTATGGGAATTAGGTCGTGTTGCTTTAAGCCACAGACCAGCAGGCTCCAAGGGTGTGAAAGGTTTATTATGGGAAAGGAATTCTCTGGGTAATGTGAAGGCTTGACACCTGTGATGGAAGTTATGCACATTCAAGCGATGATGTGGAGGTGCATCTGCATAAGCTCCACGGAAGGGAGGAAACACCTTTGATCTAGGCTCTGGAGCCTTAATTGGCCCAGCTGTCACAAGTTAAAATTATTAGCCCACAAGCTGGTCATTGGAGAATTTGAATGTAGCCAAGGATTGTGATTGGACCTGGGGGTTCTGGTTCCCCGTGCAAATTGGGAATAAAAGATCTTGAGAATGGCTGGAAAGGCGCCCTCTGCAATCCGCAAATCTGCCCGGCTGCTAACGTTCCACCTGGCAGCCGTCCTTTATTCTTTTGTGATGAAGATTTTCTAAGACCTCTGAATGCGGATCACTGAAGGACTCTGAACTATCCTATCTTTGTCTTAGTGTGTAGAAGTGAGTATTAGTCAGTGATACTCTGCAACGTTATTATTTTTTCTTGCTTGTAATTCTACAAAAGATGTGCCTGCTTTTTAGCATGTTTCTTTATGCTTTTAAAAATAAATTTTAAGAAAGAAACTTTCTCTTGTATTGTGTGCCTGTCCGAGGGAATAGCAAATTCCAACGCCTAAACTTCTTGGTTGCGCTCTACCTAAGAATTTCTGCCTGCAAGCTTATGGAAGCAACTTGTAGTTTGGGGTTAACCGGTCACAAAGGAGCACAGCCGTCTCCCTTGGGCTGTGGCTTCAGGTAACCCTGGGATGAGGGAGTGGTGGCAGCCTTACCAGTTCTGTTTTGTCCTGATTCTGAAAAAGTAAAGTGTCTGCTCGCCCTGCTCCTGACACCTGGTCTGGCCAGAGAGCAAAGACAGGTGAGGGAGGGGCAAATGTTTGGGGACCCGTTTACCACACATGGCGTGAGCTGTCTTCCACAGCCGTCTCCTCCTCGGTCAGAGTAAAAGAGAAGAAAGGATGGAAGTGATTTACAGACTGACTTCCATTCTTACACAGACAGTACAGAAGGTGTAAACCTGGATATCATGTTACACTAGCAATGGGAGAATGAAATACTGACAGTTTGGCCCCCAATTTGGTCCAAGACCAAAGCTGGCATCCCTCATGGTCCAGGAGTGCCAGGGACTCCGTGGTGGGGGCAGTGGGGGCCGCTTTGGCCCAGATTGGCCCCTGACTCCGAGACGCTCTTTCCTCCCACAGGACCTCCAATGTTACGCCTTTGGGAAAGTGGGAAGGAACAGAAAGTAGCAGCCAACAGCATCTCTTCTCTGCTGGCCTTTGCCCGAAGGTCCCCCCATGTCAGAGCAAGTAGCTTTCCCCCATGGATTCAGTCCTTTCATCACTTCCATCTCCCCAAGAGACTCCCAAGGCTGCTCATCCTCTGCAGTTGATAACAGACCTAACTGAAAAGAACGGCTTCCTCTTCTGGTGACACCAGAGAATTCTAGAAGACATTCACCCTTTCCATAGCATTATGGATGCACGATTCCCACAGACAAGTTTCTTGGCAAGACAAGGGCCTTTCCTGGCCATAGAGTGTCCTCCTCAGCATTCCCAACGAAGGAGCTGGGTTGCAAGAGCTGCAGCTAATGGGGGGGCTGTCCTCCCCCCTCCCATCTCACCTGGCTGCTAGGTAGGAAAGCAAGACCCAGAGAGAGTTGTGGAAACCCCAAAACCAGCTTGCTCTGTGCTGGAGCCAAAGCTGCGACTAACAGAGAAGCAAGATCTGTTTGGGTGTTGATGCTGTGAGCCCCTCCGTCCTACACTCCGGTTGTGTATGTGAGTAAATAAAACTATATCATAAAGACACCCCAGTCTCCGCTGATTTTTGTTCCAAGGAAACTGAATCTGGAGAAGCGCCTGGGACCCCTGGAATCTCAAACCTCAAGAGACTGGGGTAGTTTGCAAATACACACACACACACACACACACACACACACACACACTAATTTGTGCCTGTGCTCCTAATAGATAACTAAGTGTGAAGAGCATGTCATGTGCTTTAGCAACAGCCCTCCTGTAAATAAGGAAATGCAACCCCCATTGCTGGTTGACTCAAGAAAGCAACAAGGGAATCTGCTCTGGTGTCCCATGAGGTCTGTGCGGCCCTTAAGTAAGAGGAGCCATTGCCTTTCTTTCTTTAAAAATATAACTTAAAGAAATTTTATCATAATCAAACATTCAAATTACATTTTACAATTTTAATTAACACCCCGCCCCCATGCGACTTCCCCCACTTCCCTTCCTGGTTTAGAACACCTGTTTCTTTTGCTTATAATTTTGTATTCCTTATATATTAAAATGAAGGTTGTAACATTTGTCTCTTCCTTCTCATTTTTACCTCATAATTGAATTTTCTGTTTGTATTTGTCCACTGTAATTGTATTACTCAAATCCTGCCAGTGAGTTCATTTCTATGCATTGTTTCTCTATATACATCTTAAAAGGTTCCCCATCTTTTAAAAAGTCAGTATTGTCCTTATCTTTAAGTCTCTCAGCTTCGCCATTTCAGCGTATTCCACCAACTTTTCTTGCCAGTGTTCTTTTGCTGGTATTTCATCGCCTTTCCATCTTTGAGCTAATAAAAACGCTTCTGGTCTTTTAACAAAGGTTATCTTAAACATTTTTTTCATTTCATTATAGATCATCTTCCAATAGTTGGATCCAGGTGGGGGGGTTGTCATGGTGACAAGGACGGGGGGGGGGGGGGAGCCACAGACTGGCAGGCGACCATTTTGGGTTAGTAGTGAGGCGAGTGGAGGAGAGAGCAGTTGGTGGCAGTTGACGGAGGACAAGGCGAGGCAGTCAGTGGATTCTTATTTTCTCAGTTTCTTATTTCATTTATTACTTGTTTTTCTCTTCTTGAAGATGTGCCACAGGCTTTCTTCATCCAGCAATGGTGAGTATTGGAGGAAACAAGAGTAGGGAGAGGATCCCTCAGACCTGCTCCCCGCTGCCAGGACTCTCACTTGTGAGGAACTGGCAGCCTGACTTGCTGGAGCCGGAGCAAGATCTCTTGCTCCAGGTGATGCAGAGCTGCCAGGCAGCTGCCCTGAGAGGCCTCCACGCCCTTCAGGTGTCCAAGCACTGGACAGCAGAGGCCGTTCTGGGGAGGGACCCCCATGGGGAGGTGGGGGAGGGAGGGGCTTTGGGGAAGGGGTTGTCCGTCTGCCGGAGAGAAGGACCCTCCTGGCTTACGTTCACGTATCCTGTTTGAACGGGGAATCATCTGAGGGACTTCCTGTGAAAATCTGCGTCAGGAATGCGGTTCCTACAATGGAGGCATGTGCAACATGGCTATACTATGGAACTGTAGTAGGCTCCAATTTGGACTTTATGAACATATGTGGAACAGAAACTAGCAGACACTTGGTCTTTATGAATGAACTGATTTATTGGGACTTCCGTCTATATTATTGCACTTTATGTGTTGTTTATGTGCAAGATAAACATTTGATGTTGTGATAAGAATATATAGAAGAGTATTGTTTATGTGAATGAACAGCCGGTTACGTCTTGTGTGTTTGTCCATTCCAGGAACAGCATTCCTGACCCAGATGTTCACAGGAAGTCCCTAAGATGATTCCCTAAGAATATATAGAAGAGTATTGTTTATGTGAATCCACAGCCGGTTACGTCTTGTGTTTGTCGAATGTATTTCATGTAATAACAAGATGCTGTTTTGCAAATTCCTAGAATGGAGGCATGTGCAACAGGTCAATCGCGATCTACTGGTCGATCCACAACTCTGGTCAATGCTCCCTGAGAAAAGCTCAACAACTCTGGCCAAAGACAATGGGTAGATGACTGGCAGGTTTTTATTACTGGGAGTAGATCTCAGCATCTTGGAAGTTGGACGTCCCTGCTACAATGCATAGGTAAAGGTAAAGGGACCCCTGACCATTAGGTCCAGTCCTGGACGACTCTGGGGTTGCGGCACTCATCTCGCTTTATTGGCCGAGGGAGCCGGCGTACAGCTTCCGGGTCATGTTGCCAGCATGACTAAGCCGCTTCTGGCGAACCAGAGCAGCGCACGGAAACGGAAGGCGAAGGGGTAGATTTAAGAGACCAAATTCCCAAGGGCATAAAACCTTTTCAGTCAGTTTAAAATCCACTTTCCCAGTTTGATGTCCTAAGACATATACCTCATTCAGCCCACATTTTACCAGCTTCCTCACATAAATCTCACAGAGGACTCTGTTAAAAGCCTTACTGAAATCGAGGTGCACTATTTCCACAGCAGTTCCCTGATCAACAAAGTTTGTAACTCCATCCGAAAAAAGAAAAGAAGAAAAGGAGAGATTTCTCTGGCTTGACTTGTTTTTGAGAAAGCCATGCTTTCATCCTGCATGTTGTAAAATCTTCAGATGAAGGGCAAATAAATTTAAAAAAGAATAAATGAGGATATTGACATGTGCAAAGCAAGGCGATTTATGTCTTCATTTAATTTGGAAACCACCCGACCCAGTGGTGCCGACTTGAATAAAATATTGGTGGAGGGCCAGGTAAGGCCCGCCTTGCGCTATCAATCACATGATGCATGCACACCATTTGAATGGCAATGCCTATAATGGCAGCAACTTTTTAAAAAAGTAATATTTTGAGCCCGTAGTTCAATTTCCCAGCAGCTCCCCTTGCCCCGCAGAACACTTCTAGCATTCCATCTCCTCTACCTGTGGCATTCTTCAGCAGTGGGGAAAGTGACCTCTTCACAACGGATTTCCATTTGGTATGGCCCTTTCCAGATTTTTCCCTGCCCCTTGTGTTTGTCTTTCATTTGTTTTCTCATATGTGTGTTGCCAGTAGAAGCCACAATTCTGTGGGTACTCTAGGTGGTGCAGAAAGCACCTAGAACCTCCCTAGAGGTTGAAGTGCCGATCAAACTTCAGTCTTGTGCTCTATTAATTCCAATTGGCAGTACTGGGGGTGGTTCAGATTCTGGGGCAGTGCTTTTGGCCAGCAGAGGGTGTCACAAGGCCAGCCTACTTTCCCTTTAAAGCAAACTTGGGTGTCCAGCTGGTTTTGGACTACAACTCCCATCATCCCTCGCTAGAACCAATGGGGAGGGATGATGGAAACTGTAGTCCGGGAGCTGCTGGGGACCCAAGTTTGGGAAAGCCTGCTTCAAAGCAACTTTTCCATCTTGCCCGCAAAGATGGGACCTGTCCATGTTTGTATCTTCTTGTATTTTGTTTTCCTCATGACCTTTGTGCGTTTATTTTTAAGAGGGCAAATTGAAAGAGAAATTGTATGGCAAGTTGCAGAAGAATAAAAGGTTGTGTTTGAAAAAACACACCAAAAACTGGGGGTGGCATCCTTAAATATTTTATTGGGGGTGGGGCAAAGACCTCTAGGCCTTTAAGAGTTGGCGCCTATTCCCTACACCCACAGGTCTCAGGATGGTTCCAACATAAAAAAACAAGAAACAAAAAAACAACCACATATTAAAAGGGCATTAGATGTCAATCAGCCAAAAGCCTGGTTAAAAAGGTGCGTCTGCCTGGTTCCTAAGGCTGTATAATGGTTTTTCCGGCCATTGTATGGATTCTTTGATGGGAAGTAAGATTGGCACTGTGACTGAAGCTCTTTCCACATTCTACACACTGATAGGGTTTCTCCCTGTATGAATTCTTTTATGGGAAATGAGAGAGGAACTATCTGTGAAGCTCTTTCCACATTCCACACACTGATAGGGTTTCTCCCCTGTATGAATTCTTTGATGGGAAGTGAGATGGGAGCTCTGACTGAAGCTCTTTCCACATTCCAAACACTGATACGGTTTCTCCCCTGTATGGATTCTTTGATGGGAAGTGAGATTGGAGCTCTTCCTGAAGCTCTTTCCACATTCAACGCACTGATAGGGTTTCTCCCCTGTATGAATTGTGTGATGGGAAGTGAGAGAGGAGCTACATGTGAAGGTCTTTCCACATTCCACACACTGATAGGGTTTTTCCCCTGTATGAATTATTTGATGGGAAGTGAGAGAGGAGCTATTTCTGAAGCTTTTTCCACATTCCATGCACTGATAGGGTTTTTCCCCTGTATGAATTCTTTGATGGGAAGTAAGGGAGGAGCTCTTCCTGAAGTTCTTTCCACATTCCACGCACTGATAGGGTTTCTCCCCTGTATGAATTGTTTGATGGAAAGTGAGACTGTGGCTGTGAGTGAAGTTCTTTCCACATTCCACGCACTGATAGGGTTTCTCCCCTGTATGAATTCTTTGATGGGAAGTGAGATTGGAGCTCTGACTGAAGCTCTTTCCACATTCCACACACTGATAGGGTTTCTCCCCTGTATGAATTCTTTGATGGGAAGTGAGAGAGGAGCTACATGTGAAGGTCTTTCCACATTCCACACACTGATAGGGTTTCTCCAGTGTATGAATTCTCTGATGCTTAGTGAGATTGGAACTCTTCCTGAAGTTCTTTCCACATTCCGCGCACTGATAGGGTTTCTCCCCTGTATGAATTCTTTGATGGAAAGTGAGAGAGGAGCTCTGACTGAAGCTCTTTCCACATTCCACACACTGATAGGGTTTCTCCCTGTATGAATTCTTTGATGGAAAGTGAGAGAGGAGCTCTGACTGAAGCTATATCCACATTCCACAAACTGATAGGGTTTCTCCCTGCATGAATTCTTTTATGGGAAATGAGAGAGGAACTATCTGTGAAGCACTTTCCACATTCCACACACTGATACGGTTTCTGCCTGTATGAATTCTTTGATGGGAAGTGAGATGGGAGCTCTGACGGAAGCTCTTTCCACATTCCAAACACTGATACGGTTTCTCCCCTGTATGGATTCTCTGATGCTTAGTGAGATTGGAACTCTTCCTGAAGTTCTTTCCACATTCTGCGCACTGATAGGGTTTCTCCCTGTATGAATTGTTTGATGGAAAGTGAGACTGTGGCTGTGAGTGAAGCTCTTTCCACATTCCACACACTGATAGGGTTTTTCCCCTGTATGAATTCTTTGATGGGAAGTGAGATGGGAGCTCTTCCTGAAGCTTTTTCCACATTCCATGCACTGATAGAGTTTCTCCCCTGTATGAATTCTTTGATGGGAAGTGAGATTGGAGCTCTGACTGAAGCTCTTTCCACATTCCACACACTGATAGGGTTTCTCCCCTGTATGAATTCTTTGATGGGAAGTGAGAGAGGAGCTACATGTGAAGGTCTTTCCACATTCCACACACTGATAGGGTTTCTCCAGTGTATGAATTCTCTGATGCTTAGTGAGATTGGAACTCTTCCTGAAGTTCTTTCCACATTCCGCGCACTGATAGGGTTTCTCCCCTGTATGAATTGTTTGATGGAAAGTGAGACTGTGGCTGTGAGTGAAGCTCTTTCCACATTCCACACACTGATAGGGTTTTTCCCCTGTATGAATTCTTTGATGGGAAGTGAGATGGGAGCTCTTCCTGAAGCTTTTTCCACATTCCACGCACTGATAGGGTTTCTCCCCTGTATGAATTCTTTGATGGGAAGTGAGATTGGAGCTCTGACTGAAGCTCTTTCCACATTCCACACACTGATAGGGTTTCGTCCCTGTATGAATTGTTTGATGGGAAGTGAGAGAGGAGCTACATGTGAAGGTCTTTCCACATTCCACACACTGATAGGGTTTCTCCAGTGTATGAATTCTCTGATGCTTAGTGAGATTGGAACTCTTCCTGAAGTTCTTTCCACATTCCGCGCACTGATAGGGTTTCTCCCCTGTATGAATTCTTTGATGGAAAGTGAGAGAGGAGCTCTGACTGAAGCTCTTTCCACATTCCACACACTGATAGGGTTTCTCCCTTGTATGAATTCTTTGATGGAAAGTGAGAGAGGAGCTCTGACTGAAGCTCTTTCCACATTCCACACACTGATAGGGTTTCTCCCCTGCATGAATTCTTTTATGGGAAATGAGAGAGGAACTATCTGTGAAGCACTTTCCACATTCCACACACTGATAGGGTTTCTCCCCTGTATGAATTCTTTGATGGGAAGTGAGATGGGAGCTCTGACGGAAGCTCTTTCCACATTCCAAACACTGATACGGTTTCTCCCCTGTATGGATTCTCTGATGCTTAGTGAGATTGGAACTCTTCCTGAAGTTCTTTCCACATTCCGCGCACTGATAGGGTTTCTCCCCTGTATGAATTGTTTGATGGAAAGTGAGACTGTGGCTGTGAGTGAAGCTCTTTCCACATTCCACACACTGATAGGGTTTTTCCCCTGTATGAATTCTTTGATGGGAAGTGAGATGGGAGCTCTTCCTGAAGCTTTTTCCACATTCCATGCACTGATAGAGTTTCTTTCCAATGAGATTTTGTTGATGGGAAGTGGAATGGGAGCTCTGACTGCAGCTTTCTCCACACTCCAAATTTTTACGTGGCTTCTCCTCCCTGGGGATTTTATCGTGGTCACCTTTGCTCTCAATTTCCAATTCATCAGAATCTGCAATGGAGACAAAAAGGGATTAGAGCCTCAGGAACAAATGGAGAAGAAATGAAACGAGTTGGGTCTGTGTTCATTACCTGTGTTGTTTGTCATTTTACCAACATATTTATTATTAGATTCTGAAGAGTTGTTGAATGTTGTTTTGTCTGATATATAGTAGTGGTCAAAATTGTGGAAGGTTGAAGCTGACACTGAAGATGGCCTGGGAAGTTTACACCAGCCCAATCGTGGTAGAAAAAGGAATATTTTGAAGAAGATTGTTCAAAGAAAAAACTGTAAGTTACTGTTTATTGTGGGGGTGTTAGGTTCCCAGGTGTTATAGGGGGCGCTGTTGAATTCTGTGAAAATATATGAGGTTGGTCACATAGAGGTATTTTTTAAATTTCCAGGCACATATGACGATCCCACAGAGAGCCTTACCAAGAGAGGCCAATATCCCACAATTCTCCTCCATGACGTTCTTATGCAGAGCTCTCTGGTCAGGATCCAGCAACGCCCACTCCTCGTCCGTGAAACAAACAGCGACATCTTCAAAGCACACTGGACCCTAAAAGAAAAAGGGAAATGTCCTCCTCTGAGACAGCAGAAATATGATCTGCTACACAATGCTCTGTTGTTTCCTTCCTGATAATAATAATAATAATAATAATAATAATAATAATAATAATTTTATAATTTATACCCCGCCCATCTGGTTGGGTTTCCCCAGCCACTCTGGGCGGCTTACAAAAAACACTAAAATACAATAATCTCTTAAACATTAAAAGTGTCCCTAAACAGGGCTGCCTTTAGATGTCTTCTAAAAGTTTGGTAGTTATTTTTCTCTTTGACATCTGGTGGGAGGGCGTTCCACAGGTCGGGTGCCACTACTGAGAAGGCCCTCTGCCTGGTTCCCTGTAACTTGGCTTCTGCAGCGAGGGAACCGCCAGAAGGCCCTCAGCACTGGATCTCAGTGTCTGGGAAGAACGATGGAGGTGGAGACGCTCCTTCAGGTATACTGGACCGAGGCCGTTTAGGGCTTTCAAGGTCAGCAGAAACACTTTGAATTGTGCTCAGAAACGTTCTGGGAGCCAGTGTAGGTCTTTCAAGACCGGTGTTATATGGTCTCGGCGGCCGCTCCCAGTCACCAGTCTAGCTGCCGCATTTTTGATTAGTTGTAGTTTCCGGGTCACCTTCAAAGGTAGCCCCACATAGAGCGCATTGCAGTAGTCCAAGCGAGAGATAACCAGAGCATGCACCACTCTGGAGAGACAGTCTGCGGGCAGGGAGGGTCTCAGCCTGCATACCAGATGGAGCTGATAAACAGCTGCCCTGGACACACAATTGACCTGCGCCTCCATGGACAGCTGCGAGTCCAGAATGACTCCCAGGCTGCGCACTTGGTCCTTCAGGGGCACAGTTACCCCATTCAGGACCAGGGAGTCCCCCACACCACGCCTCCTGTCCCCCCAAAATAGTACTTCTGTCTTGTCAGGATTCAACCTCAATCTGTTAGCCACCATCCATCCTCCAACCGCCTCTAGACACTCACACAGAAATTTCACCGCCTTCACTGGTTCCAATTTGAAAGAGAGGTAGAGCTGGGTATCATCTGCATACTGATGAACACCCAGCCCAAACCCCCTGATGATCTCTCCCAGCGGCTGCATGTAGATGTTGAAAAGCATGGGGGAGAGGACGGAACCCTGAGGCACCCCACAAGTGGGAGCCCAGGGGTCTGAACACTCATCCCCCACCACCACTTTTTGGACACGGCCCAGGAGGAAGGAGCGGGACCACTGTATGACAGTGCCCCCAGCTCCCAGCCCCTCAAGACGGTCCAGAAGGATGTTATGGCCGATGGTATCAAACGCCGCTGAGAGATCCAGCAGAACTAGGAAACAGCTCTCACCTTTGTCCCTAGCCCACCGGAGATCATCGAACCAGTGCGACCAAGGCAGTTTCAGTCCCATGATGAGGCCTGAATCCCGACTGGAAGGGATCCAAATGGTGCACTTCTTCCAGGTGTGCCTGGAGTTGTTCAGCAACCACTTGCTCAATCACCTTGCCCAAGAATGGAAGATTTGAGACTGGGCAATAGTTAGCCATATTAGCCATATTGCAATAGAGGCGGCGAAGAAAGTCTTCTTTGCCGTCACTACCGCCACTTGGTAGGCTCGACATTGAGCTCTAACCCGTGTCCGGTCAGCTTCAGAATGAGTTATCCGTCACCGGCGCTCTAGCCGTCTCAGCGATTGTTTCATTGCCCTCAGATCCGTGGAAAACCACAGGGCTGTCCGGGCTCCATGCAATCGAAGAGGGCGCTTCGGAGCCAAACAGTCAATAGCCCTGGTTAACTCCACATTCCAGCGGGTCACCAGGGAATCAGCTGAAAGGCCATCAACATGGGATAAAGCATCCCCTACCACTCTCTGGAAACCATTTGGAGCCATTAAGTGGCGGAGGCGGACCATCTGAATCGGTCCCACCTCCATGCAGAGGGGAAGGGTCGCGGAGAAGTCCAGTTGCACCAGGAAGTGATCCGACCATGGCACTGCAACCCCCCCTCCCCGCCCACAAGGCCTGGGTTGCTGTGCGTAAGAGAAACCTGGTGGACAAGCAGCAGCAAGGACAGGCCCATCTGCTTCATCCAACCAAGTCTCTGTTACACATGCCAGGTCAAGTCCTCCATCCATGATCAAGTCATGGATGGCAGTGGTTTTATGAATCATTGACCTGGCATTGCACAGCAGCACCTTCAGGTCATGTGGGTATCCCTTGCTGATTCTAGTATCCGTCCAGTCAGGACCAGACCTGGAGGCAGGGATAGTCCTCCAACAACGACTAAACCTGCCTCCTCTGTAATGACATGGTCTGGTCTTAGCGTACCTCCTCCTCCTACCCGTGATCACTGAGATCGGTTGTCCCAGTGCATCCCCCCCATGGAACATGCCCCAGCTATTTTGTGGGCTGGGGCCCACTCCTCGGCAGCCCTGACCACCCCCCTTAAGAACAAAATAAAACCCTTAAAAAAAGAAAGAACCCACAATAAAACAATACAAACAAAAAACTGTAAAAATTACAAACACATTAAAATCAAACAAATTTCCGAACCCAACCAAACATCCATCCCACCCCCCACAAAAAAAGTAATCAAAAGGGAAAAAAGAAAATTTTAAAAAACATTTTAAAAAGAACATTGCGCCGCTCCGAGTCCTCCTGGCCAGCAGGAGCAGCAGCAGCAACAACTGTCCTTATGAGGCTTCAGGCCCCGCCCTGGGCCAGGTGGTGAGTGGCAGGAGCGGGGCCCTCAGGCACTCACGCAGGGGAGTTGTTTCAACAGGATTGCTTTGCTGCACATTTTATTTATGGATGCTTATTTTATTCTAAGTTTAAATTATGGGTATTCGTTTTTGTGCAGATAGGTTGTACTCCACCTTCTGTTATTCAAGTCATTCTGCCTAGGCAAGCATTCCAGTTTCCCCAATGGAAGGATCCACTTTCTCCTCTCCTCGTGAGCTGTTCTGGGGAGTTGCCTCCCAATGCCCTAGAGCCAAATTCCAGGGGTTCATGGGGGCATAGAGAGGGGGAGTAGAGTAGTTTGGATTTGATATCCCGCCTTATCACTACCCTAAGGAGTCTCAAAGCGGCTAACATTCTCCTTTCCCTTCCTCCCCCATAACAAACACTCTGTGAGGTGAGTGGAGCTGTAAGACTTCGGAGAAATGTGACTAAGCCCAAGGTCACCCAGCAGCTGCATGTGGAGGACCCGGTTCACCAGATTAGGAGGAATAGGAGGCAGGCCCCATTTTGCAGCCGATGGGGCTGGTTCGGTGAATCCAGGCCGCTATTTGTTCTCATTTGTCCACTGCTTAGAAAATAATTTTTGCATTCAGTTATCAATCTAGAAATAAAATAAGCCTGTTTTTGATGGCCATCTGTCTTGGATGATCTAGCAGAGATTCCTGCATTGCAGGGGCTCTCCTGGCTCAGAGAGACAAGCCCAGGGGTGGCTTCTGGCAAAAGGAGAGGGAGCCACCGGTGGCTCCTCCTTCTCCTGACTCACCTCAGCCTCTCGACCTTCCTCTCCCACTTGCCTCCTTCCTCTTCTGCCTCTGATTCTGCACTGCATTCTGCCACAGAGTCTCCCAGCTCACTAAGCCCTGTTTCCCCTTCAGCTTCTGACACCTCCTCTTCCCAGACTGCTCCCTCTTCTTCCTCTGACCGCTCATACTTCCTCCACCTCCACTCCTTCGGCTCTCAGCCGTTTTCCCTTCCTGGTTCCCTGGCTGCTTCCTCCCACCATTCCTCTGTGCCCAACCAGTCCATGACATTGCTCCATCCCTCGGCCTCTGTCCCCACAAGGCAGCTTCCCCTGACCTGATCTGGTTCCAGAGCCGCTGCTTCCCTTCTGCCCCCAGGAAAAGGCGGATCAGGAGGTCTTGCTGGCATCCTTCTGCCACCTGAAAGAGAGAAAGGTAAGCAGGACGCCAGGAGTGCCGGCTTCTCTCACAGGTGAAACAGGGCATCTCTAACTACAGATGGGGCTTTAGAAATCCATGCTGCTTGCATGGAGCCGACTAAAGAAACTTGTTAGTCAGAAGCAACCCAGCAATAAAGCTCTATTAACAGAGGCAATAATTCAGTCTTGGTTTCCCATTATTACAGCTGCAGAACTAAAGACTTGGTTCACTTCAAGTGAAGGTGTTGTAAGGCCGTAATTAAAGCTAAAGGTTACCAATGGTTACCAAAGGTTTCACATTTTTTCTTTATGACTGCTGTTCTAATAAATACTCCTTCATAAAAGTCATTGCATTACTTTCTTCATTAAATTATCTTTCCATTGCTATATAATTTTATGGTATTACTCCACACAAAAGTGGTGTTATGAGCCACCAAACCTCAGAAATACACCTTTCAAAATAGGTTTCCACAATTTTGGCCACTAGTAGAAGTTGTTCATTTTAAAGTTAATGTTCTTAATATATGGGATCAGATTATTACAACATTATGTTCGCTGACTGGGAACAGTTATGGACCACAGGTATGAAGTTTACGGCATGTAATGCCTTAAGAGAGAATATTATGAAAATGATATACAGGTGGTACATAACCCCAGTTAAGCTTGCAAAAATCTACCATTTGCCTGATAATAAATGTTGGAAATGTAAAGAAACTGAAGGTAAAGAAGCTAAAGAAAGAGGTGGATTTGCCCTGCCAGACCTTAAACTTTATTATGAATCAGCCGCATTTTGCTGGCTGAAAGATTGGCTGCTTCTTGAAAACACGGACATTTTGGATTTAGAAGGTTTTAACAATGTCTTTGCATGGCATGCATACTTATGGTATGACAAGGTTAAAGCACATAAGGCCTTTAAGAACCATATTGTCAGGAACGCATTGTTTAATTTCTGGGTGAGATATAAGGATCTGTTGGAAAGTAAAACACCAAGGTGGCTGTCACCAATGGAGGCTAAGGCTCTGAAAAAAACTAATATGGAGACAAATTGGCCAAAATACTGTGAAATTTTAGAACAAGATGGAGATAGATTAAAGCTGCAGAGCTTTGATAAATTAAAAACTAAAGTTCGAGACTGGCTTCATTATTATCAAATAAGGGAGGCTTATAATTTAGATAAGAAGATTGGTTTCCAGGAGGAAAAATCAAAATTGGAAACAGAATTGTTAGATCCTAAAACTAAGAATTTGTCAAGAATGTATAACTTGCTGTTGAAATGGAATACACAGGATGAAACGGTTAAATCTGTTATGATTAAATGGGCACAAGATTTTGGACATAACATTATGTTTGCTGACTGGGAACAGTTATGGACCACAGGTATGAAATTTACGGCTTGTAATGCCTTAAGAGAGAATATTATGAAAATGATATACAGGTGGTACTTAACCCCAGTCAAGCTAGCAAAAATCTATCATTTGCCAGATAGTAAATGTTGGAAATGTAAAGAGACTGAGGGTACATTTTTTCACCTTTGGTGGACATGCCCAAGGATTAAGGCTTTCTGGGAAATGATATATAATGAATTGAAAAAGGTATTTAAATATACCTTTCTGAAGAAACCAGAGGCCTTTCTCCTGGGCATAGTCGGCCAATCGGTGTTAAAAAAGGATAGAACTTTCTTTATGTATGCTACAACAGCAGCAAGAATACTCATCGCAAAGTATTGGAAGACACAAGAGCTACCCACACTGGAGGAATGGCAGATGAAAATGATGGACTACATGGAATTGGCAGAAATGACTGGCAGAATGGGCCTTTGAGAAGGACTTACCTACTGAGAGTATTTGGAGGTTTGTGCCCATTTCATATGTTTGTTTGTGCAGAAATACATCTCCCCTCCTCTGGACCCTTGTTCCCAACTGTCTCCCCCAAAACAAGATGAAAAGAACCCTCAGATGAGTTGGAAAACCAACAGAATGAGACCAGTGGAGAAAAACCACCTTCCTCCTTACCCAGTGGCCTCTCTCTGGTGTCCAACGGAGGCCTCTCTGCCTCACAGGAATCCAGGTCCATTTCTGCAAAACGGTCCGTTTTCTGAAAGAGCAACAAGGATTCAAAACAGAGAATGAATGGCGAGAAATGTTAGAAAGAGAATGACAGAGACAGAATCTTTAAGGGTGTTAGATCTCATTCTATGGATGCCTTCCCAGGAAAAGAATGGGCCAACAGTAGAGCATTATGGGATGTTCTCCATCCTGTTTGGAGCCCCTTGGGAGTATCCAGAGCAAAGTCTCTCTCACCTGCTTCCTCTCCTCTGCCTGACTCAGGAGGAAACCTTCGGCCAGGGCCACCGCCTGCGAACTGGTCTCCGCTCCACACTCCCTCACCCAGCTCTCCATCTCTGGGGGAAGGACAGCCAGGAAATGCTCCAAGATCACCAAGTCCAGCATCTCAGCTTTCGTGTGCCTTTCTGGCTTCAGCCACTGATGGCCAAGGTGGTAGAGTCGGCTGCAAACCTCTCGCGGTCCTTTGGCCTCCTGGCAGCAGAACTGCCTCAACTGCTGGCTCTGCACCTCTGAGCGGAGGGTGTCCACCTCACCATGGATCTTCTGCACAGAGTTTTCCCAGAATCCCCCACTGCTCCCAGTTTGGCTGGCATGGCCTCTTCCTGCTTCGGGGCCAGCCGAGTCTTGCTCATCCATCTGTGCTCTCAGGAAGCCTCTGAGAGATCAGAAGGAACCCTTTGGTCTTCTACCAAGTTCTGTCCGTCTAAATGAGAAGCTCTAGCAAATCCTACAAAGCAAATACATTGTTCTGTTACAGAATTTGTAGGACGGGGGGGGGGGGGAATGGTTCCCTGAGCAAGCATGACTGCACCACATCCCAGACCATGAGCTATCTTTTTGAAAAGGAGGAGGAAGAGGAGAAGAAATAAGTCTCTAGCCTTCTAGCAATGCAAAATGTGGAGGCAACTGAAGGGATTTCTGCGAGATTAATCAACCTGGTTTCTCCATCCTTCCAGTCAATTCATGACATTGGAACCTACTGACAAACGAGTTGTTTCTATCTCGTGATAAATGGATGCTTGGCTCTAGTGGGGGTCCTCAGGAGTTGCCCCCCACACCTACACCCACTCCGCTGCTTCCGTCTCCTCTTCTTGCACTTGGACTCTCTGCCACTCTCAGAATAGACTTCTGGGGCGTGTGCCCTTGTACTTTGCTCTGAGGGCCAGGTATGTATCTGGCCAACCCCTGAGGGCCAAGTGGGCAGGGCCAAAGACATCTCCCTTGAAATTTAGGAGGGTAATTTTTTATTCTTGTATTATTATTATTAACGCACACACAGCCACTGATGCCAAGGTCCCTGGAGGCTCAGTGAGTAGCAGCGCTGATTTCCAGGTGGTTTTCCAGCAACAATCTCTTTGGGGCAGAGAGAGGATGTGGTCCTGGGATGCCCTGCTCTGGGTGCGAGGGGATTGCTGCAGTGGCTTCTGTGGGGAGCTGCCCTGGGAGACACTGGGAAACTGGACTGCGATGCAGCAGCCAGACTAGGGGCTGGGATCCCTCTCTTTATTCCTGGCCTTTCTCTCCCACCCTTTCTTTTTTGGGGGGGGGGCTAGTCCACCTCCTCGTCCAGCTTTGGAAAACCATTTGCACATGTTTCCTCTGTTGTGCAATGAGGCTGAGCGATGTCACACAGAGTTAAAGTCCCAGGGACTCCTTTGTTTAAAGGGAGATTTTTTCTGAAAGGGGGGGGGCGGAGGGCCAAATGAGTTTGGGATCCTCTGATCTGCAGGAAGGAGAGCGTGGCAGACCTGGCCCCTCCCTGGCAGGACCCTCTCCTCCCTGACTTGGGGTCCCCCCCCCCCTGCAGGAGCAGATCCGGCCCCCCAGGCACCCTCCCCTGCCCCAGCCCTGGGACCCCCACCAGATCCCAGAGAGAGAGGAGACTCACCAGATCCCAGGAGGGGGCAGCGAGGCAGCCCTTGCAGCAGAGACACCAAAGCAGGAAAGGACTGGGAGGGAGGGGCCTTGGCTCTGGAGGACCTGGCCCCCCTTGCTTCCTGGCCTCTCTAGGAAGGCAGCTCACTTCCCTTTAACCCTTGCAAAGCCGATTCCTCCCTCGCTCAGCCCTCTCTCAGATTTTTATTATTTCTTATGGATTTTGGGGGGCAGCTGACCCCCTGGCTACGCCAATGCCCAGATATACTTTTGGGGGTGAAACCAGAGGAAGAGCTTGCAGGGAAAAGGGCTTTGCAGGAGGCAAGGAAGCTCCTCCTAGAATTCAGGAGTGGAGAGATAGGAGGGGATCCCAGGGTCATCTAGTCCAACCCGAAGCAAGAGGGGGCCGGGTCTAGTTCCCTAAACAGGCAGCCCTGTTTAGGGAAGCTTTTAATGTTTAATAGGTTATTGTACGTATTTTAGTGTTTTATTGGAAGCTGCCCAGAGTGGCTGGGGAAACCCAGCCAGATGCGCAGGGTATAAATAATAAATTATTATTATTATTATTATTATTATTATTATTATTATTACAACCCCCAGCAATGCAGGAATCTCAGCTAAAGCATCCATGGCAGATGGCCGTCCGATCTGTGCCCAACTGCTCTTAGGTGTCCCTCAAGGCAGCGGGTCCTGAGTTCTAGCCCTGCTGAAACAATCGCACTGGCTGCCAAGGAGGAACCCAGCGAAGTTCAAAATAAATAAATCCTATTCTCATCATAAATGAGTAATACCTTCTTATGCACACTTATGCACGCAACAAAAGTATGCCATTTCCCTTTCCAGAAATGGATGGTTGTTGTTATTATGTTTAGGCAAGCTTTTAATATTTGTTGGACTATTGTATTTTAATATTTTGTTGGAAGCCGCCCAGAGTGGCTGGGGAAACCCAGCCAGATGGGCAGAGTATAAATGTTATTATTATTATTATTATTATTATTATTTATTCAATTGATCAGGTGAGTTTTCTCCTTTCGAAAGAGGGAGGTGGAATCTCCACGGTTGCTAATAGCATAACGTTGAAAGACTAGGGAAATATGGGGAGCCCTAGAGCATCTGCTTGGCATGCAGAATGTCCCACGGTCAACCCCTGACATCTCCTGCAAGGGCTGGACGAAATCCCTGCATGAAACTCTGGGGAGCTGCCAGTCAGTGTAGGCCAGGGGTCCTCTATCTATGTTCCCTGGGCCAAATCCAGCCCGCCAGGGTCGTTAATCTGGCCTGCACGGCCCCTTCAGTACCCGCAAGGCCAGGGGGTTTTGCCCGGGGACAGGGCAGTGTTGTCGTTTGGCTTGAAGAGCGAAGTTCAGGTTAGTGGAGGAAGGCAGACTTCGGTCGATTCGGTTTCATTACGTAGACGTTTACTTTAAAAGTGGTAGAAGGAAGTATAGTCCTATTTCTGTAAGTGGCACAGGGGTCTTTCCACTCATGTGGTTTACATGCTCTGAGAGATGGGATCTGTTTTGATATTTAAATTTTAAAAGGGTGGAGTGGAACCGGAGATTGACCCTCTCGTTAGCCTGGGGCATTGGTCAGCAACCTTTTTCAGCCGTGGGCTGGTCCACTGTCCCTCAGACCATGTAGGGGGCCAGACAATAAGGGGGGGGTAAGGAACAAAATCCTATGCCCCACAAATAACCCAGAGACGCATTTTAGATAAAAGGACACATTCTATTCATGTAAAAACACACTGATTCCCGAATTGTCCGCGGTCCGGATTGAGAAGCCGATTGGGCCGCATCCGGCCCCCAGGCCTTAGCTTGCCTACCCCTGGCCTGGGGAGCCACATTCTGGTTGAAGGAGGCCAGGACTGGCCCCCAAGGCTTGGGATGTCCCTCCTCCCCTGCAGTAGGACTTTGAATCCAGGAGGAAACTCTTGAAATAGCCTTGCCAGGTGCTCAGGGACGGACTCACCTGTCCCCATGTCCTTCTCTTTGCAGATGTGCTGCGGTTGCACATCCCTCCCTCAGGGGTGAGTATTGGAGAGAACCAGAGCAGGGACTCAGACCTGCCCTCCTTGCCCCCCACTCTGCACTCTCGGATGTGGAGAAGCCCTCCCTTCGTGAGGAACTGACAGCCTGACTTTTGTCTTTCAGCTGCTGGAGGAAGATCAGCTGTACCTGCCGGAGGTGATCCAGAACTGCCAGGCAGCTCAGCTCAGGGGGCTCTGAACCCTGAAGTGCTCCAAGCAGGAGACAGCCAAAGCCATCCTGGTGAGTAGTGGGTGGTGTGGGAGACCCCCATGGGGAAGTGGGGGAGGGAGGAGCTTTGGAGAAGGGGACGTATCTGGGAATTTGGATGACGGCAAAGAATATAAATCTTTTTAATGACAATTATCAACCAGTCTGGAGGGAGATTAAAAGAGAATTAGAAATATGGGACATATTAAAGCAATCAATGACGGGAAGGATGTCTGCGATCAAAATGAATCTACTAACGAAAATGTTGTTTTTGTTCCAGACAATTCCGATAATAAGAGGTTTAAGACAATTCAAAGAGTGGCAAAAAACTCTCGCGTGTTTTACATGGCAAGGGAAAAGACCAAGAATTAAATTTAAAATATTGATAGATAAGAAGGAAAGAGGGGGGTTCGCAGTACCTGTTCTGAAACTCTATTATGAAGCGGCATGTTTATGTTGGACAAAGGACTGGATAACTCAGGAGAACCTAGACTTGTTAGATTTGGAGGGTTCAACAATAGACTTGGATGGCACTCTTATCTTTGGTGTGGTAAGGCAAAAGTGCACAAGGGGTTTACAAATCATGTGATAAGAGGTGCCTTATTTGAAGTCTGGGAAAGAAACAAGAATTTGTTGGAAAGGAAAACACCGTGGTGGCTGTCACCAATTGATATATTAACAGTTAAAAACTGAACATACTAGGGAGAGGGACCACATATGAGTAAATTTTGATGAAGGCCGAAAAGGTTGGAAATTAAAGCCCTATGAGTGTACTGCTGAAAAATTGACAGGATGGTTGCAATACCATCAAGTCAATGATGTCTTTAAAGAGGATAAAAAAAATAGGATTTGAGGATAAAAAATCGAAATTTCAAATAGATATTTTAGAGAGTAAATCCAAGCTATTATCAAAAATGTACAATCTCTTACTAGAATGGAACACAAAAGATGAATTTATAAAAGAGGCTATGATAAAATGGGCCATTGATTTAGGACATAACATAGAATATGATGTATGGGCCAAACTCTGGAATGAGAGCATAAAATTAACTGCTTGTTCTGCCTTAAAAGAAAATGTTATGAAGATGGTTTATCGTTGGTATCTCACTCCCACCAAATTGGCAAAAATATATAGAACAAGTAGTAAAACCTGCTGGAAGTGCAAGGAAAAAGACAGCGACTTCTATCATATGTGGTGATCTTGCAATAAAATAAAAGAGTTTTGGGATGCGGTTTACAACGAGTTAAAAAAGATGTTTAAGTACAGTTTTCCCAAAAAGCCGGAAGAATTTTTGCTAGGTTTGGTGGGAGAAGGGATTAAAAAGATAGATCAAAGATTATATTTATATGCAACAACTGCAGCCAGAGTTCTGATAGCTCTAAAGTGGAAAGCAACAGGAGATGCCGACGATAAGAGAATGGCAGATAAAGTTGGTTGAGTATGCTGAGATGGCTGAATTGACACACAGAATTCGCAATCAGGAGGAGACAAAGTACCAAAAAGAATGGAGTAAATTTATGGTTTATATAAGTGAGAATTGTACAAATATGAAAACGTTGGCAGGATTGAAATAAATCTCATGTCATGGTATAATTTATAATTAAAGAATCTGTAAACTATAGAATGGAATAGGAAAACTGCTGGAAGGGAAGGACGGAAGCTAATGGATCTATGAAACACAAAGTAGGATACATGTAATAAGATGTGATGTTTTGGTGGTGGGTGGTGGGGGTTGGTTGGTGATTGTAAATTTCAATAAAAATCATTAATAAAAAAAAGAAGAAGGGGTTGTCTGTCTGCCGGAGAGGAGGACTCTACTGGCCTAGGTTCACGTTTCCTGTTTGAAAGGGGAATCATCTTAGGGACTTCCTGTGAACATCTGGGTCAGGAATGCTGTTCCTGGAATGGACAAACACACAAGACGTAACCGGCTGTGCATTCACATAAACAATACTCTTCTATATATTCTTATCACAATATCAAATGTTTATCTTGCACATAAACAACACATAAAGTGCAATAATATAGACAGAAGTCCCAATAAATCAGTTCGTTCATAAAGACCAAATGTCTGCTAAGTCCAAATTGGGGACTACTACAGTTCCACATTGTTGACAAGGTGTGATGGCCTGGGATTCAGACTTGGATGCTGAACCTGAGGGATCCCAGCCTGCACAGGATTCCCCGCCTCCAGAACCAGCTGAGCCAGGGCTGGGGCATGAGCCTGAAGGGTCCTCACCTGTGCTGGATCCTCAGGTGCAGGCACCAGCTGAGTCTGCTCTGGCTCCTGAGGTGATGGAGGACCCATTGCCTGCAGGTGCTCCACTCTCAGAAAGCTGAGGTTGCCTCTGGGTCCGGTAACCCTCCAGCCACTCCTGAGCTGCAGAGGCTCAGGGTTAGAGAGGTGAGTCACCAGAGGATCGGGGCCGCCCTATGCCTCAGGGCAAATAAAAGCCGGCCAGCCCCAGTTCCAAGTTGCGGAAGCAACATTGTTGGTTGCTAGTTCCTGCCTGAGCTCCTGACCTGCCCTGGCTCCCTGCTTGCAAGCCTGTTCCTGACTTCACCCAACTCCCTGCCCTGCACCCAGCTTCAGCTACTACGGACTGCCTCCACGTTGCACCTTTGACCACGGACAGGACTTGGACCTAGCCTCTCGGGTAAATTCAATGGGTCCCCAGCCAGCTTTCCCATGTTTCTTGCCCAGACCAAGCTGTATATTCAGGGGCGAGCCCGGAATTTCCCCGATGACCGCACCAAGGTGCACTTCCTGAACAGCTTGCTGAAGGACCGGGCAGCCAAGTGGGCATTTCCGCTGCTCCGGCAAGACTCTCCCTTGTTGACAGACTATACAGGGTTTTGCAACCATCTGGAAACCGCGTTCGGCAACCCTCAGAAGGGTAGTCAAGGGGAGTCAAGCCAATCAGGCGATTTGGCAGTTGAAACAGGACAAGTCCACAGTGGCCGCCTACGCCACAGAATTTTGGCTGTTGGCACAGGACTTGTCCTGGAATGACTCCACCCTTCAGGACCAGTATCTCGAGGGGCTTTCAGATGAGATACTGGACCAGCTGGCCATGATGGATCGCCCCACCACGCTGGACACCCTCATTCAACGGAGCCTGCAGATAGACGATCGGTTGGAGGACCGTCGCCAGGCTCAGGGCCGCCAGCACTCCCGGCTCCCGACTCCGGTCCTTCCCAGCAGTTCCACAGCCACAGCCAAGTCACTGGAGGAGCCAATTCAGCTTGGGGCAGCGCGGCTTCGCCTCTCCCCCTCGGAGAAAACTCGGCGTCTGGAGGAGAACCTGTGTCTCTACTGCGGTGGGAGCGGACACTATGCCCAATCCTGTCCCGAGAAAAGGCCAGCCACAGGGAAATGGCCAACCCCAGTAGCCAATGGCCCAGGCTACCTGCTGTCCCAAACATCGCATGATGGGCCCTCACCAGTGGAATTGCAACACCTCATAGTTCTGGTGCGTCTATACCCCCCTGGTGGGACCTGGATTCTCACCCATGCTCTGGTAGTTTCAGGGGCAACCCGCTCCTATATGGACTCTGCCTTTGCCGCCTGTCATCAGGTGCCACTCCAGGACAAGCCAGAACTGGTACAGGTGGAGGCAATTGACGGACGGCTCCTGCGCTCGGGGGCCGTTACTCAGGAGACTCAGCCCTTGGTCCTGTGTCACCAGCAGCACCGGGAGGTGCACACCTTGGACATTGCCACGATGCCCCGGTTTCCACTGGTGCTCGGGATGGACTGGCTGGAGTCTCACAATGTTCAGATCGACTGGGTCAATCAGACTGTGCGCTTCCCAAACCCGTGCCCCCATGCTCGGTCCAAGATGCTAGTGGCCGCCCCCACGGGGGAAGCTGCGTCAATGCTCCCCGCTGATTACCAGGAGTACCAAGAAGTGCTCAATGAACACTTGGTCTTTCAACTGCGGCATAGACCTCCAGCCCGGGGTGCCCCTGCCTGTGAGCCGCCTATACTCTCTTACGGAGCCAGAGCACTAAGCCTTGCAGGACGTCCTTCGCAAGAACCTGGAGGGCGGGTTCATTCGGCCCTCTACCTCGCTCACCGCCGCTCCAGTACTCTTCGTTATGAAGTGTGTGGAGCTTCGTCCCTGCCATGATTACCGGGCCCTGAATAAGATTACCATCCCAGACCGGTATCCCTTGCCCCTTATTACGGAGTTGCTGGAACGGGTGCAAGGGGCGCAGATATTCACCAAGCTGGACCTTCGGGGGGCCTACAATTTGATTCGGATCCGAGCCGGGGATGACTGGAAGACAGCATTTGGGACCCGGTATGGGCAGTATGAATACCTGGTAATGCCTTTCAGGTTGTGCAAAGCGCCTGCCCTGTTCCAACGGTACATCAACCACGTGTTCCAGGACTTGCTAGACAAGTATGTGGTGGTGTACCTAGATGACATTCTGATTTACTCCCAAGACCCAGCTCGCCACGAGGGTCATGTCCGGTCCATGTTGCAGCGCTTGCGGGAGCAACGCCTGTATGCTAAACTCAGCAAGTAAAAGTTCCACCAGCGGTCAGTGGACTTCCTCGGTCACCAACTCTCCCCCTGATGGGGTGCAGATGGATCCTGGGAAGGTGGCAGCAGTCCGGGAATGGGCAGCACCCCGGAACCACAAGGGCCTATCATCACCGCAAGGGGCCATCATCCTGAGGGGGCAAGACAACTGGTGGAAGTGAGAACCAACCACCGGAACCTGGAGTACCTCCAGACTGGGTCGACCACTTGGCATTGGAGGAGTTCGCTTACAACAACGCGGTGAACGCCTCCACCCAGCAGACCCTGTTCCAGGCCACTTACGGTTACCATCCGCGTTTGTTCCTGGATGTGCTGCCAGCATCTGTGGTCCCCACGGTGACAGATTGGCTCCAGGAGCTCCAGTCTCAGCACCAACTATTGATGGAGCAACTGCACCAAGCCAAGGATGCATACAAGGCCCAGGCCGACCACCACCGCCAGGTGGGGCCGGAACTCCGCGTCGGCAAACCATGGGGCTATATAAATTCTAATTGGACTCCGTTTGAATTGGGCAATTGTATCCAGGCTGCAATTAGCTTTTTGGTCCCTTAGGAACAACTGAGCAACTTCCCTAGGGTGGAAGACCAGAGCCTATAATAATAATAATAAATCCCATAGAAAGGCCAAGGCAAAGACATCTCTCTCAAGAAATGTCCAAACCTGTGCCACTACAAGGTGACATGGTCAATATGAAAGCCCAACGGGGATTCACCAGGGATTGTTGCTGCTGTGATATGATGAAGGTGTGAGATCACAGGAGAGCTAGCTTTGACACCTGGGAACACACAAAAAAGGCAGAAACAAAACAAACTGCATTTTTCACTCATTATTTGACCTTCCCGCTAAGTGTTAAGCATAGACCACTATGGAGAATGTTTCTCCCAAAGTGCTAGAATGCCACAAGTAATTTAGTAACAAAATGCAACATGTGTTATTTTTTATGTGATATCCTATGTCCAGCTATGTGCACTGCTACACCTGCAAATAACCTTAAGAGGCCTAACATGCAAGTCTCTTAAGATTTACACGAAGGCATCCATTTGCAACATACCAGGTTATTTTTTGTGGGGCAACAGTTTTTTAGAAAAAATTTGAAGGAATGGGTTTCAGTGCAGTAAGTTTAAAACTGACTCACCCCCCCTTTTTTTGGTCTTTCAAAAGTGAGCACTCTAAAATGCGTAAAACTTGAGCTGTTGAGCAAAAGCATAACAAGGACACGGCTGCATAAACAAGCTCTCTCCTTTATCAGTCACGGCTAGGGATGACTCTCTAGGGGAACAGAGAAAACACGTCAGTACTTTATCTTATGTGCTGACCACAAAATACGCGCAGACCGATGTCCAGGAAAAACGCCAGAAGCGTGTTCCCGGAGATGGTGACCTCTGGCTCCAAGATAGGAGTAGGAACAGGAATACCCTTTTATGGTCAGGAGTGCAGGAAGGAAATCCCTTAAGAGTGCCCTTAAGAGAGCAGGAACATCTGTGATGTCAGCCTGCGTGTACAAGCTGACGTGGCTGGGGAAGGGGGAGAGGGTGTCTGGAGGATATAAATACTGCATGAAACTTCTTATTTCTTTGGACTTGCTGTGGAGTCACCACGCAAGTGCCTTCTGCTATCCGGAGAGCAGAATAAACTCTTTCTTTGAACCAACCTCGGCGTCATTTGACTTCCTTCCTCCTGTCCCGGAGCAACGCAGACCCAATCAGTGAACTCCAATAAGGCTACAAAATTATATCCTCAAAGGGGGGAATTGTTATAAGAATTTTTAGGTGATATATATATATATATATATATATATATATATATATATATAATATCTGTGTGTGTGTGTGTATGTATGTAACAAGCAAACACATATATTAATATATAAACCACATGTCCAAAACCCACAGGAAAAGTCCTAAAGCCATTTTGACTCTTTCACTCTTTCAGTCACCTCAAATATTTCTCGAGGTAAAAACAATGCACTCAGATTTCTGTTGTAGACTGCCTTTTCTGTGATGTATGTATGATGTTTCTGGGTGTGGTCTTGGACTCCAGGGCGGGCAATTAAAAATGTCTATATAAGGCCTTGCATGCATGGCTCAGCGTCCTCCTCCTCTCTCCTGCGTGTGGGGAAGAACCCTGTTGCAACAGTTAATAAAGAAGAGGCTTACTGGCTGCTTTGCTTCTCAATATTCTCTGGTTGGTCTCTGTTATTTTCTCCTACCAATAGAGAACTACAAAAGGGCTGTATATGGGCCCTTGGGTACCCCATAAGGAAAAAGGAGCAGGTTTTTTCCTTATATCACCTGCAATCATGTGTGGTGTGTTAGCAATTCACTCCTCCCGTTGCTGGATATGTGGCTAGTATGTCACATGCCCCTGTTTACTTTCCTAGGATTGGAAATTGTAAGAACGGAAGTCAGTCTTATCTCTTCCGCTCTGCTGTGCTTTTGCTCTGTTCTTTGTCTCTCTGTCTGTTGCTGAAGAAGAGAGAGGATGCCATTATGATCCGTTTGGTCTCGTCTGCAAATGTGATGAGCATCCCCTCATTTCCTTCATCCATGTCATTTATAAAGACGTTGTTCAACAACGGGCCCAGAACAGAACCCTGCAGCACCCCTCTTGTCACTTTTTCCCAGGATGAGGAGGAATCATGAAGGAGTCCTCTTTGGGTTCGGTCAGTCAAATCCACCTAACAGTTACCTCATTCAGCCTCATTTTACCAGCTTCCTCACATAAATCTCACAGAGGACTCTGTCAAAAGCCTTACTGAAATCTAGATGCACTATTTCCACAGCAGGCCCCTGATCAACAAAGTTTGTAACTCCATCCAAAAAAAGAAAAGAAGAGATTTCTCTGGCTTGGCTTGGCTTGTTTTTGAGAAAGCCATGCTTTCATCCTGTATGTTTATATTGTAAAATCTTCAGATGAAGGGCAAATACATTTTAAAGAAGAATAAATGAGGATATAGACAAGCTGGAATATTTGCAAAGGGAGGCGATTTATGTATTTATTTAATCTGTAAACCACCCGACCCAGTGGTGCCGACTTGAATAAAATATTGGTGGAGGGTCAGGTAAGTCCCGCCTTGCACTATCAATCACATGATGCATGCACACCATTTGAATGGCAATGTCTATAATGGCATAGACTTTTAAAAAAGTAATATTTTGCGCCTATAGTTCAATTTCCCAGCAGCTCCCTTGCCCCGCAGAACACTTCTAGCATTCCATCTCCTCTACCTGTGGCATTGTTCAGCAGTGGGGAAAGTGACCTCTTCACACCGGATGTCCATTTGGTATGGCCCTTTCCAGGTTTGTCTTTCATTTGTTCTCCTATGTGTGTTGCAAGTAAAGCCACAATTCTGTGGGTACTCTAGGTGGCGCAGAAAGCACCTAGAAGCTCCCTAGAGGTTGAAGAGCCGATCAAACTTCAGTTTTGCGCTCTATAAATTCCAATTAGGAGTACTGGGGGTGGTTCAGATTCTGGGGCAGTGCTTTTGGCCAGCAGAGGGTATCACAAAGCCAGTCTACTTTCCCTTTAAAGCAAATTTGGGTCTCCAGCTGTTTTTGGACTACAACTCCCATCATCTCTAGTTAGCAGGACCAATGGGGAGAGACGATGGGAACTGTAGTCCGGGAGCTGCTGGGGACCCAAGTTTGGGAAAGCCTCCTTTAAAGCAACTTTTGCGTTGGGACCTGTCCACATTTGTATTTTCTTGTATTTTGTTTTCCTCATGACCTTTGTGCAGTTTTTAAAAAATTCTTAAAAGGGCAAATTGAAAGCGAAATTGTATGGCAAGTAGCAGAAGAATAAAAGGTTGCATTTGAAAAAAACACAAAGAAAACCTGGGGGGTGGCCTCCTCAAATATTTTATGGGGGGGGGCAAAGACCCCTAGGAATTTAAGAGTGGCTGTATTCCCTACACCCACACGTCTCAGAATGCTTAGAACATAAAAACACAACATAAAAACATAAAACATCACATGTTAAAATAGCATTAGATGTCAATAAGAAAAAGGCCTGGTTAAAAAGGTGCGGATTTGCCTGGCTCCTAAAGCTATATAATGGTTTTTCCGACCTTTGTATGGATTCTTTGGTGGGAAGTGAGTTTAGAGCTAACAGTGAAGCTCTTTCCACATTCCACACACTGATAGGGTTTCTCCCCTGTATGAACTTTTTGATGGAAAGTTAGAGAGAAGCTATGAGTGAAGCTCTTTCCACATTCCACACACTGATAGGGCTTCTCCCCTGTATGAACTTTTTGATGGAAAGTTAGAGAGAAGCTATGAGTGAAGCACTTTCCACATTCCACACATTGATAGGGTTTCTCCCCTGTATGAACTTTTTGATGGGAAGTTAGAGAGAAGCTATGAGTGAAGCTCTTTCCACATTCCACACACTGATAGGGCTTCTCCCCTGTATGAACTTTTTGATGGGAAGTTAGAGAGAAGCTCTGACTGAAGCTCTTTCCACATTCCACACACTGATAGGGTTTCTCCCCTGTATGAATTCTGTGATGGGAAGTGAGAGAGGAGCTCTGACTGAAGCTCTTTCCACATTCCACACACTGATAGGGTTTCTCCCCTGTATGAATTCTTTGATGGTAAGTGAGATGGGAGCTATCAGTGAAGCTCTTTCCACATTCCACACACTGATAGGGCTTCTCCCCTGTATGAATTCTTCGATGGGAAGTGAGAGAGGAGCTACATGTGAAGCTCTTTCCACATACCACACACTGATAGGGCTTCTCCCCTGTATGAATTCTTTGATGGGAAGTGAGAGAGGAGCTCTGACTGAAGCTCTTTCCACATTCCACACACTGATAGGGCTTCTCCCCTGTATGAATTCTGTGATGGGAAGTGAGATCGGACCTCTTCCTGAAGCTCTTTCCACATTCCACACACTGATAGGGTTTCTCCCCTGTATGAATTCCTTGATGGGAAGTGAGACTGTGGCTGCGAGTGAAGCTCTTTCCACATTCCGCACACTGATAGGGTTTCTCCCCTGTATGAATTCTTTGATGGGAAGTGAGATAGGCACTCTTCCTGAAGCTCTTTCCACATTCCACACACTGATAGGGTTTCTCCCCTGTATGAATTCTTTGATGGGAAGTGAGATTGGAGCTATCAGTGAAGCTCTTTCCACATTCCACACACTGATAGGGTTTCTCCCCTGTATGAATTCTTTGATGGGAAGTGAGATAGGCACTCTTCCTGAAGCTCTTTCCACATTCCATACACTGATAGGGTTTCTCCCCTGTATGAATTCTTTGATGGGAAGTGAGAGTGGAGCTATCAGTGAAGCTCTTTCCACATTCCACACACTGATAGGGTTTCTCCCCTGTATGAATTCTTTGATGGGAAGTGAGATAGGCACTCTTCCTGAAGCTCTTTCCACATTCCACACACTGATAGGGTTTCTCCCTTGTATGAATTCTTTGATGCTTAGTGAGATCGGAGCTCTGACTGAAGCTCTTTCCACATTCCACACACTGATAGGGTTTCCCCCCTGTATGAATTCTTTGATGGGAAGTGAGACTGTGGCTGCGAGTGAAGCTCTTTCCACATTCCACACACTGATAGGGTTTCTCCCCTGTATGAATTCTTTGATGGGAAGTGAGATGGGAGCTATTCCTGAAGCTCTTTCCACATTCCACACACTGATAGGGTTTTTCCCCTGTGTGAATTCTTTGATGGGAAGTGAGATGGGCACTCTTCCTGAAGCTCTTTCCACATTCCACACACTGATAGGGCTTTTCCCCTGTGTGAATTCTTTGATGGGAAGTGAGATCGGAGCTCTGACTGAAGCTCTTTCCACATTCCACACACTGATAGGGTTTCTCCCCTGTATGAATTCTTTGATGGGAAGTGAGACTGTGGCTGTGAGTGAAGCTCTTTCCACATTCCACACACTGAAAGGGTTTTTCCCCTGTGTGAATTCTTTGATGGGAAGTGAGATGGGCACTCTTCCTGAAGCTCTTTCCACATTCCACACACTGATAGGGTTTCTCCCTTGTATGAATTCTTTGATGATAAGTGAGATCGGAGCTCTGACTGAAGCTCTTTCCACATTCCACACACTGATAGGGTTTCTCCCTTGTATGAATTCTTTGATGATAAGTGAGATCGGAGCTCTGACTGAAGCTCTTTCCACATTCCATACACTGATAGAGTTTCTTTTCAATGAGATTTTGTTGATGGGAAGTGGAATGGGAGCTCTGACTGCAGCTTTCTCCACACTCCAAATTTTTGTGTGGCTTCTCCTCTCTGGGGAATTTTTCGTTGTCACCTTTGCTCTCAATTTCCAATTCATCACAATCTGCAATGGAGACAAAAAGGGATTAGAGCCTTGGGAACAAATGGAAAAGAACTGAAGGGAGTTGGGTATGTGTTCATTACCTGTGTTTTTTGTCATTAACCAACATATTTATTATGAGATTCTGATGAGTTGTTGAATGTTGCTTTGTTTGATATACAGTAGTGGTCAAAATTGTGGAAGACTTTTGGAAAAAAGTGTACCGTATTTTTCGCCCCATAGGACGCACCGGCCCATAGGACGCACCAAGTTTTTTGGGGGGGGAATAAAGAAAATAATTTTTATTTCCCCCCAGGCACTTGCGGGGCAGGCGGCGGGGAGAAGCGCTCTTCTCCCTGCCGCCCGCCTTGAGATCAGGTCCGGGGACAGCGGGGAGACGCGCTGCGCCTCCCACCTGTCCCCGGAGCTTGCGGGGCAGGCAGCGGGGAGAAGCGCTCTTCTCCCCGCTGCCCGCCTTGAGATCAGGTCTGGGGACAGCAGGAAGACGCGCTGCGCCTCCCAGCTGTCCCCGGAGCTTGCGGGGCAGGCAGCAGGGAGAAGCACTCTTCTCCCCGCCGCCCGCCTTGAGATCAGGTCTGGGGACAGCTGGAAGACGCGCTGCGCCTCCCAGCTGTCCCCGAGCTGCGGGGCAGGCAGCGGGGAGAAGCGCTCTTCTCCCCGCCGCCCGCCTGCAGACCAGGTCCGGGGACAGCGGGAAGACGCGCTGCACCTCCCAGCTGTCCCCAGAGCTTGCGGGGCTGGCGGCGCGGAGAAGCACGCGTCTCCCCGCTGTCAGCCTCCAAACCACATCGGGAGACAGCGGGATGGCGGCGTTCCGCCTCCCCGCTGTCCCCCGACCTTGTGGGGCTAGCGCTGCGGCTCTCCTGAAGCCTCTCGCCTTCCAGGCTTCAGCGAAAGCCTGCATTCGCCCCATAGGACGCACACACATTTCCCCTTCATTTTTGGAGGGGAAAAAGTGCGTCCTATAGGGCGAAAAATACGGTATTTCAGAGGTTTGCTGGCTCATAACACCACTTCATTTGGAGTAATGTCATAAAATTATATATCAGTGGAAAGATAATTCGATCAAGAATGCAATCGAGATTGCAATCCAACAAAGTTTGTTCAATTACCCGTATTCTATCAAAAGTATAGCCAAATAACCAGAAAAGAAAGCACAACTTGCTTAGGTTGACTTTTGTCAGTGTGTTATGTGATTGCTATCAAGTTGGTTGGTTTTGTGTGTTCTTTCATTTAGTGAAGGTGTAAAACATAGTAAAATTATAGAAATGGCACAAAGAGTTGACTGGTCCCCAGAAAGTGAGTAAGAGTGTACTATTAAGTGAAGAAGGCTACAGTTATGGAGAAATTAGAAGAGAGATTGGGGGAAACTTAACCAAAGTTGGCCTTTCTATATTTTTGAAGAGGTATAAGGAGACTCAGTCACTACAAAATCAGACTTGTTAAAGCAGGGAATGTGTACAAAGGCAAGTGACGATGGACGAGTGGAGAGACTGTGCGTACATGACAGAAGAAAATCATCTGGGTGTATACAAGATGACATGGCACAATGTAATGGGAAGTTGAGTGCAAGGACTGGTCTAAATGTTAGAATTCTAAGGAAAAAGCCTTTGTTATCTCTCAAGCAAAGGTTGAAAAGATTAAACCCATGTTAACTAGACAGCGGAACAATGGGACACTACCTTACTTGACAGGTTGTCTCAAGATATGGCAAAGAGAAATTTCCAAATTCCTGTGGGAAGGGAAGAAACCTAGGATTAAACACCTGATCTTAATAGACTTAAAAGAGAGAGGAGGCTTTTCCCTACCCGACCTAAAACTTTACTACGAGGCAGCCTGTTTCACCTGGCTAAAAGGATTGGTGCACATTGCAGGATCGGGACCTCCTGGACCTGGAAGGTTTTGACAATCGTTGGGGATGGCACGCCTACCTGATATATGGAAAAGCGAAAATTCATAAAATTTTTACCAACCATATAATAAGAAAGTCACTCTTTGCTGTATGGGAAAAATATAAAGACCTGATGGAGCCTAAAGCCCCGTGGTAGACTTCTCCAATAGAAGCCATAGCAGTAAAACGGAAAAATACTCAGGAAAGCTGGCCAACATATAAAATACTTCTAAAAAATGAAGATAACCAAATAAAATTAAAAACTTTGAGGAAATAAGAGAACACATTTCAGACTGGTTCCAATATCATCAGTTATTTGAAAAATTTAAATCTGACAAACAAAAGGGGTTCTCAACAGAAATATCCCGATTCGAATCTGATCTTGTAAATTCTAAAAGAAAAACTCTTTCCAAAACTTATCGACTCCTCCTTGACTGGACAGTCAAGGAGGAGGAGGTAACAGTGGCAATGGTGAGGTGGTCCCAGGATTTTGGCCATTCAATAACCATGGCCCAATGGGAAAATTTATGGAAGATCAATTGGAAATTCACAAACTGTTACACGTTTAGAGAGTACTTTCAAAAAATGCAACATCGATGGTATCTAACACCATGGAAACTTTCAAAAATGTATAAAAATGTGTCAAGTAATTGTTGGAGATGCGGAGACTCAGGAACATTCTACCATATGTGGTGGATATGTAGGAAAATACAGGTATTCTGGGAGAGTATACATGCAGAACTGCAAAAATGCTAAAGATCTCTTTCAATAAAAAACCAGAGGCCTACCTCCTGGGAATAACAGATTTGGATATTCCACAAAAGAGGAAGGGTATCTTTTTATATGCGACAGCGGCAGCAAGAGTTTTGATCACAGCAAAATGGAAGAGTAATGAAATCCCCTCTATACAAGATTGGATCCAAAAGCTGACAGAATATGCCGAATTAGATGGTTTATCAGAAAAAATAAAGAATAAATCAAAACAGGAATTTGTTTCAAAATGGGAGGTTTTCAAAGAATATCTGAAAAATAAATATAGTAGTTTAAATTCTGTCGCAGCATTTGAGGAACTTCAGTAATAGTTGCAAGGTAGATATAAGAAATTAGATTTATTAACAATAAGTTTAATTATGATAAAAGTGTGTATTGGCAATAAGTAATATGAATTTGAAATATGGAATAGACGGGAGGTTGGGTCTTTAGTGTTAAGACCAATAGATGTTTTATTGTTTGCTAAGAAAATTAGGTGACTATGGTTATTTTTGTAATTTGTGTGTAATTTGGTATTTGTGTTTTTTTCTTTTTCTTGTTGTATAAATAAAAACTTTATTTTTTTAAAAAAAGGACACTACCTTGCTTGGTAGTGATGGCATGAAATACGCGAGTTTTTTTAATCGGAGAAGAGGAGAAGAATCAGAGAAGATTTACATCCTACTTGCATTACACCGACTGTGAAACACCCAGACAGTGTGATGATCTGGGGTTGTATGGCAGCAAAAGGTGTGGGCAGAATTTGCGTCATTAATGGGAATATAAATGCGGGAAAATGCATAAAGGAAATACGTGAGCCCAAACTGAAGTGTTCCGCAGGTGATCTTTTCCCAGATACCGAAGCATTTATATATTTTCAGCAGGATTCAGCTCTATGTCATGTTGCTGCTGTGTGCAAAAGGTACATTCAAGATAATGATATTTCACTGCTGGAATGGCCTGGGAATAATAATAATAATAATAATAATTTTTATTTATATCCCGCCCTCCCCAGCCGAAGCCAGGCTCAGGGCAGCTAACAACAATAAAACAGTACAACAGTACAACACAACACTCTAAAATCATTCATTATAAAATTAATTCAAATCAAACCAATGGCAACCATTGGGCCAGAGCTCCGCGAAGATTGCCGAAGGAGGAGTCAGGCTGCGCCCTGGCCAAAGGCCTGGTGGAACAGCTCTGTCTTGCAGGCCCTGCGGAAAGATGTCAAGTCCTGCAGGGCCCTAGTCTCTTGTGACAGAGTGTTCCACCAGATCTAAGCCACAGCCGAAAAGCCCTGGCTCTAGTTGAAGCCAGCCTAACCTCTCTGTGGCCTGGGACCTTCAAGATGTTTTTATTTGAAGACCGTAAGTTTCTTTGTGGGACATACCAGGAGAGGCGGTCCCGTAGGTACGAGGGTCCTAGGCCGTATAGGGCTTTAAAGGTTAAAACCAGCACCTTAAACCTGATCCTGTACTCCACCGGGAGCCAGTGCAGCTGGTATAGCACCGGGTGAATGTGATCTCGCAGCGAAGACCCCGTAAGGAGTCTCGCTGCAGCATTCTGCACCCGCTGGAGTTTCTGGGTCAGTCTCAAGGGCAGCCCCACGTAGAGCGAGTTACAATAATCCAGTCTGGAGGTGACCGTCGCATGGATCACAGTGGCTAGGTCAGGGCGAGAGAGGTAAGGAGCCAACTGCTTAGCTTGGCAAAGATGGAAAAATGCCGCCTTTGTTATAGCTGCAATCTGCGCCTCCATAGAAAGGGAGGTGTCGAAGATTATACCCAAACTCTTAATGGACGGTGCTGGCACTAATTGCGCCCCCGCAAGAGATGGGAGTTGCCCCCCCAATCCCATATCGTCCCGTCCCAGCCACAGGACCTCTGTCTTCAAAGGATTTAGCGTCAACTGGCTCCCACGTAACCATCCAGCCACAGCTTCCAAACACCTGGTCAGTGTGTCTGGGGCCGAGTCAGAATGGCCATCCATCAACAGATAGAGTTGGGTGTCATCGGCATACTGATGGCAACCTGAATAGCCCACACTTTAGTCCATACTGAATAGCCCACACTTTAACCCAATCAGAAATCTTTGGAGCCGACTAAAGAAACTTGTTATTCAGAAGCAACCCAGCAATAAAGCCCAATTAACAGAGACAATAATTCAGTCTTGGTTTGGCATTATTACAGCTTCAGAACTAAAAACTTGGTTCACTTCATGGGAAGGCGTTGTAAGGCCGTACTTAAAGCTAAAGGTTACCAATGGTTACCAAAGGTTTCACATTTTTTCTTTATGACTGCTGTTCTAATAAATACTCCTTCATAAAATTCATTGCATTACATTCTTCATTAAATTATCTTTCCATTGCTATATAATTTTATGGTATTACTCCACACAAAAGTGGTGTTATGAGCCATCAAACCTCAGAAATACACTTTTCACAAAAGGTTTCCACAATTTTGGCCACTAGTAGAAGTTGTTCATTTTAAAGTTAAAGTTCTTTATATATGGGATCAGATTATTATTATTTATGTTTCATTTTTATATGTGTGTTGGAAGCCGCCCAGAGTGGCTGGGGGAATGCAGCCAAATGGGCAGGGTATAAACAAAAATTATTATTATTACTACAGTGATACCTTGATTTAAGAACAGTCCTGTTCCGGAAAGTTTGTAAACCGAGGTACCACTGTATCATCATCATCATCATCACCACTGCTACTTCTACCTGAAATTCAATAAGCCTTGCTCTTCTCTGGGATGAATTTTGTTTGGCCCAGTCATGGCATCCCCTCCATCTCCAATGTCAGTCGTCTCTTTGGTCAACCCAAGACTGACAGGAGCAAAAACAGAAAACCTGAAGCTACTTATCTTTCCTAACAATTCTGAAGCTGACATTGAAGATGGCCTGGGCAGTTTAGACCAGCCCAATCGTGGTAGAAAAAGGAATAATCTGAGGAAGATTGTCAAAGAGAAACTGTAATTTACTGTTCATTGTGGGGGTGTTAGGTTCCCAGGTGTTATAGGGACCACTATTGAGCTCTGTGAAAATATGTGAGGCTGGTCTATAGACGTCTTTTTTGAAATTCCAGGCAGATAGGACTATCCCACAGGGAGCCTTACCAAGAGAGGCCACGATCCCACGATTCTCCTCCATGACATCCTTATGCAGAGCTCTCTGGTCAGGATCCAGCAACGCCCACTCCTCGTCTGTGAAACCAACAGCGACATCTTCAAAGCACACTGGACCCTAAAAAAAAAGGAAATGTCCTCCTCTGAGACAGCAGAAATATGATCTGCTCCACAATGCTCTGTTGTTTCCTTCCTGTAAATTCCGTTGTTTCAATAGGATTGTTTTGCAGCACATTTTAATTATGGGTGCTTATTTTATTCTGCGTTTTAATTATGGGTATTTGTCTTCGTGCAAATAGGTGTTACTCCGCCTTGTGTTTTCCAAGTCATTCTGCCTACGCAAGCATTCCAGTTTGCCTGATGGAAGGATCCACTTTCTCCTCTCCTAGTGAGCTGTTCCAGGAAGGTTCCCTCCCAATGCCCTAGAGCCAAATTCAAGGGGTTCAGGGCGGCGTGGAGAGGGGGAGGAATGGGGGGCAGGCCCCATTTTTCATCCGATAGGGCTGGTTAGGTGAATCTAGGCCACTATTTGTTCTTGTTTGTCAACTGCTTAGAAAACAATTTTAGCATTCAGTGATCAATAGACAATTAAAATAAGCCTATTTTCATCTCCTGGCTCTGAGAGACAAGCAGGGAGGGTGGCTTCTGGCAAAAGGAGAGGGAACCACCGGTGGCTCCTCCTTCTCCTGACTCACCTCTGCCTCTCGACCTTCCTCTCCCACTTGCCTCCTTCCTCTTCTGCCTCTGATTCTGCACTGCTTTCTGCCACAGAGCCTCCCAGCTCACTAAGCCCTGTTTCCCCTTCAGCTTCTGACACCTCCTCTTCCCAGGCTTCTCCCTCTTCTCCCTCTGACCGCTCATCCTTCCTCCACCTCCACTCCTTCGGCTCTCAGCCATCTTCCCTTCCTGGTTCCCCGGCTGCTTCCTCCCACCATTCCTCTGTGCCCAACCAGTCCATGATATTGCTCCATCCCTCGGCCTCTGTCCCCACAAGATAGCTTCCCCTGACCTGATCTGGTTCCACAGCCGCTGCTTCCTTTCTGCCCCCATGAAAAGGTGGATCAGGAGGTTTTGCTGGCATTATTCTGTCACCTGCAAGAGGAAAAAGGTAAGGGGGAGGCCCAGAGTGCCTGCTTCTCTCACAGGTGAAACAGGGCATCTCTAACTACAGATGGGCCTTTGAGAAGGACTTACCTACTGAGAGTATTTGGACGTTTGTGCCCATTTCATAAGTTAGTTGTGCAGAAATACATCTCCCCTCCTCTGGATCCTTCTTCCCAACTATCTCCCCCCAAAACAAGATGAAAGGAATCCTCAGATGAGTTGGAAAACCAACAGAATGGGACCAAATGGGGAAAAACCACCTTCCTCCTTACCCAGTGGCCTCTCTCTGGTGTCCAACGGAGGCCTCTCTGCCTCACAGGAATCCAGGTCCATTTCTGCAAAGAGATCCTTTCCCTGAGAAAGAAACAAGGATTCAAAACAGAGAATGGGGAGAAATACTAGAAAGAGAATAACAAAGACTTGAAGGGTACGAGATCTCATTCCATGGATGCCTTCCCAGAAAAAGGATGGGCCATCAGCAGACCATTATGGGATGTTCTCTGTCCTGTTTGGAACCCCTTGGGAGTATCCAGAGGAAAGTCTCTCTCACCTGTTTACTCTGTTCCTGCTTCTCTTCTCTGCCTGACTCAGGAGGAAACCTTCGGCCAAGGCCACCGCCTGGGAACTGGTCTCCGCTCCACAGTCCCTCACCCAGCTCTCCATCTCCGGTGGAAGAACAGCCAGGAACTGCTCCAAGATCACCAGGTCCAGCATCTCAGCTTTCGTGTGCCTTTCTGGCTTCAGCCACTGATGGTCAAGGTGGTGGAGTCGGCTGCAAACCTCTCGGGGTCCTTTGGCCTCCTGGCAGCAGAACTGCCTCAACTGCTGGCTCTGCACCTCTGAGCGGAGGGTGTCCACCTCACCATGGATCTTCTGCACAGAGTTTTCCCAGAATCCCCCACTGCTCCCAGTTTGGCTGGCATGGCCTCTTCCTGCTTCCGGGGCCAGCTGAGTCTTGCTCATCCATCTGTGCTCTCAGGAAGCCTCTGAGAGATCGGAAGGAACCCTTTGGTCTTCTGCCAAGTTCTGCCCGTCTAAATGAGAAGCTCTAGCAAATCCTACAAAGCAAATACATTGTTCTGTTACAGAATTTGTAGGACAGGGGGGGAAATGGTTCCCTGAGCAAGCATGGATGAGTCTTGCTGGGAACCAGGGCTGAAGTGCGCCGCATCCCAGACCATGAGATATCTTTTTGAAAAGAAAGAGGAGGAGGAAGAGGAGAAGAAATAAGTCTCTAGCCTTCAAGCAATGCAGAATGTGGAGGCAACGGAAGGGATTTCTGTCAGATTAATCATCCTGGTTTCTCCATCCTTCCAGTCAATGCATGAAGTCAGAACCGAATGACAAGGGAGTCATTTGTATCTTGTGATAAATGGATGCTTTTCTCTAGTGGGGGTCCTGACCTGGGGGTCCTCTGGAGTTGCTCCCCCCACCCCCACCCTCACCCCACCTCCACTCCCTGCTTCTGTCTCCTTTTCTGCAATCTCTGCCGCTGTCCAGACAGATTCATGGGGTGAGATCTCTTTTTCTCTCTTCTGAGGGCCAGGAATGTATCTGGCCAACCCCCTGAGGGCCAACTGGGCGGTGCCAAAGACATCTCCCTTGATTTTTTTATTATTCTATTAGATAGCTTAACACAAACTGGTTTGCAATGCAGCAGCCAGACTATGGGCTGGGATCCCTCTCTTTATTCCTGGCCTCTCTTTCCTACTTTTCCTTCCTTCCTCCCCGTGGTGGGGGGCTAGTGTCCACCTCCTCCTCCAGCTTTGGAAAACCATTTGCACATGTTTCCTCTGTTGTGCAACGAGGCTGAGCGATGTCACACAGAATTCAAGTCCCAGGGACTCCTTTGTTTTAAAAAGGGAGATTTCGTGGGAGTCAGGGATCCTCTGATCTGCAGGAAGGAGAGCGTGGCAGACCTGGCCCCTCCCGGGCACGACCCTCTCCTCCCTGACTTGGGGTCCCCTGCAGGGCAGATCCGGCCCCCCAGGCCTCCTCCCCTGCTGCAGCCCTGGGACCCCCACCAGATCCCAGAGAGAGAGGAGACTCACCAGATCCCAGGAGGGGGCAGCGAGGCAGCCCTTGCAGGAGAGACACCCAAGCAGGAAAGGACTGGGGAGGGAGGGGCCTTGGCTCTGGAGGACCTGCCCCCCCTTGCTTCCTGTCCTCTCTAGGAAGGCAGCTCACTTCCCTTTAACCCTTGCCAAGCCGAGTCCACTCGGCTCAGCCGTCTCTCGCTTGGCAGAACCTCAGATTCTTATTATTTTTTTATGCATTTAGGGGGGCAGCTGCCCCCCCTGGCTGCGCCAATGCCCAGATATCCTTTTGGGGGTGAGGCTCTTGGCTGGACTCTGAGCATCTCCCTCCCTTGGCCAGAAACCAGAGGAAGAGCTTGCAGGGAAAAGGGCTTTGCAGGAGGCAAGGAAGCACCTCCTAGAATTCCGGAGTGGAGAGATAGGAGGGGATCCCAGGGTCATCTAGTCCAACCCCAGCAATGCAGGAATCTCAGCTAAAGGATGCATGGCAGATGGCCGTCCAATCACTGCTCAGAAACCTCCAAGGAAGGAGAGTCCACCACCTCGTAAGGGAGACCTTTCCCTGCCCAACTGCTCTTAGATGTCCCTCAAGGCAGCGGGTCCTGAGTTCTAGCCCTGCTGAAACCATTGCACTGGCTGCCAAGGAGGAACCGAGCAAAGTTCAAAATAAATAAATCCTATTCTCAAAATAAATGAGTAATACTTTCTTATGCACACTTATGCACGCTACAAAAGTATGCCATTTCCCTTTCCAGAAATGCTTAATTGCTAATTGAATGGAATGAAAATGGATGGTTATTGTTATTATGTTTAGGGAAGCTTTGAATATTTGATGGACTATTTTATTTTAATATTTTGTTGGAAGCCGCCCAGAGTGGCTGGGGAACCCAGCCAGATGGGTGGGGTATAAATCATTATTACCAATTATTATTATTATTATTAATCAGGTGAGTGTTCTCCTTTCGAAAGTGGCAGGTGGAATCTCCATGGTTGCTAATAGCATAACGTTGAAAGTGCAGGGAAATATGGGGAGCCCTAGAGTATCTGCTTGGCATGCAGAATGTCCCAGGGTCAGCCCCTGACATCTCCTGCCAGGGCTGGACAAAATCCCTGCCTGAAACTCTGGGGAGCTGCTGCCAGTCAGTGTAGGCCAGGGGTCCTCATACTATGTCCCGCGGGCCGAATCCAGCCCTCCAGGGTCGTGAATCTGGCCTGCACGACCATTTCAGAACCCGCCAAGTGTTCGAGGATGAAAGCATCTCGCCACCCGCTCAGTCAGTCCCTGCGCCGTGCTGAGGTATAACACCGGTCTAGAAAGACCTACATTGGCTCCCACTACGTTTCCGAGCACAATTCAAAGTGTTGGTGTTGACCTTTAAAGCCCTAAACGGCCTCGGCCCAGTATACCCAAAAGAGCGTCTCCACCCCCATTGTGGTCCAGCTCCAAGGGCCTTTAGGTGGTTCCCTCATTGCAAGAAGCAAAGCTACAGGGAACCAGGCAGAGAGCCTTCTCGGTAGTGGCCCCCGCCCTGTGGAACGCCCTCCCATCAGATGTCAAAGCGATAAACAACTACCTGACATTCAGAAGACATCTTAAGGCAGCCCTGTTAAGGGAAGTTTTTAATGTGTGACATTTTTGTGTATTTTTGGTTGCTGTGGAAGCCGCTTAGAGTGGCTGGGGAAACCCAGCCAGATGGGCGGGGTACAAATAAATTATTATTATTATTATTATTATTATTATTATTAGTTGTTGTTGTTGTTGTTGTTGTTGTTGTTGTTGTTGTTTAGTCGTTTAGTTGTGTCCGACTCTTCGTGACCCCATGGACCAGAGCACGCCAGGCACTCCTGTCTTCCACTGCCTCCCGCAGTTTGGTCAGACTCATGTTTGTAGCTTCGAGAACATTGTCCAACCATCTTGTCCTCTGTCGTCCCCTTCTTCTTGTGCCCTCCATCTTTCCCAACATCAGGGTCTTTTCCAGGGAGTCTTCTCTTCTCATGAGGTGGCCAAAGTATTGGAGCCTCAGCTTCACGATCTGTCCTTCCAGTGAGCACTCAGGGCTGATCTCCTTCAGAATGGATCGGTTGGATCTTCTTGCAGTCCATGGGACTCTCAAGAGTCTCCTCCAGCACCATAATTCAAAAGCATTAATTCTTCGGCGATCAGCCTTCTTTATGGTCCAGCTCTCACTTCCATACATCACTACTGGGAAAACCATGGCTTTAACTATACGGACCTTTGTTGGCAAGGTGAGGTCTCTGCTTTTTAAGACGCTGTCTAGGTTTGCCATCGCCTTTCTCCCAAGGAGCAGGCGTCTTTTAATTTCGTGACTGCTGTCACGAAATTTATTATTATTATTATTAGGTAAACGCCACCAGTGGGGTGGCGGTTCTAGAATCATAGAATCATAGAGTTGGAAGAGACCACAAGGGCCATCGAGTCCAACCCCCTGCCAAGCAGGAAACACCATCAGAGCACTCCTGACATATGGTTATCAAGCCTCTGCTTAAAGACCTCCAAAGAAGGAGACTCCACCACACTCCTTGGCAGCAAATTCCACTGTCAAACAGCTCTTACTGTCAGGAAGTTCTTCCTAATGTTTAGGTGGAATTTTCTTTCTTGCAGTTTGGATCCATTGCTCCGTGTCCGCTTCTCTGGAGCAGCAGAAAACAACTTTTCTCCCTCCTCTATGTGACATCCTTTTATATATTTGAACATGGCTATCATATCACCCCTTAACCTCCTCTTCTCCAGGCTAAACATGCCTAGCTCCCTTAGCCGTTCCTCATAAGGCATCGTTTCCAGGCCTTTGACCATTTTGGTTGCCCTCCTCTGGACACGTTCCAGTTTGTCAGTGTCCTTCTTGAACTGTGGTGCCCAGAACTGGACACAGTACTCCAGGTGAGGTCTGACCAGAGCAGAATACAGTGGCACTATTACTTCCCTTGATCTAGATGCTATACTCCTATTGATGCAGCCCAGAATTGCATTGGCTTTTTAGCTGCCGCGTCACACTGTTGGCTCATGTCAAGTTTGTGGTCAACCAAGACTCCTAGATCCTTTTCACATGTACTGCTCTCAAGCCAGGTGTCCCCCATCTTGTATTTGTGCCTCTCATTTTTTTTGCCCAAGTGCAATACTTTACATTTCTCCCTTTTAAAGTTCATCTTGTTTGTTTTGGCCCAGTTCTCTAATCTGTCAAGGTCGTTTTGAAGTGTGATCCTGTCCTCTGGGGTGTTAGCCACCCCTCCCAATTTGGTGTCATCTGCAAATTTGATGAGGATGCCTGTCAGGGAACTGCCATCGGAAGGAAGGGAGGTGAAAGGGCTCACACAGGTTGGGGGAGACTCAGCAGCTGAAGAGGGAACCAGTAGGGGGAGAGGAGCTGAGCTGAGGGAAAGTGAGCTGGAGGGATGGCTCAGAGACACTTCCCGCGAAAACAGTGGGGAGGGTTCAGGACCTCCTGTAGGAACACCCACTCCTCGCCGGAAACTGTCACGCAGAGAGTCCAGAAGACGTGTTTCCGTTAAGGAGCTTTTATGTTGGAAGCGATTCCGAAGCAACCACTGTCGGAATCTGCTAGTGACTAGAGGAGCCATGTCTGAGGGGCTCCGTCACAGACAGAGGTTTGTGGACTTGAACAAACTCTGAGGGGATACGATTTTACGCACAAGCAGCTCATCATCCCATCACAATGCCCTTGAGTCCATCATCCAAGTCGTTGATAAAGATGTTGAATAAGACCGGGCCCAAGACAGAACCCTGTGGCACCCCACTAGTCACTCTTCTCCAGGATGAAGAGGAACCATTGATGAGCACCCTTTGGGTTCGGTCAGTCAGCCAGTTACAAATCCACTGAGTGGTAGCATAGTCAAGAAGGCATTTTACCAGCTTCTTTACAAGAATATCATGGGGCATCTTGTCAAATGCCTTGCTGAAATCAAGGTAGGCTACATCCACTGCGTTCCCTTCATCTACCAGGCTTGTAATTCTGTCAAAAAACGAGATCAGGTTAGTCTGACATGACTTATTTTTCAGAAATCCATGCTGACTATTGGTGATCACAGCATTCCTTTCTAGGTGCTCACAGACTGTTTGCTTAATGATCTGCTCCAGAATCTTCCCTGGGATTGATGTCAGACTGACTGGGCGGTAATTATTTGGGTCCTCTCTTTCCCCCTTTTTGAAAATAGGGACAACATTTGCCCTCCTCCAGTCTGCCGGGACTTCGCCTGTTCTCCAGGAATTCTCATAGATGACTGCCAGTGGTTCTGAGATCACATCTGCCAGTTCTTTTAATACTCTTGGATGCAGTTCATCTGGCCCTGGAGACTTGAATACATCTAAACTAGCCAAGTATTCTTGTACTATCTCCTTAGTTATTCTGGGCTGTGTTTCCTCTGCTGAATCATTTGCTCCAAATTCTTCAGGCGGGCATTGTTTTCTTTATCGGAGAAGACTGAGGCAAAGTAGGCATTGAGGAGTTCAGCCCTTTCTGTGTCCCCTGTTTGCATTTCACCATCTTCTCCTCTGAGTGACCCCACTGTTTCTTTGTTCTTCCTTTTGCTACGAACATACCCATAAAAGCCTTTTTTGTTGCTTTTAACCTCTCTAGCAAGCCTGAGTTCATTCTGTGCTTTAGCTTTTCTGACTTTGTGTCTACACGTGCTGGCTATTTGTTTGAATTCCTCTTTGGTGGTTTCCCCCTTTTCCATTTTTGTACACATCCTTTTTGAATCTGAACTCAGTTAAACGTTCTTTAGATAGCCACCCTGGCTTCTTTAGGCACCTTCCATGTTTCCGTCTCATTGGTATTGCCTGAAGTTGTGCTTTTACTATCTCCCTCTTAACAAACTCCCAGCCATCATGAACTCCCTTTCCTTTTAGTATTACTGTCCATGGGATCTCACCCAGCACTTCCCTAAGTTTTATGAAGTCAGCTTTCTTAAAGTCAAGAAATTGAGTCCTAGTATGCTTGGTTGCTCCTTTCCGCTGTATAGTAAACTTCAGAAGAGCATGATCACTTGCGCCTAATGATCCTTCCACTTCTACCCCACTAACCAGGTCATCAACATTGGTTAGGACCAGATTTAAAATGGCTGTTCCTCTTGTTGCTTCTCCCACTTTCTGGACAATGAAGTTGTCTGCAAGGCCAGTGAGGAATCTGTTTGACCTTATGCTCTTGGCTGAATTTGACATCCAACAAATATCCGGGTAATTGAAGTCCCCCATTACTACTATCTCCCTTCCTTTTGCATGCTTGGCCATCTGTTCCAGGAAGGCATCCTCTATGTCCTCCGTTTGGCTTGGGGATCTATAGTAAACTCCCACAATGAGGTCACTGTTATTCTTCTCTCCCTTAATTTTGACCCAAATGCTCTCACTTTGGCTTTGAGGTTCTAAATCTTGGATCTCTTCACAGGTATACACATCCCTGACATATAACGCCACTCCTCCTCCTTTCTTGTCTGGTCTGTTTCTCTGAAATAGATTGTATCCCTCCATTATTACATTCCAATCGTGGGACTTATCCCACCAGGTTTCAGTGATGCCTATTATGTCATATTTAGTTTGCTGTACCAAGAGCTCAAGCTCATCTTGTTTATTTCCCATGCTTTGCGCATTAGTGTACAGACATTGAAGTCCATTAATCATTCCCCCGTGTCTCTTATTTAAGGATTTTTTCCTCCCACCACTAGGTCTGCGTGCTGTTTGCTCCATTTGGTCTATGACATTTGGATGATCATCTTCATCAATTGATAGACTCCTACCTTCAGGAGCACTGTCTCCCTCCCCCACATTAGTCAGTTTAAAGCCCTCCTGATGAGGTTTCTGAGATTTTTGGCAAAAACATTTCTCCCAACCGTTGTGAGGTGCAGCCCATCGCTTGCCAGAAGTCCATCTTCAAGAAACTGCAGTCCGTGATCTAAGAATCCAAACCGTTCCTGTTTACACCATTTGCGAAGCCAGCTGTTCACTTCCACTATTTTCCCGTCTCTCCCTGGGCTACGTCGTTCAACTGGGAGGACAGATGAGATGACAATTTGTGCATTTAATTGCTTCAATTTCCTGCCCAGAGCCTCGTAGTCTCTTTTGATCTTCTGGAGGCTATTGCTTGCAGTGTCATTGGTTCCCACATGAACCAAGAGGAAGGGGTATTTGACAGTGGGTTTTATGATTCCTTGCAGTCGTTCAGTTACATCTTGGATCTTAGCCCCGGTGAGACAGCACACTTCCCGAGACATCTTGTCAGGCCCACAGATCACTGCTTCTGTTCCCCTCAGTAGGGAATCCCTATCACCACTACACGCCTCCTCTTAGGTTTGGTCGGGGTTCTTCCGTGAGCTGTCCGTTCCAAGGTCGCCTGCACATTCCCTGAGGACTGACTTTGCTGCTCGTCTTCATATACCTGATCGACTGTAATGAGGAGAGATCCTCAAATGGAGTCTGCTCTTTGTCTTCCATGCTAGGGAGAGGACCTCAAAGCGATTGTGTATTTCTAAACAATCAGAGCGAACCCTGGGCCTCCTACTTCTTTGAGTCACGTTTCTCCATATATCTGGCTCCTGTGTTGGTGAACTAGCCTCCTTCTCAGGGGAGTCCCCTGTCTCCTCCTTGGTGGAGACGGTGTGCTCTGTTGCTTCCAAAAAGAGCTCCAGCTCTCTAATTCTTTGGAGCGTAGCTACACGTTCCTCCAGTTGCTGGACTTTGTCTTCTAAGAGGGCAATCAACATGCAATTGCTGCAGGTAAAGCTGCCTGCAACCTTTGCCAAGATGGCAAACATTGCGCAGGAACCGCAGGCGACTGCAGCTGTTCCCTCCCCCTCCATCTTGAGAACGTGTCGTTGGGGGTGGCTACAGCGGTCCTCCATCATAAAAAGCGTGAAGACAGGACAAATAACTCCCCCCCCCCACACAAAAACCTAGGTCTCCCCCAACAAACGTTTGAGACTAGCTCCCCTAAATCTAAAAGATGGATCAAACTGCCACTGCTCTGCAAACTCTGATAAACTCCTCCCACAGCTAATCACCTGCCTCAACAGAAACCCTGCCCCCTCTGACCTTTGCACAGGGAGAACAGCTAATCAGCCACAAAGAAACACACACACACACACAAAAACCCTTTTTGCTCCTTCTTCAACTGCTACCCTGCAAGCTCTGATAAGCTCCTCCCACAGCTAATCACCTGCCTCAACAGAAACCCTGCCCCCTCTGACCTTTGCACAATGAAAGGCCAGGGGTTTTGCCCGGGGATGGGGAAGGGTTGTCTTTTGGCTTGAAGCGTGAAGTTGAGTTCGGAGTTAACCACACAGCTAACCAATTATTTTAGGAAGGCAAGTCCAATACCAACTGCCCAAACTTTGGCGCGCAAAAAGCCCTAGAAGCCAACCGTAATTGCTAAATTGGAATTCACGGCACCTAGCACTTTAACTCAATTGATTTAAATTAACTTACCCTGGGTCACACCAGTTAAATTCACAACTTGACTGTAGGAAACCTTAGCTTTAAATTAACTCCCTTTGCATGAGAACCAATTAAAGTAAGGAATTGACCGCAGAAAAACCTAACCCTCAGCAACAAAAAAATCAATTAAATCCCTCCTGATCACGACTAAATTCCTAGCACTTTTGTAACTCCACAGAGAAAGAGCCCTTATAACAACCCCCCTGAGCAGCCGTGTGGCAAGCAAGCACCCCCCCACTGGGACAGCAGTTGAACCAAAAAATTGCGCTTGCCAGAACCTAATTAAGTCAAGTGCCCTATGCTGAAACTCCGCCCTTGTCCTTATGTTCTTATAATTAAAGCGCAATGAGAAATTGAAGCCGATAAGCTAGGGGTGGAGTCTATTAGCCTCTTCCAAGATGGTGCCGATAATCCCCGTAGCCGAGGAGCCACGTGGTTTGCCTACAATGGCGACGCTGAGGAGCCACGTGGTTTACTCAGAATGGCGACGCTGCGTCGTGCCACCCCGGCAAGCGAAAAATTAATATAACAGCTCTAATCGGTCAGCGGTAGCCCTAACGCGCCGCTGCCCCTTTTTTCCTCCGTTCGGCTTCTCGTGAGGGAATTTAGCCCCAAAGCCCGAAGAACGCTGCGCAAGACAAACCTGAGGCGGGGAATTGCCACACTTAAAATGGCCGCCTTGATCAACCCCCTAACACACACGTGGGGCACCCACGTGGGCCTACAGCGAGCGACGCTGTGCCGTGTAACCTAGGCAACCGGGAGAGGGAATTCCCTCAATAACCGAAGAACACCCGTACGCGCCGCTTAATAAAAATTAAACCAGTTTACAAGAAAGGGGGACAGTCCCGCAGCCCGTTAAACAATTAACCCAATCGGGCCGCCCGAAACAAATCCAGCCCCCGAGCAGTGCTCCCCAATACGTTACCACCTCAGACGGAGGGTGCTTAGCCGCCCAGGAAGCGGCAGGCAGGCGCCCGGGGAAGGTAAGGTGATGCCGAGATAAAGCACCTCGAGCGCCGTTTCCACACCGATGTCGTTGCACGCTCTGAATACGCTTCCGCCAGCGGCAACAGGGAAAAAGCAGCGAAAACAACCCTAAAAATCAAAACCTCCCAGCGATTTCAGCTCTGAACACGGAAAAAAAAAATATCTGGCAAGAGCCTGGTCGCCATGAGGCCAGGAGCCCGTTGGCTGGTGGCCACGATCTGCTGGTCGGAGCCGAAAAAGAGAGCTCGCGGAGGCAAAAAGAGAGCTCGCTAGCGATCCGAAGGAGATCCAAATGAAAGTGACCCGAAGCAACCCAAGCCCAGCCAGAACCCTGCGCATGATTTCAGCTCTTTCAAAGGCGTCCGGCAGCGGCTTCTTGGGGTGGGGTGTCCCTCCCCTGTAGTAGGACTTGGAATCCAGGAGAAAACTCTTGGAATAGCCTTGCCAGGTGCTCAGGGAGGGACTCACCTGTCCCCATGTCCTTCCCTTTGGAGATGTGCTGCAAACTGTGTTGGAATGTGACATCAAGCTTTATTTACAGCGGAAAATAACAAAGAAACATGGTGTAGTGAAGTTAGTACATTTCAAGAAGCTGTTCCTTGGTCAAGCAAGAATAAGGCCTTGTGGGCAATCAGCAAGCCACAAGAATTATGGGAATTAGGTCGTGTTGCTTTAAGCCACAGACCAGCAGGCTCCAAGGGTGTGAAAGGTTTATTATGGGAAAGGAATTCTCTGGGTAATGTGAAGGCTTGACACCTGTGATGGAAGTTATGCACATTCAAGCGGTGATGTTATCTATCTTTTAATTGCCCAAAGGAGGTGCATCTGCATAAGCTCCACGGAAGGGAGGAAACACCTTTGATCTAGGCTCTGGAGCCTTAATTGGCCCAGCTGTCACAAGTTAAAATTATTAGCCCACAAGCTGGTCATTGGAGAATTTGAATGTAGCCAAGGATTGTGATTGGACCTGGGGGTTCTGGTTCCCCGTGCAAATTGGGAATAAAAGATCTTGAGAATGGCTGGAAAGGCGCCCTCTGCAATCCGCAAATCCGCCCGGCTGCTGCTAACGTTCCACCTGGCAGCCGTCCTTTGTTCTTTTGTGATGAAGATTTTCTAAGACCTCTGAATGCGGATCACTGAAGGACTCTGAACTATCCTATCTTTGTCTTAGTGTGTAGAAGTGAGTATTAGTTATATTCTGCAACGTTATTATTTTTTCTTGCTTGTAATTCTACAAAAGATGTGCCTGCTTTTTAGCATGTTTCTTTATGCTTTTTAAAATAAATTTTAAGAAAGAACCTTTCTCTTGTATTGTGTGCCTGTCCGTGGTTGTTGTTGTTTAGTTGTTTAAATCCCCTTCATGGATCACTGCCTTGCCGTGGCGAAGGGGCTTGAATAACTCAGAGAAGCTATGAGCTATGCCGTGCAGGGCCACCCAAGATGGACAGGTCATAGTGGAGAGTTTTGACCAAACGTGATCCACCTGGAGGAGGAACCGGCAAGCCACTCCAGTATCCCTGCCAAGAAAACTCCATGGACAAAGACAACAGGCATATAAAAGTGCCTGTCCGAGGGAATAGCAAATTCCAACACCTAAACTTCTTGGTTGCGCTCTACCTAAGAATTTCTGCCTGCAAGCTTGTGGAAGCAACTTGTGGATTGGGGTTAACCGGTCACAAAGGAGCACAGCCGTCTCCCTTGGGCTGTGGCTTCAGGTAACCCTGGGATGAGGGAGTGGTGGCAGCCTTACCAGTTCTGTTTTGTCCTGATTCTGAAAAAGTAAAGGGTCTGCTCGCCCTGCTCCTGACACCTGGTCTGGCCGGAGAGCAAAGACAGGTGAGGGAGGGGCAAATGGTTGGGGACCCGTTTACCACACATGGCGTGAGCTGTCTTCCACAGCCGTCTCCTCCTTGGTCAGAGTAAAAGAGAACAAAGGATGGAAGTGATTTACAGACTGACTTCCATTCTTACACAGACAGTACAGAAGGTGTAAACTGTTGGTTTCTGATTTCCCTCACTGAGCAGCAACTGCAGTCACAAGACATTGTTTTACATTCCACAGTCTGTACTGTTGGAGTTTCTCACGGGAAAGGGAGACTGGATGTGACGTACACTGGTTTCCTGTTTTTTTCACTGTGTGATTCTCTCCAAGCTGTGGAGGAGAGAGGATGCATTTTTCTGCTCTTGCAGAGGCAAGATGTCTTTCTGTAATATACCAGCTTTGAACTGTAAATAAAGCAATATAGAGTATGTAACACATTTTCCTCATCCTTCCGCTGGGCACGAGGCTCTGCTTTAAATCAACACGTGGTTATGGACTCCAGAGGTCGAATCGGAGTGCCGGCAAAGGATCGGAATGCAGAGGAACAGATCGGAACGGAATCTGCTCTGCGCGTAGAAGTGATTGATGAGGTATGTGCTACTGCTCCGGGCAGCCTGCCAGCTTCAAGTTAATGGCTTTATGGCTGGACTTTGAACTTTTAAAGCCGGTTTTGCCGGGAATAGGCAAAAGGCTCCCAGGCACAAGTCACTATGCTGGGAAATCGAAGTAACTTTTAAGTGCGCCTTTGTAATCAGGCAGCTGCAGCAGTGACGCAGCAAGATTTAAAGCAGCATATGACGCTGAAGGCTAATGCCAGAGTCATGATGGCCCTTCAGGATGCTTGTGGGATTCCTAAGCTCAACAAGAAAAATTACAGCGACTGGGTTCAGTATGCAGAGGCAATTCTGCGGAAAGAGGGTTTGTTTGAGGTGATTACAGGAACCCCCCCAGTTCCGGTTACAGATGCATGGGAGGCTAAGGATTCCAAAGCAAGGGGAACTCTTACATTGATAGTATCCCCAGAAGAGCTCTGTCTATTGCGTGATAAGACCTCAGCCAGAGAAATTTGGGACGCTCTGAGAGAGGCTCACTTAAGGACAGAAGCTGGATCCACTATGTTTTATTTTAACAAGCTGCATAATATGGCTCTTGCTGAAGGTGGAGATGTGCGTTTACATCTGATGCAGATGCAAAATCTGAGACATGAGCTGCAACAGAGAGGACTCAACTTTCCAGAGGCTGTGTATTCTTTCATGATACTACAATCTTTGGGTTCAGGTTGGGAGTCTGTTGCAACCCAGATTGCTGTGCAACCAACTGCTCAGCTGACAGTGGACTTTGTTACTGCCGTGATTTTAAATGAAGCAGATCGCCGGGGTGCTGGCTGCATGGGCAAGGGGGAGTCTTCACAGACGTCATCCCATAGTGCAGTGGAACCACCTGATGGCGCCAAAGCTTTGAAGGCAGTCAAATGCTACTCGTGTGGACGTCTAGGCCATATGAAGAGGGAATGCAGACATCCCAGGGCCAAGACAGAGCAGCGCAGCGAAGCTCATCGCGCGGAAAAGGCCGAGGCAAAGGCAAAGGTCCGGTGTCTAGGACAACGCAGCACAAGGCTATGGTTTCACGCTTCACTCCAAAGGTTGCAGAGGTCCAGAAGACGTCTAGATCTTTCTTCGTTGTTGATTCAGCGGCCACCCACCACATGTGCAACGATAAGAAACTGTTTGTGTCTTTTACACCGCAGGAAGGTGCGATTCACCAGGCGGATGACCACACTATTCCCAGTAAAGGCTACGGAACTGTTGTTCTTCACAGTTTGGACTTATCGATACAGAATGTGCTTTACGTGCCAGACGCCAAACATAATCTGCTCAGCGTTGGACAGCTGAATGAGCGGAACATTGACGTTTCCTTCAAGAACAAGAAGTGCATCATCACAAAGAAAAATGATTATGTATTGCATGCAGAATATGTTGATCATTTGTTTGTTTTGTATTATGATGATGTGGTGCAGGATGACACTTGTTGCATTGCAGGTTCTAACAAAAGTTTGCATGCAGAATGTATTCACGATTTTCATCGAAAATTTGGTCATTTGCATTTTGAGGCAGTATCTAAAATGCCTGCCTTGGTTGAAGGTATGACTATTAAACCCTGCAGGTACCACATGAAGTGCAAAGCATGCGCAGCAAACAAGGTGAAAATGGCTGCGAAAGGTAAGGTGTCTAGTAGGAAAGCTACAGAACCATACCAGGTTGTTCATGCTGATTTGGTTGGACCACTACCGCCCTCTTTGGGTGGAAATAGATACTTCATGGTTCTCATTGATGCATTTTCTAGATATATTTTTGTGTACAATCTCAAGCAGAAATCGGAGGCTTTTCCTAGGTTCAAGGAATTCTGTGCTTGGTTGGAAAATGTGCATGGTAAGAAGATAAAGACTCTTTTCAGTGATCGCGGGGGAATTCACTTCTCAGCAGTTTGAAGCTTTTCTGACTGAGAAAGGAATTCAACACGATTTGTCTAGTCCTCGCTCGCCATGGCAGAATGGACTTGCGGAACAGGCAAATCAGACATTGCTTCAAGGGTTAAAGACCTTGCTGCATGATGCCAATCTTCCAGAGAGTTATTGGGCCGAATCTCTCTCGTGTTTTGTTTACAGTTACAATCGCAGGTTATCTTCAGCGATCGGTTGTACCCCCTATGAGATGATGTTTGGCAGAAGCCATACATCAAACACATGAAGATTTTGGTTCTGACATGTGGGTTCGCTCACCACAAAACTCCAAGTTAGACAAGCGTGGATTGCATGGTATCTTTCTAGGTTATCAGAAAGGGTCTTACAGAATAATGATGACTGACTCTAAGACAATTAAGCTCACGAGAAGTGTTGAGTACAATGCAAAGTGGGGGAGAATGTGGGAATTTTCCAATGTTATCCTGATGACGGTGATGAGACTGAGGATAGTCAAAGCAACCACAACAACCCACACCCACTGATGAAGGTTCTGAGTCTGAATCTGAAACTGAATCGGGTGATTCAGAGGATTTCGAGAGTGCGAAAGCCTCTATGCGACCCTCTGAAAGCTCTGATCAAGAATTGGAGGAACCATTGTTCACAATAGGTCGTTTTTCTCCTAAGAAGGAAAAGGAGAGTGTTGAAGACTTAAGGCTAATTCGTAGGTCACAGAGAGCCACAAAAGGCAAACCTCCAAAGAGATTTGCTGATGAGTTTGCTAAGATAGCAGTAACAGCTGTTAAAAGCTCCAAGAAGGTATTTGAACCTTCAAGTTTCCAAGAAATCCAGGGTTTGGATTCAAAGGAAGCTGAGCCATGGTTAAATGCCATGAAGGCTGAGCTTGATTCCTTAGAAAGGAACAAAACATGGGAGCTAGTTCCAGTAGTTCCAGGAATGAAACTGCTTGGAAGCAAATGGGTCTTCAAAGCGAAGACAGATCAAAATGGCAAGATAGTCAGACACAAAGCCAGATTGGTAGCCAGAGGTTTTGCACAGGTACCAGGTGAAGACTATCACGAGACCTATTCACCCACAGTGAGATATGAAAGCATTAGGCTTATGCTCAAGCTAGCTGCAGAGGAAAATCTACACATTAGTCACCATGATATTAATACAGCTTTTCTGTACGGATCTCTAGATGAATCACTTTATATGCTTCCACCTGATGGCGTACAGGTAAAACAGGGATTTGTTTGTGCTCTGAAGAAATCCCTTTATGGTCTCAAACAAAGTGCACGGTGTTGGCACACAAAACTCACTGAAGTATTGTTTTCTCTAGGTTTTCAGCAAGGGAAAGCTGATCCATGTGTATTTGTCAAAGAGGAGGGGCAAAAGAAACTGTACTGTTTGTTTTATGTTGATGATTTATTATTCTTTTGGAAAGATGTTGCAATGTACAATAGCGCCCTAGCTCAACTGAAAGAGCACTTTGACATGAAAGATCTTGGTGAGGTAAACAACTACCTATCTCTGGAAATAGAGAGAGATCAAGATGGTAACATTCTAGTACACCAGTCACGGAAAATTGCTGATGTGTTAAGCAAACTAAATCTGATGGATGCTAACCCTGTAGACACACCGATGACAACAGGTTATCAGGTAGATGACACTGAAGAAGCATTTTCTGACACTACACTGTACAGGAGTGTGCTAGGCAAGCTAAACTTCATTGCCAGATGTTCAAGACCAGACATTGCTGTTAGCTGTAATTTGCTAAGCAGACAAGTCAACAATCCTAGTGTCAAGGATTGGAAAGCTCTGAAACGCATAGCGCGGTATTTGAAAGGCACTATGCATTACAGACTGAGATTTAACAATCAGAAGTCTGGTGGTCTTGAGATATTTGCAGATGCAAGTTTTGGAAGTGACACTACAGACAGGAAAAGTACGTCTGGAGTTTGCTACATGTACAATCAGAGTCTGTTTGATTGGTCATGCAAGAAGCAAACAACAGTTAGCTTAAGTACTTGTGAAGCCGAACTGAATGCACTGTCTTATTCACTTAAGGATTGTGAATGGTTAGTACAATTGTGCAAAGATATGAAAATTCCTGTCAAATGTCCAATCCAGGTTTACCAGGACAACAAAGCATGTTTGGCTTTGCTCAAGTCTGAAGGTTGTAAGCAAAGCACAAAGCACTTACAATTAAAGTTGCAGCATGCTAGGGAATGTATTCAGAAGGGACTCGTAACGGTGTCCTATATGCCAGGTAATGAAATTCCTGCTGATGTATTGTCCAAGATTGTATCAAGGGATCAACACTGTACCTATGTGCAGAAGTTGGGTTTGTACTGATATTGTACGAACACGCTGCCCAGTGATGTTCACAGAAAGGGGGGGATGTTGGTTTCTGATTTCCCTCACTGAGCAGCAACTGCAGTCACAAGACATTGTTTTACATTCCACAGTCTGTACTGTTGGAGTTTCTCACGGGAAAGGGAGACTGGATGTGACGTACACTGGTTTCCTGTTTTTTTCACAGTGTGTTTCTCTCCAAGCTGTTGAGGAGAGAGGATGCATTTTCTGCTCTTGCAGAGGCAAGATGTCTTTCTGTAATATACCAGCTTTGAACTGTAAATAAAGCAATATAGAGTATGTAACACATTTTCCTCATCCTTCCGCTGGGCACGAGGCTCTGCTTTAAATCAACATGGATATCATGTTACACTAGCAATGGGAGAATGAAATACTGACAGTTTGGCCCCCAATTTGGTCCAAGACCAAAGCTGGCATCCCTCATGGTCCAGGAGTGCCAGGGACTCCGTGGTGGGGGCAGTGGGGGCCGCTTTGGCCCAGATTGGCCCCTGACTCCGAGACGCTCTTTCCTCCCACAGGACCTCCAATGTTACGCCTTTGGGAAAGTGGGGAGGAACAGAAACTAGCAGCCAACAGCATCTCTTCTCTGCTGGCCTTTGCCCGAAGGTCCCCCCCATCTCAGAGCAAGTAGCTTTCCCCCATGGATTCAGTCCTTTCATCACTTCCATCTCCCCAAGAGACTCCCAAGGCTACTCATCCTCTGCAGCTGATAACAGACTGAAAAGAACGGCTTCCTCTTCTGGTGACACCAGAGAATTCTAGAAGACATTCACCCTTTCCATAGCATTATGGATGCACGATTCCCACAGACAAGTTTCTTGGCAAGACAAGGGCCTTCGCTGGCCATAGAGTGTCCTCCTCAGCATCCCCAACGAAGGAGCTGGGTTGCGAGAGCTGCAGCTAATGGGGGGGGCTGTCCTCCCCCCTCCCATCTCACCTGGCTGCTAGGTAGGAAAGCAAGACCCAGAGAGAGTTGTGGGAAACCCCAAAACCAGCTTGCTCTGTGCCGGAGCCAAAGCTGCCACTGATAGAGAAGCAAGATCTGTTTGGGTGTTGATGCTGTGAGCCCCTCCGTCCTACACTCCGGTTGTGTATGCGAGTAAATAAAACTGTATCATAAAGACGCCCCAGTCTCTGCTGATTTTCGTTCCAAGGAAACTGAATCTGGAGAAGCGCCTGGGACCCCTGGAATCTCACCGCTCAGACTGGGGTAGTTTGCAAATACACACACACACACAATAATTTGTGCCTGTGCTCCTAATAGATAACTAAGTGTGAAGAGCATGTCATGTGCTTTAGCAACAGCCCTCCTGTAAATAAGGAAATGCAACCCCCATTGCTGGTTGACTCAAAAAAGCAACAAGGGAATCTGCTCTGGTGTCCCATGAGGTCTGTGCGGCCCTTAAGTAAGAGGAGCCATTGCCTTTCTTTCTTTAAAAATATAACTTACTTAAAGAAATTTTAACATAATCAAACATTCAAATTACATTTTACAATTTTAATTAACACCCCGCCCCCATGCGACTTCCCCCAACTTCCCTTCCTGGTTTAGAACACCTCTGTTTCTTTTGCTTATAATTTTGTATTCCTTATATATTAAAATGAAGGTTATAACATTTGTCTCTTCCTTCTCATTTTTACCTCATAATTGAATTTTCTGTTTGTATTTGTCCACTGTAATTGTATTACTCAAATCCTGCCAGTGAGTTCATTTCTATGCATTGTTTCTCTATATACATCTTGAAAGGTTCCCAATCTTTTAAAAAGTCAGTATTGTCCTTATCTTTAAGTCTCTCAGCTTCGCCATTTCAGCGTATTCCACCAACTTTTCTTTTTTAAAAAAAATAAAATTATTTATTCCAAATTTAAAATTACAAAAAAGAGAAAGAAAAACCATACAAAATACAAAGAAAACTTTAACCATAACAAAGCGAAAAATAAAAAGATAAAAATGAAGAGTGAACAATAAAATAGAATAAAAAAGAAGGCTTAACAAAAAATATAAAAATACATTAAGTTAAAATAAAACAAAAACAGATTTAACCTTTACATAGCCTTTTCCCTTTACTTATTTCCATGACCTCCTCTCACCTCCCAATTTTGTATTCTAGTTCAGATCGTATTTCCAGCAAATCCTTCTAACCTTATTTTCATTTACGTATTTTAAAATTTAAATGTGATTAAACCTCCTCTGTTTCATCAATTTCATCAACTCATTTTTACTTAATCCTTTACTTTTCTTGCCAGTGTTCTTTTGCTGGTATTTCATCGCCTTTCCATCTTTGAGCTAATAAAAACGCTTCTGGTCTTTTAACAAAGGTTATCTTAAACATTTTTTTCATTTCATTATAGATCATCTTCCAATAGGTGGAGCCAGGTGGGGGGGTTGTCATGGTGACAAGGACGGGGGGGGGGGAGCCACAGACTTGCAGGCGACCATTTTGGGTTAGTAGTGAGGTGAGTGGAGGAAAGAGCAGTTGGTGGCAGTTGACGGAGGACAAGGTGAGGCAATCAGTGGATTCTTATTTTCTCAGTTTCTTATTTCATTTATTACTTGTTTTTCTCTTCTTGAAGATGTGCCACAGGCTTTCTTCATCCAGCAATGGTGAGTATTGGAGGAAACAAGAGTAGGGAGAGGATCCCTCAGACCTGCTCCCCGCTGCCAGGACTCTCACTTGTGAGGAACTGGCAGCCTGACTTTGCTGGAGCCGGAGCAAGATCTCTTGCTCCAGGTGATGCAGAGCTGCCAGGCAGCTGCCCTGAGAGGCCTCCACGCCCTTCAGGTGTCCAAGCACTGGACAGCAGAGGCCGTTCTGGGGAGGGACCCCCATGGGGAGGTGGGGGAGGGAGGGGCTTTGGGGAAGGGGTTGTCCGTCTGCCGGAGAGAAGGACCCTCCTGGCTTACGTTCACGTATCCTGTTTGAACGGGGAATCATCTGAGGGACTTCCTGTGAAAATCTGGGTCAGGAATGCGGTTCCTACAATGGAGGCATGTGCAACATTGATATACTATGGAACTGTAGTAGGCTCCAATTTGGACTTTATGAACATATGTGGAACAGAAACTAGCAGACACTTGGTCTTTATGAATGAACTGATTTATTGGGACTTCCGTCTATATTATTGCACTTTATGTGTTGTTTATGTGCAAGATAAACATTTGATGTTGTGATAAGAATATATAGAAGAGTATTGTTTATGTGAATGAACAGCCGGTTACGTCTTGTGTGTTTGTCCATTCCAGGAACAGCATTCCTGACCCAGATGTTCACAGGAAGTCCCTAAGATGATTCCCTAAGAATATATAGAAGAGTATTGTTTATGTGAATCCACAGCCGGTTACGTCTTGTGTTTGTCGAATGTATTTCATGTAATAACAAGATGCTGTTTTGCAAATTCCTAGAATGGAGGCATGTGCAACAGGTCAATCGCGATCTACTGGTCGAATCCACAACTCTGGTCAATGCTCCCTGAGAAAAGCTCAACAACTCTGGCCAAAGACAATGGGTAGATGACTGGCAGGTTTTTTATTACTGGGAGTAGATCTCAGCATCTTGGAAGTTGGACGTCCCTGCTATAATGCATAGGTAAAGGTAAAGGGACCCCTGACCATTAGGTCCAGTCCTGGACGACTCTGGGGTTGCGGCACTCATCTCGCTTTATTGGCCGAGGGAGCCTGCGTACAGCTTCCGGGTCATGTTGCCAGCATGACTAAGCTGCTTCTGGCGAATCAGAGCAGCGCACGGAAACGGAAGGCGAAGGGGTAGATTTAAGAGACCAAATTTCCAAGGGCATAAAACCTTTTCAGTCAGTTTAAAATCCACTTTCCCAGTTTGATGTCCTAAGACATATATCTCATTCAGCCCACATTTTACCAGCTTCCTCACATAAATCTCACAGAGGACTCTGTCAAAAGCCTTACTGAAATCGAGGTGCACTATTTCCACAGCAGTTCCCTGATCAACAAAGTTTGTAACTCCATCCAAAAAAAAGAAAAGAAGAAAAGGAGAGATTTCTCTGGCTTGACTTGTTTGTGAGAAAGCCATGCTTTCATCCTGCATGTTGTAAAATCTTCAGATGAAGGGCAAATAAATTTAAAAAAGAATAAATGAGGATATTGACATGTGCAAAGCAAGGTGATTTATGTCTTCATTTAATTTGGAAACCACCCGACCCAGTGGTGCCAACTTGAATAAAATATTGGTGGAGGGCCAGGTAAGGCCTGCCTTGCACTATCAATCACATGATGCATGCACACCATTTGAATGGCAATGCCTATAATGGCAGCACCTTTTTAAAAAAGTAGTATTTTGAGCCCGTAGTTCAATTTCCCAGCAGCTCCCCTTGCCCCGGAGAACACTTCTAGCATTCCATCTCCTCTACCTGTGGCATTGTTCAGCAGTGGGGAAAGCGACCTCTTCACAACGGATTTCCATTTGGTATGGCCCTTTCCAGATTTTTCCCTGCCCCTTGTGTTTGTCTTTCATTTGTTTTCTCATATGTGTGTTGCCAGTAGAAGCCACAATTCTGTGGGTACTCTAGGTGGTGCAGAAAGCACCTAGAACCTCCCTAGAGGTTGAAGTGCCGATCAAACTTCAGTCTTGTGCTCTATTAATTCCAATTGGCAGTACTGGGGGTGGTTCAGATTCTGGGGCAGTGCTTTTGGCCAGCAGAGGGTGTCACAAGGCCAGCCTACTTTCCCTTTAAAGCAAACTTGGGTGTCCAGCTGGTTTTGGACTACAACTCCCATCATCCCTCGCTAGAACCAATGGGGAGGGATGATGGAAACTGTAGTCCGGGAGCTGCTGGGGACCCAAGTTTGGGAAAGCCTGCTTCAAAGCAACTTTTCCATCTTGCCCGCAAAGATGGGACCTGTCCATGTTTGTATCTTCTTGTATTTTGTTTTCCTCATGACCTTTGTGCGTTTATTTTTTAAGAGGGCAAATTGAAAGAGAAATTGTATGGCAAGTTGCAGAAGAATAAAAGGTTGTGTTTGAAAAAAACACACCAAAAACTGGGGGGTGGCATCCTTAAATATTTTATTGGGGGTGGGGCAAAGACCCCTAGGCCTTTAAGAGTTGGCGCCTATTCCCTACACCCACAGGTCTCAGGATGGTTCCAACATAAAAAAACAAGAAACAAAAAAACAACCACATATTAAAAGGGCATTAGATGTCAATCAGCCAAAAGCCTGGTTAAAAAGGTGCATCTGCCTGGTTCCTAAAGCTGTATAATGGTTTTTCCGGCCATTGTATGGATTCTTTGATGGGAAGTAAGATTGGCACTCTGACTGAAGCTCTTTCCACATTCCACACACTGATAGGGTTTCTCCCCTGTATGAATTCTTTTATGGGAAATGAGAGAGGAACTATCTGTGAAGCTCTTTCCACATTCCACACACTGATAGGGTTTCTCCCTGTATGAATTCTTTGATGGGAAGTGAGATGGGAGCTCTGACTGAAGCTCTTTCCACATTCCAAACACTGATACGGTTTCTCCCTGTATGGATTCTTTGATGGGAAGTGAGATTGGAGCTCTTCCTGAAGCTCTTTCCACATTCAACGCCCTGATAGGCTTTCTCCCCTGTCTGAATTCTGTGATGGGAAGTGAGAGAAGAGCTACATGTGAAGCTCTTTCCACATTCCACACACTGATAGGGTTTCTCCCCTGTATGAATTCTTTGATGGGAAGTGAGAGAGGAGCTATTTCTGAAGCTCTTTCCACATTCCACGCACCGATAGGGTTTTTCCCCTGTATGAATTCTTTGATGGGAAGTAAGGGAGGAGCTCTTCCTGAAGTTCTTTCCACATTCCACGCACTGATAGGGTTTCTTCCCTGTATGAATTGTTTGATGGAAAGTGAGACTGTGGCTGTGAGTGAAGTTCTTTCCACATTCCACGCACTGATAGGGTTTCTCCCCTGTATGAATTCTTTGATGGGAAGTGAGATTGGAGCTCTGACTGAAGCTCTTTCCACATTCCACACACTGATAGGGTTTCTCCCCTGTATGAATTCTTTGATGGGAAGTGAGAGAGGAGCTACATGTGAAGGTCTTTCCACATTCCACACACTGATAGGGTTTCTCCCGTGTATGAATTCTCTGATGCTTAGTGAGATTGGAACTCTTCCTGAAGTTCTTTCCACATTCCGCGCACTGATAGGGTTTCTCCCCTGTATGAATTGTTTGATGGAAAGTGAGACTGTGGCTGTGACTGAAGCTCTTTCCACATTCCACACACTGATAGGGTTTCTCCCCTGTATGAATTCTTTGATGGAAAGTGAGAGAGGAGCTCTGACTGAAGCTCTTTCCACATTCCACACACTGATAGGGTTTCTCCCCTGCATGAATTCTTTTATGGGAAATGAGAGAGGAACTATCTGTGAAGCACTTTCCACATTCCACACACTGATAGGGTTTCTCCCTGTATGAATTCTTTGATGGGAAGTGAGATGGGAGCTCTGACGGAAGCTCTTTCCACATTCCAAACACTGATACGGTTTCTCCCCTGTATGGATTCTCTGATGCTTAGTGAGATTGGAACTCTTCCTGAAGTTCTTTCCACATTCCAGCGCACTGATAGGGTTTCTCCCCTGTATGAATTGTTTGATGGAAAGTGAGACTGTGGCTGTGAGTGAAGCTCTTTCCACATTCCACACACTGATAGGGTTTTTCCCCTGTATGAATTCTTTGATGGGAAGTGAGATGGGAGCTCTTCCTGAAGCTTTTTCCACATTCCATGCACTGATAGAGTTTCTTTCCAATGAGATTTTGTTGATGGGAAGTGGAATGGGAGCTCTGACTGCAGCTTTCTCCACACTCCAAATTTTTACGTGGCTTCTCCTCCCTGGGGATTTTATCGTGGTCACCTTTGTTCTCAATTTCCAATTCATCAGAATCTGCAATGGAGACAAAAAGGGATTAGAGCCTCAGGAACAAATGGAGAAGAAATGAAACGAGTTGGGTCTGTGTTCATTACCTGTGTTGTTTGTCATTTTACCAACATATTTATTATTAGATTCTGAAGAGTTGTTGAATGTTGTTTTGCCTGATATATAGTAGTGGTCAAAATTGTGGAAGGTTGAAGCTGACATTTAAGATGGCCTGGGAAGTTTACACCAGCCCAATCGTGGTAGAAAAAGGAATATTTTGAAGAAGATTGTTCAAAGAAAAAACTGTAAGTTACTGTTTATTGTGGGGGTGTTAGGTTCCCAGGTGTTATAGGGGGCGCTGTTGAATTCTGTGAAAATATATGAGGTTGGTCACATAGAGGTATTTTTTAAATTTCCAGGCACATATGACGATCCCACAGAGAGCCTTACCAAGAGAGGCCAATATCCCACAATTCTCCTCCATGACGTTCTTATGCAGAGCTCTCTGGTCAGGATCCAGCAACGCCCACTCCTCGTCCGTGAAACAAACAGCGACATCTTCAAAGCACACTGGACCCTAAAAGAAAAAGGGAAATGTCCTCCTCTGAGACAGCAGAAATATGATCTGCTACACAATGCTCTGTTGTTTCCTTCCTGATAATAATAATAATAATAATAATAATAATAATAATAATAAATTTATAATTTATACCCCGCCCATCTGGTTGGGTTTCCCCAGCCACTCTGGGCGGCTTACAAAAAACACTAAAATACAATAATCTCTTAAACATTAAAAGTGTCCCTAAACAGGGCTGCCTTTAGATGTCTTCTAAAAGTTTGGTAGTTATTTTTCTCTTTGACATCTGGTGGGAGGGCGTTCCACAGGTCGGGTGCCACTACTGAGAAGGCCCTCTGCCTGGTTCCCTGTAACTTGGCTTCTCGCAGCGAGGGAACCGCCAGAAGGCCCTCAGCACTGGATCTCAGTGTCTGGGAAGAACGATGGAGGTGGAGACGCTCCTTCAGGTATACTGGACCGAGGCCGTTTAGGGCTTTCAAGGTCAGCAGAAACACTTTGAATTGTGCTCAGAAACGTTCTGGGAGCCAGTGTAGGTCTTTCAAGACCGGTGTTATATGGTCTCGGCGGCCGCTCCCAGTCACCAGTCTAGCTGCCGCATTTTTGATTAGTTGTAGTTTCCGGGTCACCTTCAAAGGTAGCCCCACATAGAGCGCATTGCAGTAGTCCAAGCGAGAGATAACCAGAGCATGCACCACTCTGGAGAGACAGTCTGCGGGCAGGGAGGGTCTCAGCCTGCATACCAGATGGAGCTGATAAACAGCTGCCCTGGACACACAATTGACCTGCGCCTCCATGGACAGCTGCGAGTCCAGAATGACTCCCAGGCTGCGCACTTGGTCCTTCAGGGGCACAGTTACCCCATTCAGGACCAGGGAGTCCCCCACACCACGCCTCCTGTCCCCCCAAAATAGTACTTCTGTCTTGTCAGGATTCAACCTCAATCTGTTAGCCGCCATCCATCCTCCAACCGCCTCTAGACACTCACACAGAAATTTCACCGCCTTCACTGGTTCCAATTTGAAAGAGAGGTAGAGCTGGGTATCATCTGCATACTGATGAACACCCAGCCCAAACCCCCTGATGATCTCTCCCAGCGGCTGCATGTAGATGTTGAAAAGCATGGGGGGGAGAGGACGGAACCCTAAGGCACCCCACAAGTGGGAGCCCAGGGGTCTGAACACTCATCCCCCACCACCACTTTTGGACACGGCCCAGGAGGAAGGAGCGGGACCACTGTATGACAGTGCCCCCAGCTCCCAGCCCCTCAAGACGGTCCAGAAGGATGTTATGGCCGATGGTATCAAACGCCGCTGAGAGATCCAGCAGAACTAGGAAACAGCTCTCACCTTTGTCCCTAGCCCACCGGAGATCATCGAACCAGTGCGACCAAGGCAGTTTCAGTCCCATGATGAGGCCTGAATCCCGACTGGAAGGGATCCAAATGGTGCACTTCTTCCAGGTGTGCCTGGAGTTGTTCAGCAACCACTTGCTCAATCACCTTGCCCAAGAATGGAAGATTTGAGACTGGGCGATAGTTAGCCATATTAGCCATATTGCAATAGAGGCGGCGAAGAAAGTCTTCTTTGCCGTCACTACCGCCACTTGGTAGGCTCGACATTGAGCTCTAACCCGTGTCCGGTCAGCTTCAGAATGAGTTATCCGTCACTGGCGCTCTAGCTGTCTCAGCGATTGTTTCATTGCCCTCAGATCCGTGGAAAACCACAGGGCTGTCCGGGCTCCATGCAATCGAAGAGGGGGCTTCGGAGCCAAACAGTCAATAGCCCTGGTTAACTCCACATTCCAGTGGGTCACCAGGGAATCAGCTGAAAGGCCATCAACATGGGATAAAGCATCCCCTACCACTCTCTGGAAACCATTTGGAGCCATTAAGTGGCGGAGGCGGACCATCTGAATCGGTCCCACCTCCATGCAGAGGGGAAGGGTCGCGGAGAAGTCCAGTTGCACCAGGAAGTGATCCGACCATGGCACTGCAACCCCCCCTCCCTGCCCACAAGGCCTGGGTTGCTGTGCGTAAGAGAAACCTGGTGGACAAGCAGCAAGGACAGGCCCATCTGCTTCATCCAACCAAGTCTCTGTTACACATGCCAGGTCAAGTCCGCCATCCATGATCAAGTCATGGATGGCAGTGGTTTTATGAATCATTGACCTGGCATTGCACAGCAGCACCTTCAGGTCATGTGGGTATCCCTTGCTGATTCTAGTATCCGTCCAGTCAGGACCAGACCTGGAGGCAGGGATAGTCCTCCAACAACGACTAAACCTGCCTCCTCTGTAATGACATGGTCTGGTCTTAGCGTACCTCCTCCTCCTACCCGTGATCACTGAGATCGGTTGTCCCAGTGCATCCCCCCCATGGAACATGCCCCAGCTATTTTGTGGGCTGGGGCCCACTCGCCGGCAGCCCTGACCACCCCCCTTAAGAACAAAATAAAACCCTTAAAAAAAAGAAAGAACCCACAATAAAACAATACAAACAAAAACTGTAAAAATTACAAACACATTAAAATCAAACAAATTCCCGAACCCAACCAAACATCCATCCCACCCCCCACAAAAAAAGTAATCAAAAGGGAAAAAAGAAAATTTTAAAAAACATTTTAAAAAGAACATTGCGCCGCTCCGAGTCCTCCTGGCCAGCAGGAGCAGCAGCAGCAACAACTGTCCTTATGAGGCTTCAGGCCCCGCCCTGGGCCAGGTGGTGAGTGGCAGGAGCGGGGCCCTCAGGCACTCACGCAGGGGAGTTGTTTCAACATGATTGCTTTGCTGCACATTTTATTTATGGATGCTTATTTTATTCTAAGTTTAAATTATGGGTATTCGTTTTTGTGCAAATAGGTTGTACTTCACCTTCTGTTATTCAAGTCATTCTGCCTAGGCAAGCATTCCAGTTTCCCCAATGGAAGGATCCACTTTCTCCTCTCCTCGTGAGCTGTTCTGGGAGTTCCTCCCAATGCCCTAGTGCAAAATTCCAGGGGTTCATGGGGGCATAGAGAGGGGGAGTAGAGTAGTTTGGATTTGATATCCCGCTTTATCACTACCCTAAGGAGTCTCAAAGCGGCTAACATTCTCCTTTCCCTTCCTCCCCCACAACAAACACTCTGTGAGGTGAGTGGAGCTGAAAGACTTCAGAGAAATGTGACTAAGCCCAAGGTCACCCAGCAGCTGCATGTGGAGGATCCGGTTCACCAGATTAGGAGGAATAGGAGGCAGGCCCCATTTTGCAGCCGATGGGGCTGGTTTGGTGAATCCAGGCCGCTATTTGTTCTCATTTGTCCACTGCTTAGAAAACAATTTTTGCATTCAGTTATCAATCTAGAAATAAAATAAGCCTCTTTTGGATGGCCATCTGTCTTGGATGATCTAGCAGAGATTCCTGCATTGCAGGGGGTCTCCTGACTCTGAGAGACAAGTAGGGAGGGTGGCATCTGGCAAAAGGAGAGGGAGCCATCGGTGGCTCCTCCTTATCCTGACTCACCTCAGCCTCTCGACCTTCCTCTCCCACTCGCCTCCTTCCTCTTCTGCCTCTGATTCTGCACTGCATTCTGCCACAGAGTCTCTCAGCTCACTAAGCCCTGTTACCCTTTCAGCTTCTGACACCTCCTCTTCCCAGGCTTCTCCTCTTCCCCCTCTGACCGCTCATCCCCCTTCTACCTCCACTTCTTAGGCTCTGAGCCGTCTTCCCTTCCTGGTTTCCCGGCTGCTTCCTCCCACCACTCCTCTGTGCCCAACCAGTCCATGACATTGCTCCATCCCTCGGTCTCTGTCGCCACAAGGCAGCTTCCCCTGACCTGATCTGGTTCCACAGCCGCTGCTTCCCTTCTGCCCCCATGAAAAGGCGGATCAGGAGGTCTTGCTGGCATCCTTCTGCCACCTGCAAGAGAAAAAACGTAAACAGGACGTAAACAGAGTGCCTGCTTCTCTCACAGGTGAAACAGGGCATCTCTAACTACAGATGGGCCTTTGAGAAAGCCTCACCCGCTGAGAGTATTTGGACGTTTGTGCCCATTTCATATGTTTGTGGTGAAAAAATACATCTCCCCTCCTCTGGACCCTTGTTCCCAACTGTCTCCCCCAAAACAAGATGAAAAGAACCCTCAGATGAGTTGGAAAACCAACGGAATGAGACCAGACAGAGAAAAACCACCTTCCTCCTTACCCAGTGGCCTCTCTCTGGTGTCCAACGGAGGCCTCTCTGCCTCACAGGAATCCAGGTCCATTTCTGCAAAGAGATCCTTTCCCTGAGAAAGAAACAAGGATTCAAAACAGAGAATGGGGAGAAATACTAGAAAGAGAATAACAAAGACTTCAAGGGTGCGAGATCTCATTCCATGGATGCTTTCCCAGAAAATGGGCCATCAGCAGACCATTATGGGATGTTCTCTGTCCTGTTTGGAGCCCCTTGGGAGTATCCAGAGGAAAGTCTCACTCACCTGCTTTCTCTGTTCCTGCTTCCTCTCCTCTGCCTGACTCAGGAGGAAACCTTCGGCCAGGGCCACCGCCTGGGAACTGGTCTCCGCTCCACAGTCCCTCACCCAGCTCTCCATCTCCGGGGGAGGACAGCCAGGAACTGCTCCAAGATCACCAGGTCCAGCATCTCAGCTTTCGTGTGCCTTTCTGGTTTCAGCCACTGATGGTCAAGGTGGTAAAGTCGGCTGCAAACCTCTCGGGGTCCTTTGGCCTCCTGGCAGCAGAACTGCCTCAACTGCCAGCTCCGCCCCTCTGAGGGGAGGGTGTCCACCTCACCATGGATCTTCTGCACAGAGTTTTCCCAGAATCCCCCACTGCTCCCAGTTTGGTTAGCATGGCCTCTTCCTGCTTTGGGGCCAGCTGAGTCTTGCTCATCCATCTGTGCTCTCAGGAAGCCTCTGAGAGATCAGAAGGAACCCTTTGGTCTTCTACCAAGTTCTGTCCGTCTAAATGAGAAGCTCTAGCAAATCCTACAAAGCAAATACATTGTTCTGTTACAGAATTTGTAGGACGGGGGGAATGGTTCCCTGAGCAAGCATGACTGCACCACATCCCAGACCATGAGCTATCTTTTTGAAAAGGAGGAGGAAGAGGAGAAGAAACAAGTCTCTAGCCTTCTAGCAATGCAAAATGTGGAGGCAACTGAAGGGATTTCTGAGAGATTAATCAACCTGGTTTCTCCATCCTTCCAGTCAATTCATGACATTGGAACCTACTGACAAACGAGTTGTTTCTATCTTGTGAAAAATGGATGCTTGGCTCTAGTGGGGGTCCTCAGGAGTTGCCCCCCACACCTACACCCACTCCGCTGCTTCCGTCTCCTTTTCTTGCACTTGGACTCTCTGCCACTCTCAGAATAGACTTCTGGGGCGGGGTCCCTTTTTTTTGCTCTGAGGGCCAGGTATGTATCTGGCCAACCCCCTGAGGGCCAAGTGGGCAGGGCCAAAGACATCTCCCTTGAAATTTAGGAGGGTAATTTTTTATTCTTGTATTATTATTATTATTATTATTATTAACGCACACACAGCCACTGATGCCAAGTTCCCTGGAGGCTCGGTGAGTAGGAGCGCCCGTTTCCAGGTGGTTTTCCAGCAACAATCCCTTTGGGAGAGAGAGAGGATGTGGTCCTGGGATGCCATGCTCTGGGTGCGAGGGGATTGCTGCAGTGGCCTCCGTGGGGAGCTGCCCTGGGAGACACTGGGAAACTGGTCTGCGATGCAGCAGCCAGACTCTGGGCTGGGGTCCCTCTCTTTATTCCTGGCCTTTCTCTCCGACCCTTTCTTTTTTGGGGGGGGCTAGTCCACCTCCTCCTTCAGCTTTGGAAAACCATTTGCACACGTTTCCTCTGTTGTGCAATGAGGCTGAGCGACGTCACACAGATTTAAAGTCCCAGGGACTCCTTTGTTTAAAGAAAGGAGATTTTTTCTGAAAGGGGGGGGCGGAGGGCCAAATGATTTCGGGATCCTCTGATCTGCAGGAAGGAGAGCGTGGCAGACCTGGCCCCTCCCTGGCAGGACCCTCTCCTCCCTGACTTGGGGTCCCCCCCCTGCAGGAGCAGATCAGGCCCCCCAGGCCCCCTCCCCTGCTGCAGCCCTGGGACCCCCACCAGATCCCAGAGAGAGAGGAGACTCACCAGATCCCAGGAGGGGGCAGCGAGGCAGCCCTTGCAGGAGAGACACCAAAGCAGGAAAGGACTGGGGGGGAGGGGCCTTGGCTCTGGAGGACCTGGCCCCCCCTTGCTTCCTGGCCTCTCTAGGAAGGCAGCTCACTTCCCTTTAACCCTTGCCAAGCCGAGTCCCTCCGGCTCAGCCCTCTCCCTTGGCAGATCCTCAGATTATTTTTTTATGGATTTAGGGGGGCAGCTGCCCCCCGGCTACGCCAATGCCCAGATATCCTTTTGGGGTGAGGCTCTTGGCTGGACTCTGAGCATCTCCCTCCCTTGGCCAGAAACCAGAGGAAGAGCTTGCAGGGAAAAGGGCTTTGCAGGAGGCAAGGAAGCTCCTCCTAGAATTCAGGAGTGGAGAGATAGGAGGGGATCCCAGGGTCATCTAGTCCAGCCCGAAGCAAGAGGGGCCGGGTCTAGTTCCTAAACAGGCAGCCCTGTTTAGGTAAGCTTTTAATGTTTAATAGGTTATTGTATTTTAGTGTTTGATTGGAAGCCGCCCAGAGTGGCTGGGGAAACCCAGCCAGATGGGCGGGGTATAAATAAATTATTATTATTATTATTATTATTATTATTATTATTACAACCCCCAGCAATGCAGGAATCTCAGCTAAAGCATCCATGGCAGATGGCCGTCCGATCTCTGCTCAGAAACCTCCAAGGAAGGAGAGTCCACCACCTCCCAAGGGAGACCTTTCCCTGCCCAACTGCTCTTAGATGTCCCTCAAGGCAGCGGATCCTGAGTTCTAGCCCTGCTGAAACCATTGCACTGGCTGCCAAGGAGGAACCGAGCAAAGTTCAAAATAAATAAATCCTATTCTCAAAATAAATGAGTAATACTTTCCTATGCATGCTTTTTATACTAATATACAAAAGTATGCCATTTCCCTTTCCAGAAATGGATGGTTGTTGTTATTATGTTTAGGGAAGCTTTTAATATTTGTTGGACTATTGTATTTTAATATTTTGTTGGAAGCCGCCCAGAGTGGCTGAGGAAACCCAACCAGATGGGCAGAGTATAAATATATTATTATTATTATTATTATTTATTCAATTGATCAGGTGAGTTTTCTCCTTTCGAAAGAGGGAGGTGGAATCTCCACGGTTGCTAGTAGCATAACGTTGAAAGTGCAGGGAAATATGGGGAGCCCTGGAGCATCTGCTTGGCATGCAGAATGTCCCAGGGTCAACCCCTGACATCTCCTGCAACGGCCGGACGAAATCCCTGCATGAAACTCTGGGGAGCTGCTGCCAGTCAGTGTAGGCCAGGGGTCCTCTATCTATGTTCCCTGGGCCAAATCCAGCCCGCCAGGGTCGTTAATCTGGCCTGCACGGCCCCTTCAGTACCCGCAAGGCCAGGGGGTTTCGCCCGGGGACAGGGCAGTGCTGTCGTTTGGCTTGAAGAGCGAAGTTCAGGTTAGTGGAGGAAGGCAGACTTCGGTCGATTCGGTTTCATTACGTAGACGTTTACTTTAAAAGTGGTAGAAGGAAGTATAGTGCTATTTCTGTAAGTGGCACAGGGGTCTTTTCACTCATGTGGTTTACATGCTCTGAGAGATGGGATCTATTTTGTTATTTTAATTTTAAAAGGGTGGAGTGGAACCGGAGATTGACCATCTTCTTAGCCTGGGGCATTGGTCTGCAACCTTTTTCAGCCATGAGGCGGTCCACCGTCCCTCAGACCATGTGGGGGGCCAGACTATATTTGGGGGGGGGGACTGAACAAATTCCTATGCCCCACAAATAACCCAGGGAGGCATTTTAAATAAAAGGACACATTCTACTCATGTAAAAACACACTGATTCCCGAATTGTCCGCAGGCCGGATTGAGAAGCTTGCCTACCCCTGGCCTGGGGAGCCACATTCTGGTTGAAGGAGGCCAGGATTGGCCCCCAAGGCTTGGGATGTCCCTCCTCCCCTGCAGTAGGACTTGGAATCCAGGAGAAAACTCTTGGAATAGCCTTGCCAGGTGCTCAGGGACAGACTCACCTGTCCCCATGTCCTTCTCTTTGCAGATGTGCAGCAGTTGCACATCCCTCCCCCAGAGGTGAGCATTGGAGAGAACCAGAGCAGGGACTCAGACCTGCCCTCCTTGCCCCCCACTCTGCACTCTCGGATGTGGAGAAGCCCTCCCTTCGTGAGGAACTGACAGCCTGACTTTTGCCTTTCAGCTGCTGGAGGAAGATCAGCTGTACCTGCCGGAGGTGATCCAGAACTGCCAGGCAGCTCAGCTCAGGGGGCTCTGAACCCTGAAGTGCTCCAAGCAGGAGGCGGCCAAAGCCATCCTGGTGAGTAGTGGGTGGTGTGGGAGACCCCCATGGGGAAGTGGGGGAGGGAGGGGCTTTGAAGAAGGGGACGTATCTGGGAATTTGGATGATGGCAAAGAATATTAATCTTTTTAATGACAATTACCAACCAGTCTGGAAGGAGATTAAAAGAGAATTAGAAATATGGGACATATTAAAGCTATCAATGACGGGAAGAATGTCTGCGATCAAAATGAATCTACTACCGAAAATGTTGTTTTTGTTCCAGACAATTCCGATGATAAGAGGTTTAAGACAATTCAAAGAGTGGCAAAAAACTCTCTCGTGTTTTACATGGCAAGGGAAAAGACCAAGAATTAAATTTAAAATATTGACAGATAAGAAGGAAAGAGGGGGGGTTCGCAGTACCTGTTCTGAAACTCTATTATGAAGCGGCATGTTTATGTTGGACAAAGGACTGGATAACTCAGGAGAACCTAGACTTGTTAGATTTGGAGGGGTTAAACAATAGATTTGGATGGCACTCTTATCTTTGGTGTGGTAAGGCAAAAGTGCATAAGGGGTTTACAAATCATGTGATAAGAGGTGCCTTATTTGAAGTCTGGGAAAGAAACAAGAATTTGTTGGAAAGGAAAACACCGTGGTGGCTGTCACCAATTGATATATTAACAGTAAAAAACTGAACATACTAGGGAGAGGGACCACATATGAGGAAATTTTGATGAAGGCCGAAAAAGGTTGGAAATTAAAGCCCTATGAGTGTACCGCTGAAAAATTGACAGGATGGTTGCAATACCATCAAGTCAATGATGTCTTTAAAGAGGAGAAAAAAAAATAGGATTTGAGGATAAAAAATCGAAATTTCAAATAGATATTTTAGAGAGTAAATCCAAGCTATTATCAAAAATGTACAATCTCTTACTAGAATGGAACACAAAAGATGAATTTATAAAAGAGGCTATGATAAAATGGGCCATTGATTTAGGACATAACATAGAATATGATGTATGGGCCAAACTCTGGAATGAGAGCATAAAATTAACTGCTTGTTCTGCCTTAAAAGAAAATGTTATGAAGATGGTTTATCGTTGGTATCTCACTCCCACCAAATTGGCAAAAATGTATAGAACAAGTAGTAAAACCTGCTGGAAGTGCAAGGAAAAAGACAGCGACTTCTATCATATGTGGTGGTCTTGCAATAAAATAAAAGAGTTTTGGGATGCGGTTTACAACGAGTTAAAAAAGATGTTTAAGTACAGTTTTCCCAAAAAGCCGGAAGAATTTTTGCTAGGTTTGGTGGGAGAAGGGATTAAAAAGATAGATCAAAGATTATATTTATATGCAACAACTGCAGCCAGAGTTCTGATAGCTCTAAAGTGGAAAGCAACAGGAGATGCCGACGATAAGAGAATGGCAGATAAAGTTGGTTGAGTATGCTGAGATGGCTAAATTGACACACAGAATTCGCAATCAGGAGGAGACAAAGTACCAAAAAGAATGGAGTAAATTTATGGTTTATATAAGTGAGAATTGTACAAATATGAAAACGTTGGCAGGATTGAAATAAATCTCATGTCATGGTATAATTTATAATTAAAGAATCTGTAAACTATAGAATGGAATAGGAAAACTGCTGGAAGGGAAGGACGGAAGCTAATGGATCTATGAAACACAAAGTAGGATACATGTAATAAGATGTGATGTTTTGGTGGTGGGTGGTGGGGGTTGGTTGGTGATTGTAAATTTCAATAAAAATCATTAATAAAAAAAAGAAGAAGGGGTTGTCTGTCTGCCGGAGAGGAGGACTCTACTGGCCTAGGTTCATGTATCCTATTTGAAAGGGGAATCATCTTAGGGACTTCCTGTGAACATCTGGGTCAGGAATGCTGTTCCTGGAATGGACAAACACACAAGACGTAACCGGCTGTGCATTCACATAAACAATACTCCTCTATATATTCTTATCACAATATCAAATGTTTATCTTGCACATAAACAACACATAAAGTGCAATAATATAGACGGAAGTCCCAATAAATCAGTTCGTTCATAAAGACCAAATGTCTGCTAAGTCCAAATTGGGGACTACTACAGTTTCACAGTGATGACAAGGTGTTATGGCCTGGGATTCAGACGTGGATGCTGAACCTGAGGGATTCCAGCCTGCAGAGGATTCCCCACCTCCAGAACCAGCTGAGCCGGGGCTGGGGCATGAGCCTGAAGGGTCCTCACCTGTGCTGGATCCTCAGGTGCAGGCACCAGCTGAGTCTGCTCTGGCTCCTGAGGTGATGGAGGACCCATTGCCTGCAGGTGCTCCACTCTCAGCCCCGTCAGAGAAAGCTGAGGTTGCCTCGGGGTCCGGTAACCCTCCAGCCTCTCCTGAGCTGCAGAGGCTCGGGGTTAGAGAGGGGAGTCACCAGAGGATCGGGGCCGCCCTATGTCTCAGGGCAGAAAAAAGCCGGCCAGCCCCAGTTCCAAGTTGCGGAAGCAAAATTGTTGGTTGCTAGTTCCTGCCTGAGCTCCTGACCCGCCCTGGCTCCCTGCTTGCAAGCCTGTTCCTGACTTCACCCAACTCCCTGCCCTGCACCCAGCTTCAGCTACTACGGACTGCCTCCACGTTGCACCTTTGACCACGGACAGGACTTGGACCTAGCCTCTCGGGTAAATTCAATGGGTCCCCGGCCAGCTTTCCCATGTTTCTTGCCCAGACCAAGCTGTATATTCAGGGGCGAGCCCGGAATTTCCCCGATGACCGCACCAAGGTGCACTTCCTGATCAGCTTGCTGAAGGACCGGGCAGCCAAGTGGGCATTGCCGCTGCTCCGGCAAGACTCTCCCTTGCTGACAGACTATACAGGGTTTTGCAACCATCTGGAAACCGCGTTCGGCAACCCTCAGAAGGGTAGTCAAGGGGATTCAAGCCAATCAGGTGATTTGGCAGTTGAAACAGGACAAGTCCACAGTGGCCGCCTACGCCACAGAATTTCGGCTGTTGGCACAGGACTTGTCCTGGAATGACTCCACCCTTCAGGACCAGTATCTCGAGGGGCTTTCGGATGAGATACTGGACCAGCTGGCCATGATGGATCGCCACGCTGGACGCCCTCATTCAACGGAGCCTGCAGATAGACAATCGGTTGGAGGACCGTCGCCAGGCTCAGGGCCTCCAGCACTCCTGGCTCCCGGCTCTGGTCCTTCCCAGCAGTTCCACGGCCACAGCCAAGTCGCAGGAGGAGCCAACGCAGCTCGGGGCAGTGCGGCCTTGCCTCTCCCCTCAGAGAAGACTCGGAGTCTGGAGGGGAACCTGTGTCTCTACTCTGGCGGGAGTGGACACTATGCCCAATCCTGTCCCGAGAAAACGCCAGCCACAGGGAAATGGCCAACCCTAGTAGCCGATGGCCCAGGCTACCTGCTGTCCCAAACATCACATGATGGGCCCTCACCAGTGGAATTGCAGCACCTCATAGTTCTGGTGCGTCTATACCCCCCTGACGGGTCCTGGATTCTCACCCACGCTCTGGTAGATTCAGGGGCAACCCGCTCCTATATGGACTCTGCCTTTGCCGCCTGTCATCAGGTGCCATTCCAGGACAAGCCAGAACTGGTACAGGTGGAGGCAATTGACGGACGGCTCCTGCGCTCGGGGGCCGTTACTCAGGAGACTCAGCCCTTGGTCTTGTGTCACCAGCAGCACCGGGAGGTGCACACCTTGGACATTGCCACGATGCCCCGGTTTCCACTGGTGCTCGGGATGGACTGGCTGGAGTCTCACAATGTTCAGATCGACTGGGTCAATCAGACTGTGCGCTTCCCAAACCCGTGCCCCCATGCTCGGTCCAAGATGCTAGTGGCCGCCCCCACGGGGGAAGCTGCGTCAATGCTCCCCGCTGATTACCAGGAGTACCAAGAAGTGCTCAATGAACACTTGGTCTTTCAACTGCGGCATAGACCTCCAGCCTGGGGTGCCCCTGCCTGTGAGCCGCCTATACTCTCTAACGGAGCCAGAGCACTAAGCCTTGCAGGACGTCCTTCGCAAGAACCTGGAGGGCGGGTTCATTCGGCCCTCTACCTCGCTCACCGCCGCTCCAGTACTCTTAGTTAAGAAGTGTGTGGAGCTTCGTCCCTGCCATGATTACCGGGCCCTGAATAAGATTACCATCCCAGACCGGTATCCCTTGCCCCTTATTGCGGAGTTGCTGGAACGGGTGCAAGGGGCGCAGATGTTCACCAAGATGGACCTTCGGGGGGCCTACAATTTGATTTGGATCCGAGCAGAGGATGAGTGGAAGACAGCATTTGGGACACGGTATGGGCAGTTTGAATACCTGGTAATGCCTTTCAGGTTGTGCAAAGCGCCTGCCCTGTTCCAACGGTACATCAACCACGTGTTCCAGGACTTGCTAGTCAGGTATGTGGTGGTGTACCTAGATGACATTCTGATTTACTCCCATGACCCAGCTCGCCACGAGGGTCATGTCCGGTCCATGTTGCAGCGCTTGCGGGAGCAACGCCTGTATGCTAAACTCAGCAAGTGAAAGTTCCACCAGCGGTCAGTGGACTTCCTCGGTCACCAACTGTCCCCTGATGGGGTGCAGATGGATCCCAGGAAAGTGGCAGCAGTTCGGGAATGGGCAGCACCCCGGAACCGCAAGGGCCTATCATCACCGCAAGGGGCCATCATCCTGAGGGGGCAAGACAACTGGTGGAAGTGAGAACCGACCACCGGAACCTGGAGTACCTCCAGACTGGGTCGACCACTTGGCATTGGAGGAGTTTGCTTACAACAATACGTTGAACACCTCCACCCAGCAGACCCTGTTCCAGGCCACTTATGGTTACCATCCGCGTTTGTTCCCGGATGTGCTGCAAGCATCTGCAGTCACGAGGGTGACGGATTGGCTCCAGGAGCTCCAGTCTCAGCACCAACCATTGATGGAGCAACTGCACCAGGCCAAGGATGCGTACAAGGCCCAGGCCAACCGCCACCACCAGGTGGGGCCGGAACTCCACGTCGGCGAGCCATGGGGCTATATGAATTCTAATTGGACTCCGTTTGAATTGGGCAATTGTATCCAGGCTGCAATTAGCTTTTTGGTCCCTTAGGAACAACTGAGCAACTTCCCTAGAGTGGAAGACCAGAGCCTATAATAATAATAAAAAATCCCATAGAAAGGCCAAGGCAAAGACATCTCTCTCAAGAAATGTCCAAACCTGTGCCACTACAAGGTGACATGGTCAATATGAAAGCCCTACGGGGATTCACCAGGGATTGTTGCTGCTGTGATATGATGAAGGTGTGAGATCACAGGAGAGCTAGCTTTGACACCTGGGAACACACAAAAAAGGCAGAAACAAAACAAACTGCATTTTTCACTCATTATTTGACCTTCCCGCTAAGTGTAAAGCATAGACCACTATGGAGAATGTTTCTCCCAAAGTGCTAGAATGCCACAAGTAATTTAGTAACAAAATGCAACATGTGTTATTTTTTATGTGATATCCTATGTCCAGCTATGTGCACTGCTACACCTGCAAATAACCTTAAGAGGCCTGACATGCAAGTCTCTTAAGATTTACACGAAGGCATCCATTTGCAACATACCAGGTTATTTTTTGTGGGGCAACAGTTTTTTAGAAAAAATTTGAAGGAATGGGTTTCAGTGCAGTAAGTTTAAAACTGACTCACCCCCCCTTTTTTTGGTCTTTCAAAAGTGAGCACTCTAAAATGCGTAAAACTTGAGCTGTTGAGCAAAAGCATAACAAGGACACGGCTGCATAAACAAGCTCTCTCCTTTATCAGTCACGGCTAGGGATGACTCTCTAGGGGAACAGAGAAAGCACGTCAGTACTTTATCTTATGTGCTGACCACAAAATACGCGCAGACCGATGTCCAGGAAAAACGCCAGAAGCGTGTTCCCGGAGATGGTGACCTCTGGCTCCAAGATAGGAGTAGGAACAGGAATACCCTTTTATGGTCAGGAGTGCAGGAAGGAAATCCCTTTTATGGTTAAGAGTGCCGGAGCAGGAACATCTGTGATGTCAACCTGCGTGTACAAGCTGACGTGGCTGGGGAAGGGGGAGAGGGTGTCTGGAGAATATAAATACTGCATGGAGGACTTCCGGGTCAGCGCCATTGGTGAATGGCGGAGTTCCTCCGATTGGAGGAACGGGCTCCGCGAAAACTGGGTCTTCCCGCCGCGGCAAAGGTGGGGACCCGCTAGAAATCCCAGGCAGAGGAAGCCTGGGAACGTGGGGATCGGCAGGGCACCAGAAGCGCCCCCCTACTCGCGGGGAATCCCAGCTAGGGGCTCCGGAGCGAAGTGGGGTGAGAAGCGTGGTGCTACGAACTGACTGCTACTTTCACGGAGTGAAGCCGCACAGCCATTGCCAGAGAGCGCTGACTTTTTCCTGTGGACAATTGGACTTAAAACAAGTACCCGTGAGTAGAAACGGAAAATTGGATCAAGAAATTGCTTTAATTTGGTATCGAAGCGGGAAGGTGCAAACAGGAAGTCTGCCTTCCGCTTTTTTGTATATAGACTAAAGCAAAAATTTTGCAAGCTAAAGCCGGGAAGTTGTTAAAAAAGACTAAATTTCCCTCATTTAGAACCACTGAAACCCCCCTTGGAAGCAGGAGAAAAGGGGGGGGGGGCTTTGCTTAATCCCAGTAGGAGAGGGAGTGAAGAAGGATAAGTTTCCACCGTCTCTAACCTGGGAACGGGGTGTCAGAGACAGAAAACTGTCGGAGAGGTTCATTGACTGTGAACGTAACACTTTGACAGATAGCTAATGAAGAGAAACAAGTTGACTCTAATGTTGCCTTTTGCATCTTAAAGAAACAAAATACCTGAAAAACATCTGAAGTATCTGAAAAATAAAAGTAACTTTCCTTTGTCTTCAAAAAAAAAAAATGGATACAAGTAGATTGTCTCCTCTAGAGGGAGCTTGCTAAATTGTTGCTGCAGCATATTTGAGACCCAACATCTGTGAGATAAAGACTGTGGGAACAGTCTTTTCTGACCTTGAACAAAGATGAGCTGGGAGAAAGACTGGGTGCTTGCTCTATGCAAGACAAATGCTTTGTTGGAACAGATGCATGAGAAGATGGACTTGATGAATGAGAAAATGGATTTGACTGTTGTGGTTAATAACATTGATACAGAAATCATCCAAGAACCAATCTATCAATCTGCACTGACTGGGCAAGTGCAGATGACAATGGAGGAGGATGCGGCTGCACCTCAAATAGTACAAATGGAGAGACCCGAGGCCCTACAGGAGCATAAGCCGCTGTTTTTGAAAATTGAAGTTGGAGTGGGCCAAGGGAGTCTGGAGACGAGGAGGTTCCTAGCCTTGGAGAGACCTTGAAATTTGATCTTAAATTCATTTTGGATTATATCGAGGACTGTGGGGAGTGGGACTGTGGGGAACAGGTTTGCTGGATGAAGGGTGATGGAGATAATTTTGGGTTGGAATCCCCCAGAGACCTACTCCTCAATGAGAAAGGAAAGAAACTAAGACAGAGACCAACAAAAGACAAGGAAAAGGGCAAGCACAAACAAGATGAAGAAGAATTGCAGAAGGGACATGGAAGAGATTTAAGGGCCTCAGACATAAGGCTTCCAGGTTGATGGACTAGATGGAATGGACAATAAGGACTGACATGACCCGTGACCAGGAAGAAGAGACGCTGGATGATGATTGAAAGAGAATTTATAATGGGAATTTTTTATTTTAGAATTAGCTAATGAATATTAGGGAAAATGTGGGAATGAAACTATACGACTCTAGCAGAAATGATATTAGGAGCTATGTATATTTGAAATTTAAGATTTAAGTCTTAAGGCACTTAGGGGTAAGATAAGGTCAAATAAATTAAGGTAATTTGAATAACAGAATATGGGGAAAGATGGTAAGGATTTGTTGAGTTAACTATTAGGTTAAATTGTTAAGATAAATTTTATAACAAAAATTGAGAAAGATGGAAAGAATTTGCTGAAATAATTACTAAACTAGAACACAAAAACGGAGGTGTGAGGAGGTCAATGAAACAAGCAAATGGAAATTATGGATATGCAATCTGGGATTTGTGTGCTCCCCCCTTTTTCTTCTTTTTACTTTCTTTTGCTGTATTGTTGTATTGGTTTTTCATGTTTTTCATATTTTGTGCTTTTCTCTCTTTTTTTTAATTGCTTGTTTTTTTTCCTTTTTTGTATTGTAGTGTTGTTTTTTATTTGTTCTTATTCTTGTAATTCTGAAATTATCAATAAATATTATTATTATTATTATTTTAAAAAGATATAAATACTGCATGAAACTTCTTATTTCTTTGGACTTGCTGTGGAGTCACCACGCAAGTGCCTTCTGCTATCCGGAGAGCAGAATAAACTCTTTCTTTGAACCAACCTCGGCGTCATTTGACTTCCTTCCTCCTGTCCCAGAGCAATGCAGACCCAATCAGTGAACTCCAATAAGGCTACAAAATTATATCCTCAAAGGGGGGAATTGTTATAAGAATTTTTAGGTGATATTATATATATATATATATATATATATATATATACACACACACACACACACACACACACACACATATATATACATATATATAAATGTACCAAGCAAACACATATATAAATATATAAACCACATGTCCAAAACCCACAGGAAAAGTCCTAAAGCCAGTTTGACTCTTTCACTCTTTCAGTCACCTCAAATATTTCTCAAGGTAAAAACAATGCACTCAGATTTCTGTTGTAGACTGCCTTTTCTGTGATGTATGTATGATGTTTCTGGGGGTGGTCTTGGACTCCAGGGCGGGCAATTAAAAATGTCTTTATAAGGGCTTTCATGCATGGCTCGGGGTCCTCCTCCTCTCTCCTGCGTGTGGGGGAGAACCCTGTTGCAACAGTTAATAAAGAACAGGCTTACTAGCTGCTTTGCTTCTCAATATTCTTTGGTTGGTCTCTGTTATTTTCTCCTACCAATAGAGAACCTACAAAAAAGACTCTATATGGGCCCTTGGGTACCCCATAAGGAAAAAGGAGCAGGTTTTTTTTACTTAGCTCACCTGCAATCATGTGTGGTGTGTTAGCAATTCACTCCTCCCGTTGTTGAATATGTGGCTAGTATGTCACATGTCCCTGTTTACTTTGCTAGGATTGGAAATTGTAAGAACGGAAGTCAGTCTTATCTCTTCTGCTCTGCTGTGCTTTTGCACTGTTCTTTGTCTCTCTGTCTGTTGCTGAAGAAGAGAGAGGATGCCATTATGATCCGTTTGGTCTCGTCTGCAGATGTGATGAGCATCCCCTCAGTTCCTTCATCCAAGTCACTTATCAAGACGTTGAACAACAACGGGCCCAGGACAGAACCCTGCAGCACCCCTCTGGTCACTTTTCCCCAGGATGAGGAGGAACCATGAAGGAGTCCTCTTTGGGTTTGGTCCGTCAAATCCACCTAACAGTTACCTCATTCAGCCTCATTTTACCAGCTTCCTCACATAAATACCACAGAGGACTTTGTCAAAAGCCTTACTGAAATCAAAATACACAATTTCCACAGCAGTCCCCTGATCAACACAGTTTGTAACTCCATCCAAAAAAGAAAAGGAAAGGAGAGATTTCTCTGGCTTGTCTTGTTTTTGAGAAAGCCATGCTTTCATCCTGTATGTTTATAATGTAAAATCTTCAGATGAAGGGCAAATAAATTTTTAAAAGAATAAATGAGGATATAGACAAGCTGGAACATGTGCAAAGGAAGGAGATTCATGTCTTTATTTAATTTGCATACCACCCGACCCAGTGCTGCCGACTTGAATAAAATATTGGTGGAGGGGCCAGGTAAGGGCCACCTTGCACTATCAATCACATGATGCATGCACACCATTTGAATGGCAATGCCTATAAAGGCAGCGACTTTTTAAAAAAGTAATATTTTGAGCCCGTAGTTCAATTTCCCAGCAGCTCCCCTTGCCCCGCAGAACACTTCTAGCATTCCATCTCCTCTACCTGTGGCATTGTTCAGCAGTGGGGAAAGTGACCTCTTCACACCGGATGTCCATTTGGTATGGCCCTTTCCAAGTTTGTCTTTCATTTGTTCTCCTATGTGTGTTGCCAGTAGAAGCCAAAATTCTGTGGGTACTCTAGGTGGTGCAGAAAGCTGTTTTTGGACTACAACTCCCGTCATCCCTAGCTAGCAGGACCAATGGGGAGGGATGATGGAAACTATAGTCCCGGGAGCTGCTGGGGACCCAAGTTTGGGAAAGCCTCCTTTAAAGCAACTATTGCGTTTGGCCCGCAAATATGGGACCTGTCCACATTTGTATTTTCTTGTATTTTGTTTTTCTTATGACCTTTGTGCGGTTTTTTAAAATTTCTTAAAAGGGCAAATTGATAGCGAAATTGTATGGCAAGTTGTGGAAGAATAAAAGGTTGCATTTGAAAAAAACACAAAGAAAACCTGGGGGTTGGCCTCCTCTGATGGGAAGTTTTGCTTCTGCACATGAGTCTGGCAAACCACTCTAAGCTGAAAACATTCCTTCCTAGAATGTTCAGTTCACATTGAGTTCATGGAACATTGTACCCTGACCTGTTCTTACTGTATGGTTGACCACATCTACGGAACGCGATGGTTATACTCCGTTAAGTTTTGCTATATCAATCACTAGTTATAGTTTAAGTCTTGCTATATCAATCATTAGTAATTGTTTAATTACGAGGTCTTCACGCCTGTCCAATTCTGTGTTCCCTTTCCCAACCTTTAATCTATTGATGATTAATGCCTATATACAACCCTTGCATTGTATTTGTATTAACCAATCAGCAACAAGCACATATGTGGCAATGCTGTAATATTCAATAAAAGGGACTCCCCGACACATGTTCGGGAGATGCCTCCCATATGACACTTGTCATTCGTCTGTCGTTTATTTCAACCCAACATCTGGTGACCCTCGACGTGCCAGATCCCTTTACGCAGCCTCTCTACTTCACTCGACTGGAAAAGTCTCAGCGCGCTACTTCGTGAGTATGGGGGGGGGACTGACAAAGTTCCAACAGGAGCATGCCAAGGAGCAGCTTCATCTCGTTAGACAGCGGGTGGCGGGTGCTCATGTTTCTTTGAAAGAAATTGAACAATTGTTATGTGAGATTCCTTGCCAGTGCCCCTAGTACCCAGAATCGGGCTCTCTGGGATCAGAAGCTTGGCAAAAGATCGGAAAAACCCTCTTCTCAGAACCGAGGGCTCCGATTCATTTTCTGCTCACTTGGTAGAAATGTGCAGATGCCGTCGCTAAATTAGGACCACAGGCATCTCCGTCGGCCCCTGCTCTTTAGCCGCAGCAGACAATCCCCCACCTTACCCTAAGCTTCTGCCTCCATCGCAGCCTTGCCAACCCCTCCCTACGCTTCAGCCCACATCCACCCCCCCATCCCTCCTTCGCCTGCCTCAGCCCCTGCGCGCTCTCCCACAGGAGCTGTGCGCGCCGCGCTTTCTCAAGCTAGGCAGCAAGGGCTCCTCTCCTTAGAGGAAGAGGCTGGATGGGCTGGCGAAATGCCATCTGCTTTCCCTATCTCCTATGCGAACCCCGGCACTGCACAACAGCAGATCATGTATGAGGCGCTTCCTTATTCTGTCCTGAGAGCATTAAGGAAAGCCATTACTGATTCTGGCCTCAAATCTTCTTATGTGCTAGGGATGCTGGAGGGGATCGCAAATGGTACACAATGCTACCTCAAGATTGGAAGGATTTGATGTGCATGCTTTTATCTCCTGCTCAGTATGTGGTTTTTGAAAGTGAATTTAAGCATAGAGCATCAGCCCTGGCTGATCCACAGCATTCAGCCAGCCAACTCTTTGGCGCTGGTTTGTATGATAATATACCAGCCCAGGCGCAATTGACACCTTTACATTTCAGTCGCACCGCAACCTGTGTACAACGCGCCTTTCGGAAAGTCCCTGTCTCAGGGCAACCACTGAGCTCCTTCGTTAATATTAAGCAACAACATTTGGAGCCTTACCATCAATTTATAGATAGATTGAAAGAATCAAACACCAGGCAGATTGATGACCCTACAGCTCAAAATGAATTGATGAAAAAATTGGCCTTTGAAAATGCAAACACCGATTGCATTTTGCAGTCAATCATACATCGCCCCAAATATGACCTGGCCGATATGATTCAAACCTGTGCGGATGTTGGCAGCCAGAGCCAAGCGATGTCTTTGCTTGCCGGTGCTATCCAGGCTGGCAATAAGCCAACGGGTAATTGCTTCAATTGCAAACGCCCAGGTCATTTTGCTAAACAATGCAGAGCCCCTGGCGGGGGAGCAAACAGGAATGGTGATGCCAATAAGGCTAAGCCTTCCAAGAAATGCCCAAAATGTGGAAAAGGCTATCATTGGGCAAATCAGTGCAGGAGTTCGGGAAACTCCATGGGGGCCCAGCTCTCGGGCCAGGACAAATAGAGAGCCCTCCGCCGTTAGTTTCCACTATTGAAAATTTTCCTAAGGATACACCCTCTGATTTCACCATTGCTTTAATCAATCAAGAAACCAAAGACGCTGTTTTACCTGGTGAAATTGTGCTCATGCCCACCCAACTGGCGGGCCCACTACCACCTAAGGTCGCAGGCTTAATTTTACCCAAATTCTCTGCGGCCAAAGAAGGAATCCTGATTATTCCAGGAGTCCTAGATCCTGACTATGTGGGCACAATCATGGTTCAACTTTGGAGCCATATGCCCATGCAGTTAAAAAAGGGTGAGTCTTGGGCGTATTTGGTAGTGCTCCCTTCTCATCCTACTGCTTCTATTATGGATAGTAATTTGCACCAGCTTTCTCCCCCCCCCTCTCTCCACAGCTGTTAGCTGTAATCCAGAGGATTGGTGAACAGAAACTTCTTCGTAAGTATAAAATCAATGGCAGAGTTCTGGAAGGCTTGATTGACACGGGCGCAGACATTTCTGTCATATCCAGTAATTGCTGGGACCCCACGTGGCCCCTTGAGTCTGCCTCTGCAGTTTGGGGTGTGGGTGGACCTCAAACCTCTTCCAAAAGCATACAGTGGTTACCTGTTTCTCTGCCTGATAGCTCTGAAACCATTGCATACATCCAGCCCTGTGTGCTGAAAATCCACCTCAATCTGTGGGGCAGAGACTTTGGCCATTAAATCCTGCCGTCCAGTCAGCGCTTCCCTGCGTAGTTCTGCTTGGGGGGCTGACCTGGGCAGGAAAGCAGAGTTGCAGCAGTCCTGTCGTCCGTGTGAGATACAGGGATAAATCAAGTCCAAAGACAGTTCGTTGCTATCTCTAAAACGTTTATTTACAAGCCATAAATCAGTCACATTCCATCGGAGCTTTCCAGCATCTTTCCCGTGCTAAAAGCACACACAGTCTCTCTGCTGCTTCTTTCAGTCTAAAGTGAAACCAACTCTCACAGACAACACAGACAAAGCCTGTGACGTACGGCCCTGCGTCAGGCCCCTCCCCAGAAACAGGACACCAAGGAGTTTTAACCCTGTAAACTCCAAACTCCACACCCCCTCTTGCCCTGCATCTGGGGAAATAAGCAACAATGCTCACCCCAAACACAGACCTTCACAGAACTCCTCATGCTTCTGGAAGGTTAATGGTTTTGTGAAACCATCAGCGAGGTTCTTGGTTGAGGGACAGTATTTTAGAGCAACTAGCCCCTCACGAACGCTCTGACGCACATTCTGAAAACGTACGTCCAAATGTTTGGTCCTGGCCTTGAATTGCGCCATCTCGGCCAATTTGAGGCACGGTTGATTGTCTTCATGCACCACGACGGGAAGACAATGCTCTCCACAGAGTTCCTCGACCAAACACGCATAGAACTCCAGCTCTCTGCAAACCTCAGATAGCGCACTGAACTCAGCCTCAGTAGATGAAAGCGCTATGAGACTTTGCTTCCGGGACCTCCACCCAACTACTGAGTTCCCAAACTTCACCACTAGGCCTGACACTGATTTGCGGTCCTCAAGGTTAGCCCAATCAGAATCCACCCAGGCGGTCAGCTTGACACCACCCTCAGCTGACATCTTGAGGCAAAAATCTTTGGTATCTTGCAGGTAACGCAGCACCCGTTTAATACCATTCCAGGCCTGCACACTAGGACTTGAAGCCTCTCTACTGAGCAGATTGACAGCAAACGCTATGTCTGGTCTGCTCCACTGTGACAGATACAGTAGACTACCCAGAGCTGACTGAAAGAGTTCAGTATTTTCGAACACAACGCGTTCTACTTGCTGACATTCTTTCACGTAACCAGCCTCCATGGGAGTTTTGACACCTGCACACTCAGACATTCTGAACTTCTCAAGCAAATGCTCAATCTTACCTTTCTGGCTGAGCAAAAAGCTTCCATCTCTTGCACTCGTTATCTCTACGCCTAGATACGACTTGACATCTCCAAGCTGCTTGATCTTGAACCGTTTTCCAAGCTCCCTAGCAAACTTTTCCACTTGTTTACTTGTCTGTGCCATGATCAAGATATCATCAACAAAAATCTGAGCAGCTTGCTGTGTCTCACCTGAACCTCTAAGGTAAAGACAGCTGTCCGCAACACTTCTCCTGAAACCTAGCTCTTCTAAGGCTTCATTCAGACACATGTTCCAATTTCTGGCAGACTGGCGTAATCCATATCTTGATCATGGCACAGACAAGTAAACAAATCCATAGATGGATTTGTGCAACCGCCACACGGTGCTTGGCACACTGACTCCAAACCCTGGAGGAGGAAGCATGTACAACTCCTCCTGGAGGTCTGAGTTCAGGTAGGCAACATCCACATCAAAATGGTTCACCTTCCAACCTCTCTGTGCAGCAACTGCTAAAAGCGTCCTCAAAGTCTCTGCTCTCGGCGAATAGACCTCCGTGAAGTGGACACCTTTCTTCTGTGTGAATCCTTGAGCTACTAACCTAGCTTTACACTGGGGTTCTCCAGCTTCTGTGGGTTTAAGGCGGTAAACCCATGTGCAACTCACAGCCTGCTTGCCAGCCGGCAACTGTGTGAGAACACACCAAGAGACTCCATTGAGTTCATCTCCTTCTGCATCGCCTCACGCCATTTGCTAGCTTCTTCCTGAGGCAACTTCTGAACATCCTCAAAGGATTCAGGTTCACATCTAGCCACACCTACCCAGACGCTAGTGGCTTCATACCTTTCTGGTGGCTTTCCCTTGGTTGACCTTGCTGACCTCCTCAGCGTGAACTCTGGAACTGCGCCTGATTCACTTGGGCCAGCCACACCATCCCCTGTGTCAGAAACCTCCCCCCTCCGACCTGCTGCGCCTTTTGGCCTCACAGCTGGGTTTGCTGGCGAGGATGGTTCACTCCTTGGCTCAGACTTGACAGAGACCTGTGGAGGGGTCTTGGGACTCCCCTTTGAAGAGGTTCAGAGCCTCTGCCTTGGAGATCCCGGCTCTGGACTCGGTGGCTGTGGACTGTCCACCTCAGCAACAGGTTCAGCTTTGTCCTCCTCCTCTTCCTCATCTGAGTCTAACAGAACATCCGGGTTCCCGTCAAGACGTTTCCACCCACTCTGCTCGCAAAACTCAGCACTGCCGCTAATAAGCAGCTTAGACTGGTTGCCAGTAGGGTATGCGAAACGCCACGCCTTTGAGCCCGGCTCATAGCCAACAAAGATCATTTTCCTAGATCTTGGTTCACCCTTTCTGCGAGTGGCCTTTGGAATGAGGACCCAAGCCTCACAGCCAAACACACGCAAGAAATCCACTTTCAGTTTCTTCCCATGCAGCAGAAAGTAGGGCGTGTCTCCCACACTTGAATTGAACACCCTGTTCTGAACAAAGCATGCCGTCTTATAACTCTCAGCCCAAAAGCGCTGTGGCAGACCCGAGTCTGCCAGCATAGCATTCGCTGCTTCCTGTAGGGTGTGGTGTTTTCTCTCCGCAATTCCATTCTGTTGCGGACTGTAGGGGGCAGTCAACCGATGACTGATACCTTTCTGCCTGAAGAAAGATTGCAGCGCAGAACCTGTGAACTCCGCCCCCCGATCAGATTGAAAGGAAACCACCCTGGCGGAGAAACGCAGCTCCACCGTTGTGATCCAATCCCTGATCAGTGCAGCCGCCTCCCACTTGTGTTTAAGTGTAAACAGCCAGGTGTGTCTCGAAAAATCATCAATCAGAACCAAAACATGCTTCGATCCACTTAAAGAAGCTACCTGAATCGGACCACATAAATCTGCATGAATCAGCTCAAAGGGTTTGCTGGTCCTCCTTTCTGACCTGGGATATGTGCATATCGTGACCTTCGATTTTTTACAAGCTTGACAATCTAAGTATTTATCACATGCCTTGAACCCACACCCAATTGTGTTCTCTGCGGCTTTTTTAACATATGACCACCCTGCATGTCCGAATCTCTGATGCCACAAATGTAAACAATCATGGTGTGGTGCTACATTTGCACACTGCACTTGTGCTTCTTCAGGGGACTCTGCAACAGTAGCATCAGTGACAGGCATCTGCACCAGAAAGAGCCTGTCCTTCCCCTCAACACTGTGGAGCTTCTTCCCATTCCTGTAAAAATAACACGTATTGTTAGTAAACACCACATCAAACCCATCAGCAATAAGAGCTGATACACTTAAAAGAGAATGAGCAAGCTCGGGGACCACATAAGCTTGCACCTCATGATCTATAAAGGGACAGTATAAAAGACCAGTTTCAGTTAATTGTCTCTTAGAACCATCTGCCATCGAGACAAAACGTCCAGATTTAACTGTCTTGCAATTTCTCAGGAGCCCACCAGATGGCACCAGGCTGTGGGTCGCTCCCGTATCGACGACAAGAGATAAAGTGGCTCTCTGGCTGTCTTCCAAGGTTGCCATGGCAACGCTCGCACCCCACCGGGGCCTCTGCCAGTGTCCTTCCTGGTTGCCATGGTTGCTGCAAGGCCTCTGCTGGTGTTCTCACGCTTCGCCTTAGCAGGTGGCTGACCTTGCATTCCAACGCCTCTGCAGAACAATGCCCTTCGCTGTTGGACTTCGCCTCAGAGCACAAACAACTCTTGGAGACTTTGGCTTTCCCAGAGCTCTTGGAACGGCCTGCACCCCCACTCCTGGGTGCCCAGCTGCCTGAGGAACAGACTGCAACTGCCTTCCTCTTTCCAGCTCTCAGCCTCTCTCCAGGACCATCACACAGACGTGTCGAAGCATAGAAACAGCTTCCCAAAACAGTCCCAGCCCCCTCTGGGCTTGGTGCTCTCTCTGGGCATCCTCCAGCCCCCTCTGGTCTGGCTCCCACTGCGGCCTGACATGCCGTCTTCAGTGCCTGCCACGCGACCCAGGGCTTCTTTCCTTGGAGCTTTGGCAACAGCCAAGCATCAACGCTGGCCCTTAAAATGGCTAGCACCCTTTGCTCTCTCTCCAGAGCAGCAGCCACATCTGCTTCACAAGCTTCCACTGCTCCTGCAGATCTCTCACTGGGCTGGGCAAGAACTGGTTCGGCTTGTGTACACTCCCATATCTGCTTCCCTTCCAGCCAGTAGTACATGCGCTTACTCCAGTCTTCCCAATTGGCCCCATTCAGTCTTTCACCGGGGTAGCTCTCATGGCCTTGCTGTGGCTGAGCAGCAGCCATCTTCCTCCCCCCGGGGCTTAAGCGTACTCACGAGTTGCCAGCTAGCTGGTCCTCCGAAGCAGCAGCCTCCTCTTGGCTCCGCTCTCCACCAGTGTCTCCCACTGCCCTTCTGGCAGGAGCTCAAAGCAGCTCAAAGCTGGCAGCCTTCTTCCCTCCTCACACTTGGCAGGAAACACGGAAGATCCATAACCTTTGGCCATTAAATCCTGCCATCCAGTCAGCACTTCCCTGCGTAGTTCTGCTTGGGGGGCTGACCTGGGCAGGAAAGCAGTGTCGCTTTTTTACGGCCGCTTTTTTCAGCCTTAAAAGGCCATCAATCTCCTGGTGAGCAAATTACCTTGACCTCCTCTCAACAGAAAACCGTTGCCCAGTTAAAGGAAATTATGCGTCTCCACTGGGTTGACCGAGCAATTCTTAATGTCTTGCCAGATGTAGTTATAATGACAGATTCTGTCCAACCCTTTGCGGCCCTTATTCAGTCAGGCCCATCAAAAGTTCATATTATTGAATGGTTGTATTTACATCATACACCAAAAAACACGGTGACTCCTTTAGTGGACCTCCTTGCTCAGCTCATCAGCAAGGGCCGCCGTCGATGCAAAAGTCTTTTTGGCACCGATTGTCGCCAAATTATTGTGCCCATGCCCTTGGAGCAATGGGAGACTGTTCTTTCCACTAGCATGGATTTGCAGTGCGCTTTAGCCGATTTTGTCGGCTTGGTGGACTGCCATGTCCCCGCCGACCCTCGCCTGCAAATGGGTAGACAATTTTCCCTATCTTTTTCTTCCATATTGTCTCCTGTCCCTTTGGATGCTTCTACTGTTTTTACTGATGGAGCCCCCTCCAGGGGGGTGGTTGCATGGCAACAAAATGAGGAATGGCACAGCCTCTACACTCTCCCACAAAAATCAGCTCAGCGTTCTGAGTTAGCAGCTGCTGTTAAAGCTCTGCATCATTTTTCCTTACAGCCAATTAATTTGGTAGTGGACAGCCTTTATGTTGCAAATGTTATAACTCGTTTACAGGGCAGCTATGTAAGTCCCTTATTGGATGACAATCTATTGAGCCTTTTCCTGTCCTTACAATCGCTTCTGTCCAATCGCTCCCACCCACTATTTGTGGTGCACATTTGCTCTCACCAACCCTTCCCAGGCTTTCTCACTGATGGCAATGCAAAAGCAGACTCTTTGCTTAGGGCTCTGCCTGTCTCCCCCATTGAAAGTCATGCTTTCCATCATCAGAATGCAAAAGCTCTTAGCCGCCAATTCCAAATTCTGTTGGAAGCGGCTCGTGCAATTATCCAACAATGCCCTCAATACTCTAATCAGATTGGCCACCCCAGCCCTGGTGTTAATCCCCGTGGGCTGGAGGCCAACCAGTTGTGGCAAATGGATGTGACTCACTTCTCCCCTTTCTCACCTTGGAAATTCATACATGTCTGCATTGACACGTTTTCTGGCTTTATTTGGGCCACCCCTCAAAGGGGAGAACAGGTTAAACATGTTTGCAATCATCTTGTTCGTACCATGTCAGTCATGGGCAAGCCTCATTCCTTAAAAACTGACAATGCCCCAGCGTATTGTGCAAAAACCTTTGCTCAGTTCTGTGAAACTTGGAATATTCACCATTTATTTGGCATCCCTTACAATTCTCAAGGCCAAGCAATTGTTGAACGTGCCAACCGCACCCTAAAAACTGCTTTAATTCGACAGGAAAAGAAGGCCGGAGTTCCAGCCTCACTTTCAGAAAAGGAAGGCTGGTTGGCTAGTGTTCTCTTTACTCTCAATCATTTGAATGTCTCCATACAGGATCATCAACCCTATACTCGTCTCCAAAAACATTTCCAGCAAAGAGAGACTTCCAGCCCCGCTGGTCTCTTATAAAATATTACCCTCCAACAAATGGAGTGAACCAGTAAAACTGATTACCTGGGGAAAGGGTTATGCTGCAGTTTCTACTCCACAGGGTGCTCGTTGGGTTCCCGCACGCTGCGTCCGCCTCTACCATGGCATGGCAACAGGCCCTGCAAAATCTGACACCGCAGTTCGACTGTCAACTCCAGATCGCCCAGGATGCGGCATCCAGCCCCCCCAGGACTCGCAAGCGGGGAAATCGTAATTGACCAGTGACGTGGGGCCAGATAAAATCACTCTCATTTCAAGCTGAACAGCTTAGAAAGGAAAAGCAGCTAGAAGCAACCCGATAATTTACTTCTGTCTCATTTCCTGCCTTAATATTAATTCCATGATAGTGCTCATTTTCAGCGTTTTGTTTTTGCCCTCTCTGCTTCCGCTCCTAATAGCGGTGGTTCCACACCAATAAATGTGTGGGAATCTTTTGCAAAAACCCTCAATGTTTCTTCCTTTTGCTTAACCCAGCAGGTATCAATAGGTGAGATCCTTGGCTCTTGCCTTATCCCTGTCTGCCATGACCCTTTTGATCTGCAAAATGATACCTGGTTTTATTCATCCCTACCCCAAAATGATTCTCTCCGCACCCTTGGTTATTCAGGTTACCATAACTGGGGTACCCAAGTGCGCTGACGCCCTCCTTTGGCCGTTGATTTGTTGACCCCATACGTGGCTTCCTATAATGTCACTTGTGCCCATATGGTCAATTGCACAAAAACCAACTGTGTGAAAATGGGCAAGGATAATTTTAACTGCTCTAATTATGTAGATATTTCCTATGTATATAAATATACAGAGCTGCCTGAAGGCTGGTTCTGGTCGTGCCCAGGCTATACATTCAATTATATTCCAGCAAACATCAGCCATGGCACGCCCTGCTGCTTAAGCCGTTTGTCCATCATTTTACCCAAAAAGCATCATTTGTCCCGCTCTAGATATCGCCGCTCTGTGGAATTGACTGATTGTGACGATTCTGTCTCTCTTCCCAGCAGATCTGAATATATCTCCTTAGCTGTTTCTCTCTTAGGAGTCCCTGGATTGGCTGTACGGAATAGTATGAACATTAACTCTTTAGCTTGCTCCGCGGCAAAAGCTTTGAATTTTACTTCACAAGCTCTGCACCTTTTGAATAAAGAAGAGTGAACTCCAGCATGGACTTCTACAAAATCGTGCTGCTATTGACTATGTGCTCATGCTTCATCATTATGGCTGTGAACAAGTGAATGACATGTGTTGTTTCAATATTACTGATAATTCTAAAGCCATTCAAAAGCAAATCTCTCATTTGCAAAATCTTACACACCACATTAAACAGGACGTTGGATTTTCTGTCCTCTGGGATTCGTTTGCCCAGTGGCTCACTGGTTGGTTGCCAAATCTGAACTGGCTTCGTAATCTTTTTCAATATGCTATTGTCATAATACGTATATTAATTTTGTTATGCTGCTTCATCCAATGCATTCCTGGTCTCATACGTCTTTGGTCTCAGCTTTTCTCTCCTCCTCAGCCACCTAATAAAATTATTGCTGCCTACTTTGCAAAGTGGCAGCACCAACTGTAAATAATAGGGGAGATGTGGGCGAACTTATTTTGGGCATGCGCTGGCAAACCACGTATCCCTAAGTATTTTTGTCCCATTCACCCTGGCAGACTTATTTCGGGCATGCGCTGGCAAACCACGTATCCCTAAGTATTTTTGTCCATTTCACCCTGAAATCATACAGGAACATCTCGCACAAAAACAAAAGAAAAAGAAAGGGGGAGATGATGGGAAGTTTTGCTTCTGCAAACCACTCTAAGTCTGGCAAACCACTCTAAGCTGAAAACATTCCTTCCTAGAATGTTCAGTTCACATTGAGTTCATGGAACATTGTACCCTGACCTGTTCTTACTGTATGGTTGACCACATCTACGGAACGCGATGGTTATACTCTGTTAAGTTTTGCTATATCAATCACTAGTAATAGTTTAAGCCTTGCTATATCAATCATTTGTAATTGTTTAATTACGAGGTCTTCACGCCTGTTCAATTCTGTGTTCCCTTTCCCAACCTTTAATCTGTTGATGATTAATGCCTATATACAACCCTTGCATTGTATTTGTATTAACCAATCAGCAACAAGCACATATGTGGCAATGCTGTAATATTCAATAAAAGGGACTCCCGACACATGTTCAGGAGATGCCTCCCGTATGACACTTGTCATTCGTCTGTCGTTTATTTCAACCCAACACTCCTCAAATATTTTATGGGAGAGCAAAGACCCCTAGGAATTAAAGAGTGGCTGTATTCCCTACCCTCACACGTCTCAGGATGCTTAGAACATAAAAACACAACATAAAAACAAAAAATATCACATGTTAAAATAGCATTAGATGTCAATAAGAAAAAGGCCTGGTTAAAAACGTGTGGATTTGCCTGGCTCCTAAAGCTGTATAATGGATTTTCCGACCTTTGTATGGATTCTTTGATGGGAAGTGAGTTTAGAGCTAACAGTGAAGCTCTTTCCACATTCTACACACAAATAGGGTTTCTCCCCTGTATGAAGTCTCTGATGCCTAGTGAAATTGGAGCTATGAGTGAAGCTCTTTCCACATTCGACGCACTGATAGGGTTTCTCCCCTGTATGAATTCTTTGATGGGAAGTGAGAGAAAAGCTCTGACTGAAGCTCTTTCCACATTCTACGCACTGATAGGGTTTCTCACCTGTATGAATTCTTTGATGGGAAGTGAGAGATAAGCTATGAGTGAAGCTTTTTCCACATTCCACACACTGATAGGGTTTTTCCCCTGTATGAACTCTGTGATGGGAAGTGAGAGAGGAGCTATGAGTGAAGCTCTTTCCACATTCCACACACTGATAGGGTTTCTCCCCTGTATGAAGTCTCTGATGCCTAGTGAAACTGGAGCTCTGTCTGAAGCTCTTTCCACATTCCACACACTGATAGGGCTTCTCCCCTGTATGAATTCTTTGATGGGAAGTGAGAGAGGAGCTATGAGTGAAGCTCTTTCCACATTCCACACACTGATAGGGCTTCTCCCCTGTATGAATTCTTTGATGGGAAGTGAGACTGTGGCTGTGAGTGAAGCTCTTTCCACATTCCACACACTGATAGGGTTTCTCTCCTGTATGAATTCTCTGATGCTTAGTGAGATCGGAGCTCTGATTGAAGCTCTTTCCACATTCCATGCCCTGATAGAGTTTCTTTTCAATGAGATTTTGTTGATGGGAAGTGGAATGGGAGCTCTGACTGCAGCTTTCTCCACACTCCAAATTTTTGTGTGGCTTCTCCTCTCTGGGGATTTTTTCGTTGTCACCTTTGCTCTCAATTTCCGTTTCATCACAATCTGCATTGGAGACAAAAAGGGATTAGAGCCTCAGGAACAAATGGAGAAGAACTGAAGGGAGTTGGGTGTGTGTTCATTACCTGTATTTTTTGTCATTAACCAACATATTTATTATGAGATTCTGATGAGTTGTTGAATGTTGCTTTGTTTATATAAAGTAGTGGTCAAAATTGTGGAAGACCTTTGGAAAAAAGTGTATTTCAGAGGTTTGCTGGCTCATAACACCACTTCATTTGGAGTTATGTCATAAAATTATATATCAGTGGAAAGATTATTCGATCAAGAATGCAATCAAGATTGCAATCCAACAAAGTTTGTTCAATTACCCGTATTCTATCAAAATTATAGCCAAATAACCAGAAAAAGAAAGCACAACTTGCTTAGGTTGACTTTTGTCAGTGTGTTATGTGATTGCTATCAAGTTGGTTGGTTTTTGTGTTCTTTCATTTAGTGAGTGCGTAAAACATAATAAAATTATAGAAATGGCACAAGGAGTTGAGTGGTCCCCAGAAAGCGATGTAAGATTGTACTATTAAGTGAACAAGGCTACAGTTATGAAGAAATTAGAAGAGAGATTGGGGAAAACTTAACCAAAGTTGGCCTTTCTATATTTTGGAAGAGGTATAAGGAGACTCAGTCACTACAAAATCAGACTTGTTAAGGCAGGGAATGTGTACAAAGGCAAGTGACGATGGACGAGTGGAGAGACTGTGCCTACATGACAGAAGAAAATCATCTGGGTGTATACAAGATGACATGGCGCAATGTAATGGGAAGTTGAGTGCAAGGACTGGTCTAAATGTTAGAATTCGAAGGGAAAAGCCATTGTTATCTCTCAAGCAAAGTTTGAAAAGATTAAACCCATGTTAACTGGACAGCGGAACAATGGGACACTACCTTACTTGACAGGTTGTCTCAAGATATGGCAAAGAGAAATTTCCAAATTCCTGTGGGAAGGGAAGAAACCTAGGATTAAACACCTGATCTTAATAGATTTAAAAGAGAGAGGAGGCTTTTCCCTACCCGACCTAAACCTTTACTACGAGGCAGCCTGTTTCACCTGGCTAAAAGATTGGTGCACGTTGCAGGATCCGGACCTCCTGAACCTGGAAGGTTTTGACAATCATTGGGGATGGCACGCCAACCTGATATATGGAAAAGCGAAAATTCATAAAAATTTTACCAACCATATCATAAGAAAGTCACTCTTTGCTGTATGGGAAAAATATAAAGACCTGATGGAGCCTAAAGTCCCATGGTGGACTTCTCCAATAGAAGCCTGCGCAATAGGTTCCTGCGCAATGTTTGCCATCTTGCCAAAGGTTGCAGGCAGCTTTACCTGCAGCAATTGTATGTTGATTGCCCTCTTAGAAGACAAAGTCCAGCAACTGGAGGAACGTGTAGCTACGCTCCAAAAATTAGAGAGCTGGAGCTCTTCTTGGAAGCAACAGAGAACACCGTCTCCACCAAGGAGGAGACAGGGGACACCCCTGAGAAGGAGGCTAGTTCACCAACACAGGTGCCAGATATATGGAGAAACGTGACTCAAAGAAGTAGGAGGCCCAGGGTCCGCTCTGATTGTTTAGAAATACACAATCGCTTTGAAGTCCTATCCCCTAGCATGGAAGACGAAGAACAGACTCCATTTGAGGATCTCTCCCTCATTATAGTCGATCAGGTATATGAAGACGAGCAGCAAAGTCAGTCCTCGGGGAATGTGCAGGCGACCTTAGAACGGACAGCTCACAGAAGAACCCCGACCAAACCTAAGAGGAGGCGTGTAGTGGTGATAGGGGATTCCCTACTGAGGGGAACAGAAGCAGTGATCTGTGGGCCTGACAAGATGTCTCGGGAGGTGTGCTGTCTCACCGGGGCTAAGATCCAAGATGTAACTGAACGACTGCAAGGAATCATAAAACCCACTGTCAAATACCCCTTCCTCTTGGTTCATGTGGGAACCAATGACACTGCAAGCAATAGCCTCCAGAAGATCAAAAGAGACTACGAGGCTCTGGGCAGGAAATTGAAGCAATTAAATGCACAAATTGTCATCTCATCTGTCCTCCCAGTTGAACGACGTAGCCCAGGGAGAGAGGGGAAAATAGTGGAAGTGAACAGCTGGCTTCGCAAATGGTGTAAACAGGAACGGTTTGGATTCTTAGATCACGGACTGCAGTTTCTTGAAGATGGACTTCTGGCAAGCGATGGGCTGCACCTCACAACGGTTGGGAGAAATGTTTTTGCCAAAAATCTCAGAAACCTCATCAGAAGGGCTTTAAACTGACTAATGTGGGGAGGGAGACAGTGCTCCTGAAGGTAGGAGTCTATCAATTGATGAAGATGATCATCCAAATGTCATAGACCAAATGGAGCAAACAGCACGCAGACCTAGTGGTGGGAGGAAAAATCCTTAAATAAGAGACACGGGGAATGATTAATGGACTTCAATGTCTGTACACTAATGCGCAAAGCATGGGAAATAAACAAGATGAGCTTGAGCTCTTGGTACAGCAAACTAAATATGACATAATAGGCATCACTGAAACCTGGTGGGATAAGTCCCACGATTGGAATGTAATAATGGAGGGATACAATCTATTTCAGAGAAACAGACCAGACAAGAAAGGAGGAGGAGTGGCGTTATATGTCAGGGATGTGTATACCTGTGAAGAGATCCAAGATTTAGAACCTCAAAGCCAAAGTGAGAGCATTTGGGTCAAAATTAAGGGAGAGAAGAAGAACAGAGAGCTCATTGTGGGAGTTTACTATAGATCCCCAAGCCAAACGGAGGACATAGATGATGCCTTCCTGGAACAGATGGCCAAGCATGCAAAAGGAAGGGAGACAGTAGTAATGGGGGACTTCAATTACCCGGACATTTGTTGGATGTCAAACTCAGCCAAGAGCATAAGGTCAAACAGATTCCTCACTGGCCTTGCAGACAACTTCATTGTCCAGAAAGTGGGAGAAGCAACAAGAGGAACAGCCATTTTAGATCTGGTCCTAACCAATGTTGATGACCTGGTTAGTGGGGCAGAAGTGGAAGGATTATTAGTGATTATGCTCTTCTGAAGTTTACTATACAGCGGAAAGGAGCAGCCAAGCATACTAGGACTCAATTTCTTGACTTTAAGAATGTCGACTTCATAAAACTTAGGGAAGTGCTGGGTGAGATCCCATGGACAGTAATACTAAAAGGAAAGGGAGTTCATGATGGCTGGGAGTTTGTTAAGAGGGAGATAGTAAAAGCACAACTTCAGGCAATACCAATGAGACGGAAACATGGAAGGTGCCTAAAGAAGCCAGGGTGGCTATCTAAAGAACTTTTAACTGAGTTAAGATTAAAAAAGATGTGTACAAAAAATGGAAAAGGGGGGAAACCACCAAAGAGGAATTCAAACAAATAGCCAGCACATGTAGACACAGAGTCAGAAAAGCTAAAGCACAGAATGAACTCAGGCTTGCTAGAGAGGTTAAAAGCAACAAAAATGGCTTTTATGGGTATGTCTGTAGCAAAAGGAAGAACAAAGAAACAGTGGGGTCACTCAGAGGAGAAGATGGTGAAATGCAAACAGGGGACACAGAAAGGGCTGAACTCCTCAATGCCTTCTTTGCCTCAGTCTTCTCCGATAAAGAAAACAATGCCCGACTGAAGAATTTGGAGCAAATGATTCAGCAGAGGAAACACAGCCCAGAATAACTAAGGAGATAGTACAAGAATACTTGGCTAGTTTAGATGTATTCAAGTCTCCAGGGCCAGATGAACTGCATCCAAGAGTATTAAAAGAACTGGCAGATGTGATCTCAGAACCACTGGCAGTCATCTTTGAGAATTCCTGGAGAACAGGTGAAGTCCCGGCAGACTGGAGGAGGGCAAATGTTGTCCCTATTTTCAAAAAGGGGAAAAGAGAGGACCCAAATAATTACCGCCCAGTCAGTCTGACATCAATACCAGGGAAGATTTTGGAGTAGATCATTAAGCAAACAGTCTGTGAGCACCTAGAAAGGAATGCTGTGATCACCAATAGTCAGCATGGATTTCTGAAAAATAAGTCATGTCAGACTAACCTGATCTCATTTTTTGACAGAATTACAAGCCTGGTAGATGAAGGGAACGCAGTGGATGTAGCCTACCTTGATTTCAGCAAGGCATTCGACAAGGTGCCCCATGATATTCTTGTAAAGAAGCTGGTAAAATGCGGTCTTGACTATGCTACCACTCAGTGGATTTGTAACTGGCTGACTGACCGAACCCAAAGGGTGTTCATCAATGGTTCCTCTTCATCCTGGAGAAGAGTGACTAGTGGGGTGCCACAGGGTTCTGTCTTGGGCCCGGTCTTATTCAACATCTTTATCAACGACTTGGATGATGGACTCAAGGGCATCCTGATCAAATTTGCAGATGACACCAAACTGGGAGGGGTGGCTAACACCCCAGAGGACAGGATCACACTTCAAAACGACCTTGGCAGATTAGAGAACTGGGCCAAAACAAACAAGATGAATTTTAACAGGGAGAAATGTAAAGTATTGCACTTGGGCAAAAAAATGAGAGGCACAAATACAAGATGGGGGACACCTGGCTTGAGAGCAGTACATGTGAAAAGGATCTAGGAGTCTTGGTTGACCACAAACTTGACATGAGCCAACAGTGTGACGCGGCAGCTAAAAAGCCAATGCAATTCTGGGCTGCATCAATAGGAGTATAGCATCTAGATCAAGGGAAGTAATAGTGCCACTGTATTCTGCTCTGGTCAGAGCTCACCTGGAGTACTGTGTCCAGTTCTGGGCACCACAGTTCAAGAAGGACACTGACAAACTGGAACGTGTCCAGAGGAGGGCAACCAAAATGGTCAAAGGCCTGGAAACGATGCCTTATGAGGAACGGCTAAGGGAGCTGGGCATGTTTAGCCTGGAGAAGAGGAGGTTAAGGGGTGATATAGCCATGTTCAAATATATAAAAGGATGTCATATAGAGGAGGGAGAAAGGTTGTTTTCTGCTGCTCCAGAGAAGCGGACACGGAGCAATGGATCCAAACTACAAGAAAGAAGATTCCACCTAAACATTAGGAAGAACTTCCTGACAGTAAGAGCTGTTTGACAGTGGAATTTGCTGCCAAGGAGTGTGGTGGAGTCTCCTTCTTTGGAGGTCTTTAAGCAGAGGCTTGACAACCATATGTCAGGAGTGCTCTGATGGTGTTTCCTGCTTGGCAGGGGGTTGGACTCGATGGCCCTTGTGGTCTATTCCAACTCTATGATTCTAAGCCATAGAAGTAAAACGGAAAAATACTCAGGAAAGCTGGCCAACATGTAAAATACTTCTAAAAAATGAAGATTACCAAATAAAATTTAAAAACTTTGAGGAAATAAGAGAACACATTTCAGACTAGTTCCAATACCATCAGTTATTTGAAAAATTTAAATCTGACAAACAAAAGGGGTTCTCAACAGAAATTTCCCGATTCGAATCTGATCTTGTAAATTCTAAAAGAAAAACTCTTTCCAAAACTTATCGACTCCTCCTTGCCTGGACAGTCAAGGAGGAGGAGGTAACAGTGGCAATGGTGAGGTGGTCCCAGGATTTTGGCCATTCAATAACCATGGCCCAATGGGAAAATTTATGGAAGATCAATTGGAAATTCACAAATTGTTACACGATTAGAGAGAACTTTCAAAAAATGCAACATCAATGGTATCTAACACCATGGAAACTTTCAAAAATGTATAAAAATGTGTCCAAAATTTTTGGAGATGCGGAGACTCAGGAACATTCTACCATATGTGGTGGATATGTAGGAAAATACAGGTATTATGGGAAAGTATACATGCAGAACTGCACAAAATGCTAAAGATCTCTTTCAATAAAAAACCAGAGGCCTACCTCCTGGGAATAACAGATTTGGATATTCCACAAAAGAGAAAGGGTATCTTTTTATATGCGACGACGGCAGCAAGAGTTTTGATCGCAGCAAAATGGAAGAGTAATGAAATCTCCTCTATACAAGATTGGATCCAAAAGCTGACAGAATATGCCGAATTAGATGGTTTATCAGAAAAAAATAAAGAATAAATCAAAACAGGAATTTGTTTCAAAATGGGAGGTTTTCAAAGAATATCTGAAAAATAAATATAGTAGTCTCAATTCTGTTGCAGCGTTCGAGGAACTTCAGTAATAGTTGCAAGGTAGATATAAGAAATTAGATTTATTGAGAATAAGTTTAATTATGATAAAAGTGTGTATTGGCAATAAGTAATATGAATTTGAAATATGGAATAGACGGGAGGTTGGGTCTTTAGTGTTAAGACCAATAGATGTTTTATTGTTTGCTAAGAAAATTATGTGTCTATGGTTATTTTTGTAATTTGTGTGTAATTTGGTATCTGTGGGTTTTTTTCTTTTTTCTTGTTGTATAAATAAAAAACTTTATTAAAAAAAAAAGGACACTACCTTTCTTGGTAGTGATGGCATGAAATACGTGAGTTTCTTTAATTGGAGAAGAGGAGAAGAATCAGATAAGATTTACATCCTACTTGCATTACACTGACCGTGAAACACCCCGACAGTGTGATGATCTGGGGTTGTATGGCAGCAAAAGGTGTGGGCAGAATTTGCGTCATTAATGGGAATATAAATGCGGAAAAATGCATAAACGAAATACGTGAGCCCAAACTGAAGTGTTCCGCAGGTGATCTTTTCCCAGATACTGAAGCATTTATATATTTTCAACAGGATTCAGCTCTATGTCGTGTTGCTGCTGTGTGCAAAAGGTGCTTTCAAGATAATGATATTTCACTGCTGGAATGGCCTGGGAATAGCCCACACTTTAACCCAATCAGAAATCTATGGAGCCGACTAAAGAAACTTGTTAGTCAGAAGCAACCCAGCAATAAAGCCCAATTAACAGAGGCAATAATTCAGTCTTGGTTTCACATTATTACAGCTGCAGAACTAAAGACTTGGTTCACTTCAAGTGAAGGCGTTGTAAGGCCGTAATTAAAGCTAAAGGTTACCAATGGTTACCAAAGGTTTCACGTTTTTTCTTTATGACTGCTGTTCTAATAAATACTCCTTCATAAAAGTCATTGCATTACTTTCTTCATTAAATTATCTTTCCATTGCTATATAATTTTATGGTATTACTCCACACAAAAGTGGTGTTATGAGCCACCAAACCTCAGAAATACACCTTTCAAAATAGGTTTCCACAATTTTGGCCACTAGTAGAAGTTGTTCATTTTAGAGTTAATGTTCTTAATATATGGGATCAGATTATTATTATTTATGTTTCATGATTATATGTGTGTTGGAAGCCGCCCAGAGTGGCTGGGGGAACGCAGCCAGATGGGCAGGGTAGAAATAAAAATTATTATTATTACTACAGTGGTACCTCGATTTAAGAACAGTCCTGTTCCGGAAAGTTTGTAAACCGAGGTACCACTGTATCATCATCATCATCACCACTGCTACTTCTACCTGAAATTCAATAAGCCTAGCTCTTCTCTGGGATGAATTTTGTTTGGCCCAGTCATGGCATCCCCTCCATCTCCAATGTCAGTCGTCTCTTTGGTCAACCCAAGACTGACAGGAGCAAAAACAAAAACAGAAAACCTGAAGCTACTTATCTTTCCTAACAATTCTGAAGCTGACATTTAAGATGGCCTGGGCAGTTCAGACCAGCCCAATCGTGGTAGAAAAAGGAATAATTTGAGGAAGATTGTTCAAAGAGAAAACTGTAATTTACTGTTCATTGTGGGGGTGTTAGGTTCCCAGGTGTTATAGGGGGCGTTGTTGAGCTCTGTGAAAATATGTGAGGTTGGTCTATAGACATATTTTTTGAATTTCCAGGCAGGTATGACGATCCCACAGGGAGCCTTACCAAGAGAGGCCACGATCCCACGATTCTCCTCCATGACGTCCTTATGCAGAGCTCTCTGGTCAGGATCCAGCAACGCCCACTCCTCGTCCGTGAAACGAACAGCAACATCTTCAAAGCACACTGGACCCTAAAAGAAAAAGGGAAATGTCCTCCTCTGAGACAGCAGAAATATGATCTGCTACACAATGCTCTGTTGTTTCCATCCTGTAAATTGCTGTGTTGTTTCAATAGGACTGTTTTGCAGCACATTTTAATTATGGATGCTTATTTTATTCTGCGTTTTAATTATGGGTATTTGTCTTTGTGCAAACAGGTGGTACTCCACATGTGGTTTTCAAATCATTCTGCCTACCCAAGCTTTCCAGTTTGCCTGATGGAAGGATCCACTTTCTCCTCTCCTCCTGAGCTCTTCTGGGGAGTTCCCTCCCAATGCCCTAGAGCCAAATTCAAGGGGTTCAGGGGAGCATGGAGAGGGGGAGGGGGAGGATTGCTGGGCAGGTCCAATTTTGCAGTGGATGGGGCTGGTTAGTTGAATCCAGGCCACTATTTGTTCTCATTTGTCCACTGCTTAGAAACCAATTTTTGCATTCAGTTATCAATCTAGAAATAAAATAAGCCTCTTTTGGATGGCCATCTGTCTTGGATGATCTAGCAGAGATTCCTGCATTGCAGGGGGTCTCCTGGCTCTGAGAGACAAGCAGGGAGGGTGGCTTCTGGCAAAAGGAGAGGGAGCCACCGGTGGCTCCTCCTTATCCTGACTCACCTCAGCCTCTCGACCTTCCTCTCCCACTTGCCTCCTTCCTCTTCTGCCTCTGATTCTGCACTGCATTCTGCCACAGAATCTCCCAGCTCACTAAACCCTGTTCTTCGGCTTCTGACACCTCCTCTTCCCAGACTTCTCCCTCTTCTCCCTCTGACCGCTCATCCTTCCTCCACCTCCAATCCTTGGGCTCTGAGCCATCTTCCCTTCCTGGTTCCCAGGCTGCTTCCTCCCACCATTCCTCTGTGCCGAACCAGTCCATGACATTGCTCCATCCCTCGGCCTCTGTCCCCACAAGGCAGCTTCCCCTGACCTGATCTGGTTCCACAGCCGCTGCTTCCCTTCTGCCCCCATGAAAAGGCGGATCAGGAGGTCTTGCCGGCATCCTTCTGCCACCTGCAAGAGAAAAAAGGTAAGCAGGACACCAGGAGTGCCTGCTTCTCTCACAGGTGAAACAGGGCATCTCTAACTACAGATGGGCCTTTGAGAAAGCCTCACCCGCTGAGTGCATTTGGAGGTTTGTGCCCATTTCATATGTTTGTTTGTGCAGAAATACATCTCTCCTCTTCTGGACCCTTGTTCCCAACTGTCTCCCCCCAAAACAAGATGAAAAGAACCCTCAGATGAGTTGGGAAACCAACAGAATGAGACCAGTGGAGAAAAACCACCTTCCTCCTTACCCAGTGGCCTCTCTCTGGTGTCCAACGGAGGCCTCTCTGCCTCACAGGAATCCAGGTCCATTTCTGCAAAGAGATCCTTTCCCTGAGAAAGAAACAAGGATTCAAACCAGAGAATGGGGAGAAATACTAGAAAGAGAATGACAAAGACTCGAAGGTGCGAGATCTCATTCCATGGATGCTTTCCCAGAAAATGGGCCATCAGCAGACCATTATGGGATGTCCTCTGTCCTGTTTGGAACCCCTTGGGAGTATCCAGAGGAAAGTCTCTCTCACCTGTTTACTCTGTTCCTGCTTTCTCTCCTCTGCCTGACTCAGGAGGAAACCTTCGGCCAGGGCCACCGCCTGGGAACTGGTCTCCGCTCCACAGTCCCTCACCCAGCTCTCCATCTCCGGGGGAAGGACAGCCAGGAACTGCTCCAAGATCACCAAGTCCAGCATCTCAGCTTTCGTGTGCCTTTCTGGCTTCAGCCACTGATGGTCAAGGTGGTAGAGTCGCCTGCAAACCTCCCGCGGTCCTTTGGCCTCCTGGCAGCAGAACTGCCTCAACTGCTGGCTCTGCACCTCTGAGCGGAGGGTGTCCACCTCACCATGGATCTTCTGCACAGAGTTTTCCCAGAACCCCCCACTGCTCCCAGTTTGGTTGGCATGGCCTCTTCCTGTTCCAGGGCCAGTTGAGTCTTGCTCATCCATCTGTGCTCTCAGGAAGCCTCTGAGAGATCAGAAGGAACCCTTTGGTCTTCTACCAAGTTCTGTCTGTCTAAATGAGAAGCTCTAGCAAATCCTACAAAGCAAATACATTGTTCTGTTATAGAATTTGTAGGACAGGGGGGGGGAATGGTTCCCTGAGCAAGCATGGTTGAGTCTTGCTGGGAACCAGGGCTGGACTGCACCAGATCCCAGACCATGAGATATCTTTTTGAAAAGAAAGAGGAGGAGGAAGAGGAGAAGAAATAAGTCTCTAGCCTTCAAGCAATGCAGAATGTGGAGGCAACTGAAGGGATTTCTGCGAGATTAATCAACCTGGTTTCTGCTGCCTTCCAGTCAATGCATGAAGTCAGAACTGAATGACAAGGGAGTCATTTGTATCTCGTGATAAATGGATGCTTTTCTCTAGTGGGGGTCCTGACCTGGGGGTCCTCGGGAGTTGCTCCCCCCACCCCCACCCCCACCCCACCTCCACTCCCTGCTTCTGTCTCCTTTTCTGCAATCTCTGCCGCTGTCCAGACAGATTCGTGGGGTGAGAGCTCTTTTTCTCTCTTCTGAGGGCCAGGAATGTATCTGGACAACCCCCTGAGGGCCAAGTGGGCAGGGCCAAAGACATCTCCCTTGAAATTTAGGAGGGTAATTTTATATTCTTGTATTATTATTATTATTATTATTATTAACGCACACACAGCCACTGATGCCAAGGTCCCTGGAGGCTCGGTGAGTAGCAGCGCCCATTTCCGGCTTGGCTGGTTTTCCAGCAACAATCCCTTTGGGACAGAGAGGATGTGGTCCTGGGATGCCATGCTCTGGGTGCGAGGGGATTGCTGCAGTGGCCTCCGTGGGGAGCTGCCCTGGGAGACACTGGGAAACTGGTCTGCAATGCAGCAGTCACACTATGGGCTGGGATCCCTCTCTTTATTCCTGGCCTTTCTCTCCCACCCTTTTTTTTGGGGGGGGGGGGCTAGTCCACCTCCTTGTCCAGCTTTGGAAAACCATTTGCACATGTTTCCTCTGTTGTGCAATGAGGCTGAGCGATGTCACACAGAGTTAAAGTCCCAGGGACTCCTTTGTTTTAAAAAGGGAGATTTCGTGGGAGTCAGGGATCCTCTGATCTGCAGGAAGGAGAGCGTGGCAGACCTGGCCCCTCCCTGGCAGGACCCTCTCCTCCCTGACTTGGGGTCCCCCCTGGAGGAGCAGATCAGGCCCCCCAGGAATCCTCCCCTGCTGCAGCCCTGGGACCCCCACCAGATCCCAGAGAGAGAGGAGACTCACCAGATCCCAGGAGGGGGCTGCGATTCGGCCCTTGCAGGAGAGACCCCAAAGCAGGAAAGGACTGGGGAGGGAGGGGCCTTGGCTCTGGAGGACCTGGCCCCCCCTTGCTTCCTGTCCTCTCTAGGAAGGCAGCTCACTTCCCTTTAACCCTTGCCAAGCCGAGTCCCTCCAGCTCAGCCCTCTCTCGCTTGGCAGAACCTCAGATTATTATTATTTTGTATGCTTTTTGTGTGGCATCTTCCACACTGGCTTCGCCAATGCCCAGATATCCTTTTGGGGGTGAGGCTCTTGGCTGGACTCTGAGCATCTCCCTCCCTTGGCCAGAAACCAGAGGAAGAGCTTGCAGGGAAAAGGGCTTTGCAGGAGGCAAGGAAGCTCCTCCTAGAATTCAGGAGTGGAGAGATAGGAGGGGATCCCAGGGTCATCTAGTCCAGCCCGAAGCAAGAGAGGGCCGGGTCTAGTTCCCTAAACAGGCAGCCCTGTTTAGGGAAGCTTTTAATGTTTAATAGGTTATTGTATTTTAGTGTTTGATTGGAAGCCGCCCAGAGTGGCTGGGGAAACCCAGCCAGATGCGCAGGGTATAAATAATAAATTATTATTATTATTATTATTATTATTATTATTATTGTTATTATTATTACTATTATTATTGTTATTATTATTACTATTAAAATTGATCAGGTGAGTGTTCTCCTTTCAAAAGAGGCAGGTGGAATCTCCACGGTTGCTAATAGCATAACGTTGAAAGTGCAGGGAAATATGGGGAGCCCTAGAGCATCTGCTTGGCATGCAGAATGTCCCAGGGTCAACCCCTGACATCTCCAGCAAGGGCCGGATGAAATCCCTGCATGAAACTCTGGGGAGCTGCCAGTCAGTGTAGACCAGGCGTCCTCAAACTATGTTCCCTGGGCCAAATCCAGCCCGCCAGGGTCATGAATCTGGCCTGCACGGCCATTTCAGAACCCGCCAAGTGTCCGAGGCTGAAAGCATCTCGCCGCCCGCTCAGTCATTCCTCGCGCAGCACTGAGGTAAATGCCACTGGTGTGGTGGCAGCTCTACCAATGAAAGGCCAGGGGGTTTCGCCCGGGGACGGGGAAGTGTTGTCTTTTGGCTTGAAGAGGGAAGTTCAGGTTGGCGGAGGAAGGCAGACTTTGGTTTCGTTACGTAGAGGTTTACTTTAAAAGTGGGAAAAGGAATGCTCATTCATCTACAGTGGTACCTCGGGTTACATACTTAATTCGTTCCGGAGGTCCGTTATTAACCTGAAACTGTTCTTAACCTGAAGCACCACTTTAGCTAATGGGGCTCCTGCTGCCGCCGCACCGCCATAGCACGATTTCTGTTCTCATCCTGAAGCAAAGTTCTTAACCTGAAGCACTATTTCTGGGTTAGCAGAGTCTGTAACCTGAAGAGTATGTAACCCAAGGTACCACTGTATAGTCCTATTTCTGTGAATGGTGCAGCGGTCTTTCCACTCATGTGGTTTACATGCTCTGAAAGTTGGGATCTGTTTGGATATTTAAATTTTAAAAGGATGGAGCGGAACTAGATATTGATCATCTCTTTGGCCTGGGGAGCCACATTCTGGTTGAAGGAGGCCAGGACTGGCCCCCAAGGCTTGGGATGTCCCTCCTTCCCTGCCGTAGGACTTGGAATCCAGGAGAAAACTCTTGAAATAGCCTTTCCAGGTGCTCAGGGACGGACTCACCTGTCCCCATGTCCTTCTCTTTGCAGATGTGCAGTGGTTGCACATCCCTCCCCCAGGGGTGAGTATTGGAGAGAACCAGAGCAGGGACTCAGACCTGCCCTCCTTGCCCCCCACTCTGCACTCTCAGATGTGGAGAAGCCCTCCCTTCGTGAGGAATTGACAGCCTGACTTTTGCCTTTCAGCTGCTGGAGGAAGATCAGCTGTACCTGCCGGAGGTGATCCAGAACTGCCAGGCAGCTCAACTCACGGGGCTCTGAACCCTGAACTGCTCCAAGCAGGAGGCAGCCAAAGCCATCCTGATGAGTGATGGGAGGTGTGGGGGACCCCCATACATACATCAATATTTTGTTTGTTATTTGTTATTTACTGTCTTATTTCCTCCCAAACATTCCATACAAAACACACTCCCGCAGAAACACAAAAAATACAATAAAATAAATAGTGATAATAATGAAAATAAATATTTTCCCCCTTTTATCTTACAAAATCTTTTCTTCAGTTTTGACTTCCTATCAAGTCCCTTCGCATATATTTTATCTTACAATTGAATGTACACAAAACAATAAACCTTTCTATATAAATTTTCCAATAGATTCTGAAAACATAATAAATCCTTAATAGTTGTCCACCTTCTTTTAGTTCCTTTATCACTCGAATGCGAGCACGGAGTCAAAACTATTATTGTGTTTTTGAACATATCTTCTATAACCATCCCAGTTTTCCGCGATTTTTTGCTTTCAGTTTCCTCTGAGTTTACTAGTCAATTGAGCTGTCTCCACCAATTCCAGTAATTTGATTTGACAATCTGTTATTTTTGGAGCCTCCTGATTTTTCCATCCCTTGGCAACGAGTATTCAATGTCCATTCTCAAATATATATATATATATATATATATATATATATATATAATATGTTCCTCAATGTACCAAGCAAACACATATATCAATATATAAACCACATGTCCAAAACCCAGAAGAAAAGTCCTAAAGCCATTTTGACTCTTTCACTCACCTCAAATATTTCTCTACAAGGTCGAAGGAAATGCAGAAACCTCCCCATTGTCTCTGTCCTCACAAATCCTGCCTTAAGGGCACATTTAAGGTGTGAATAGGGTGAACCTGTGACCTGGCTCAGGAATGAAGTATTATCATTACAAGAGAATGGCCAGCCTCCCCAGGTAATCTAGTCAAGCGACCATTAACAGGTAACCTGGCAGAAAGGGTAAAAACAACACACTTCCACTGCGACCAGTGCTTTTCCCGTCATCTAGCAGAGTTTGCGAACAGCGATGTGGCCTGTGTGAAGAAAGCTCAGGCATGCAGAAAAAGACTCCGTACGCAGCTTCTTTCTAATCTAAGGAGCTTTATTGTACAGCGGCAAAATAAATCAGCAGTCTGGGAGAGAGAGCTGACATGTATTTCACATTACAAAGTGTACACCCCCCCCATGTGAACACACCCCCAGCGACAGGATATAACTTCCCGAGCTATTAACCCTATAAGCTCTGGGTCTCCTCACACCCCCTCTCATCCTGTACCGCTGGGGTGAATGTAAGCACTACCACTTACCCCAAACCCAACCCTTCACAGAACTTGCCCTGTTTTTGGAAGCTCAAAGGTTTAGTGAACCCATCTGCCAGATTCTTCTGGCTCGGACAGTACTTCAGCTTCACTAAGCCTGTCTGAACACTCTGACATGCATTTTGGAAACATATGTCCAAATGTTTGGTTCTGGACATAAACTGTCCAGACTCTGCTAACTTCAAACAGGGTTGATTGTCTTCCCAAATGTTGATGGGCAAGCAACACTCTCCACAGATCTCTTGGACCAAACATCACAGATCTCTTGGACCAAACACTTTAGAACTCTAGTTCCCTACAAAGCTCTGACAACGCACTGAATTCAGCTTCTGGTTTTTTTTACAAATGTCAATTTGAACATTTTTTTCCAATTTATTATATATCATTTCCCACAATTTTTAAACTTCTCTACATTTCCACCACATATGATAAAAAGTCTCTTCTTTTTCTTTACATTTCCAACATATGTTTGACTCGGTTTTATATATTTTTGCTTTCTGTACTGGTGTAATATACCATCTATACATTTTCCAACTACAGTGGTACCTCGGGTTAAGTACTTAATTCATTCCGGAGGTCCGTTCTTAACCTGAAACTGTTCTTAACCTGAAGCACCACTTTAGCTAATGGGGCCTGCCGCCACTGTGCGATTTCTGTTCTCATCCTGAAGCAAAGTTCTTAACCCGAGGTACTGTTTCTGGGTTAGTGGAGTCTGTACCCTGAAGTGTATGCAACCTGAAGCGTATGTAAACTGAGGTACCACTGTAGTTTTCTTTCAAAAGATAACAGTCTGTAAATTTCAAATTTCCTTTCCACAATTTTTCCCAGTCCTCAAATTGTATGTTATGTCCTATATCTTGTGCTCATTTGATCATGACCGATTCGACCTCCTCATCTTTTGTTCCCCATTCTAGCAAAATACTATACACTTTCTTCAGCACCTGCACTTCTTCTATAATTTCCTGTTGAAATCTAGAAAATGTATAACTAAACCCTTTCTTATTATCTTCCTTGTACAACTCATGTAATTGTCTGTAGTGTAACCAACTCTGCAAATGATCTTTTATTTCCTCATATTCTTTTAATTACCATTTCCCTTCAGCAAATCTATGTATGTAGGCCACGTCCCCTTTCTCTCTCTCTCCTGTATGAATTCTCTGATGGGAAAACAGAGAGGAGCTTTCACTGAAGCTCTTTCCACATCCCACACACTAATAGGGTTTCTCCCTTGTATGAATTCTTTGATGGAAAGTGAAAGAGGACCTCTGACTGAAGTTCTTTCCACATTCCACACATTGATATGGTTTCTCCCCTGTATGAATTCTCTGATGGGACGTGAGAGAGGAGCTATCAGTGAAGCTCTTTCCACATTCCACACATTGATATGGTTTCTCCCCTGTATGAATTCTTTGATGGGAAGTGAGAGAGGAGCTCTTCCTGAAGTTCTTTCCACATTCCATGCACTGATATGGTTTCTCCCCTGTATGAATTCTTTGATGGGAAGTGAGAGAGGACCTCTGATTGAAGCTCTTTCCACATTCCACACACTGATAGGGTTTCTCCCCTGTATGAATTCTCTGATGCTTAGTGAGATTGGAGCTCTTCCTGAAGCTCTTTCCACATTCCACACACTGATAGGGTTTCTCCCCCGTATGAATTCTTTGATGGGAAGTGAGAGAGGAGCTATCAGTGAAGCTCTTTCCACATTCCACACACTGATAGGGTTTCTCCCATGTATGAATTCTTTGATGGGAAGTGAGACTGTGGCTGTGAGTGAAGCTCTTTCCACATTCCACACACTGATAGGGTTTCTCCCCTGTATGAATTCTTTGATGGGAAGTGAGAGAGGAGCTATGAGTGAAGCTCTTTCCACATTCCACACACTGATAGGGTTTCTCCCCTGTATGAATTCTTTGATGGGAAGTGAGAGAGGAGCTATGAGTGAAGCTCTTTCCACATTCCACACACTGATAGGGTTTCTCCCCTGTATGAATTGTTTGATGGGAAGTGAGTTTAGAGCTATCAGTGAAGCTCTTTCCACATTCCACACACTGATATGGTTTCTCCCCTGTATGAATTCTTTGATGGAAAGTGAGAGAGGAGCTCTGAGTGAAACTCTTTCCACATTCCACACACTGATAGGGTTTCTCCCCTGTATGAATTATTTGATGGGACGTGAGAGAGGAGCTCTTCCTGAAGCTCTTTCCACATTCCACACACTGATAGGGTTTCTCCCCTGTATGAATTCTTTGATGGGAAGTGAGAGAGGAGCTATGTGTGAAGCTCTTTCCACATTCCACACACTGATAGGGTTTCTCCCCTGTATGAATTCTTTGATGGGAAGTGAAAGAGGAGCTATCAGTGAAGCTCTTTCCACATTCCATGCACTGATAGGGTTTCTCCCCTGTATGAATTCTTTGATGGGAAGTGAGACTGTGGCTGCGACTAAAGCTCTTTCCACATTCAAAGCACTGAAAAAGTTTCTCCCCTGTATGAATTCTTTGATGGGAAGTGAGATCGCAGCTCCTCCTGAAGCTCTTTCCACATTCTACACACTGATACGGTTTCTTTCCTGTATGAATTCTTTGATGGGAAGTGAGAGAGGAGCTCTGACTGAAGCTCTTTCCACATTCCATGCATTGATATAGTTTCTTTCCAAGGAGATTTTGTTGATGGGAAGTCGAACAGGAGCTCTGACTGAAAGTTTCCCCACACTCCAAATTTTTACATGGCTTCTCCTCTCTGGGGATTTTGTCGTGGTCACCTTTGTTCTCGATTTCCAATTCCTCACAATCTGCATTGGGGACAAAAAGGGATTAGAGCCTCAGGAACAAATGGAGAAGATCTGAAGGGAGTTGGGTGTGTGTTCATTACCTGTGTTGTTTGTTTATTATGAGATTCTGATGAGTTGTTGAATGTTGCTTTGTTATACAGTCGTGGTCAAAATTGTGGACGACTTCCAGAAAAAAGTGTATTTCAGAGGTTTGATGGCTCAAAACACCACTTCTTTTGGAGTAATATCATAAAATTATATATCAATGGAAAGATAATTTAATCAAGAATGTAATCCAACAAAGTTTGTTCAATTACCTGTATTTTATCAAACGTTATAGCCAATAACCAAGAAAGGAAGCACAACTTGCTTAGGTTGACTTTTTTCAGTGTGTTATGTGATTGCTATCAAGTTGGTTGGTTTTTTGTCTTCTTTCATTTAGTGAGGTTGTAAAACATAATAAAATTATAGAAATGGCACAAAGAGTTGACTGGTCACCCAGAAAGCAATGTAAGATTCTAATATTAAGTGAACAAGGCTACAGTTATGAAGAAATTAGATGAAAGATTGGGGAAAACAAAACCAAAGCTGGCCTTTCTATATTTTTGAAGGGGTATAAGGAGACTCAGTCACTACAAAATCTGACTGGTAAAGGCAGGAAAAGGTGCACAAAGGCAAGTGACGATCGAAGAATGGAGAGACTGTCCCTACATGACAGAAGAAAATCATCTGGGTGTATACAAGATGACATGGCGCAATTTAATGGGAAGTTGAGTGCAAGGACTGGTCTAAATGTTAGAATTCTAAGGAAAAAGCCATTGTTATCTCTCAAGCATAGGTTGAAAAGATTAAACCCATGTTAACTGGACAGCGGAACAATGGGACACTACCTTGCTTTGTAGTGATGGCATGAAATACGCAAGTTTCTTTAACTGGAGAAGAGGAGAAGAATCAGAGAAGATTTACATCCTACTTGCATTACACCGACTGTGAAACACCCAGACAGTGTGATGATCTGGGGTTATATGGCAGCAAAAGGTGTGGGCAGAATTTGCGTCATTAATGGGAATGTTGAGCCCAAACTGAAGCGTTCCACAAGTGATCTTTTCCCAAATACTGAAGCATTTCTATATATATTTATACAAATCTTTCTTTCTTTCTTTCTTTCTTTCTTTCTTTCTTATTTCAACAGGATTCAGTTCCATGAATGTTCCATGCTGTGTGCAAAAGGTGCTTTAAAGATAATCCTATTGCACTGCTGGAATGGCTTGGGAATAGCCCAAACATTAACCCAATCAGAAATCTATGGCGCCAACTGTGGTGTTTGTACGGAGCCCCCAGTCATCTCACGGACTATTGACCCGTACACCACTAATCCACTGCCACCAACCAGTTGGCCAGTTAAAACAAAATGGAATCCAGCATAGATGGGAATTTCCAGAAGGAATTTCCTTCTATTACAAAGACAAGAGGTTCAAACTAAGTAGCCTTCAGGATCTGGAAAAATTCTCCAGAAGATATGATAAAGAGTTGGGAAAAGTGGAGAAGGTAAGACCAGGACAAGACCAGTCTGAAGAGGAGAAAAGGAGAGGGGAAGAAGAGGAAGAGGAAGAAGAGGAGAAATAAGAAGAGGGAGAAGAGGAAGAAGAGGATAATAATAACAAGGACCCCCAAGTTTGATAGTAGACTTAAACAAACCAGAAAAAGGCTCTGAAAATACTTTCATAGAATGTGAATGGACTTAAAAATAAAAATAAAAGGCACAAAATCAAACCTGTCTTGATTAAACGGAATTTAGATATAACCTGTTTACAGGAAACACATGTCGCAAGGAAACATAAGAGGATTTTAAGAACTAAAAGATTGGGGAAAGACTTTATTGCCTCAGACACAAACAAAAAAAAAAGGGGTTGTATTGTACATAATGGAGAAATATGACCCAAAATTAATTTATAAAGATGAGGAGGGGAAAGTGCTGATAGTGCAAATTACGTTCCAGGGGGGAAAGATAATCATTGTGGGAATCTACGCACCTAATGACAAAAAAGCCGACTTTTATTCGAAGCTCAATGAAACATTATCAGAATTTTTGGATCACAGAGTGATAGTAATGGGGGATTTCAACAGTGTGGTTATTCCAGATTTGGATAGATCAACGAAAAGGTGAGACACAAATGAAGGTAAACTACCAAAAACATATTTTGATATATCAGACACTATGGGGCTAACAGATATTTGGAGACTTAGAAATCTCGCAACAAAACAGTTCACATTCTTTCCAGGTCCAAATCCAAGCTTTGGTAGAAAAAATTACATTTGGACTTCTAATGAATTGGTGCCAAGAATTTCCAAAATTGAGATTCTCCCAAGGACATTATCAGAACATAATTCGTTATATTTGGAGTTAAAAGGAAAAGACCCTTCATCATTCAGATGGAGGATGAATGAAAGTTTATTCAATGACCAAAAGATAGTAAATTAGGCAAAAGAGACAATTACAGAATAAGTGGAATTTAAACAAAGGAACACCCATTGAAACAGTATGGGATGCACGCAAAGCTGTAATGAGAGGATTCCTGATCCAAAAGAACAGTTTTCAGAAAAGAGGAAGGGAGAAGAAGAAAGAAGAAATCCTGGCCCATCTCATGGAGAATGAGAGACTGCTGACAATAAAACCAAAAGATGAGCTAATAAGACAAAATATTAAATTGTTGCAGACTCAGTTCTCTATGTTGGTGAGTCAGGATGTAGAGTGGAAAACAAAAACAATGAGACAAAGGAATTTTGAATCCGCCAACAAAACTGGAAAATTATTGGCGTGGCAATTAAAGGCAAGACAAAAACAAAACACAATTTGTAAGATAAGAGAGGCAGAAAACATCATTGAAGACCCCAAAGAAATTAGAAAGACCTTTCTGAAATTTTATAAAGATTTGTATAAGACAGAGAAAGAAGATGGTAAGAAAATAGAAAATAGAAAAGTCATCAATTACAGCAGATCCCCCCAGGAGAAAAGGAACAATTAAACCAGATAATTACAGAACAAGAAATTGAGAAGGCGATAAAGAGAATGAAGATAGGGAAAGCTCCAGGCCCTGACGGCATTTCGGCAAAATATTATAAGACACTGGTGGACCATTATTACCTGTGCTGTGTGAGGTTATGAATAACATTTTGAAGGAAGGGAAAATTCCAAATACCTGGAAAGAGGCGTACATCACTTTAATCCCAAAGAAAGATACAGATGGTTTGAGTGTTAAAAATTATAAACCTATTTCCTTATTGAACAATGACTATAAATTATTTGCGGATGTGCTGGACAGATTAAAAAAACTTTTAAAGGAAGTAATACATAAAGATCAAGCTGGTTTCCTACCAGGGCGACAACTGAAGGACAATGTTAGGAACATAGTGGCTATAATTGAGTACTTGGGAGTCTAGAAATGATAAACAAGCGGCCTTGGTGTTCATTGATGCAGAGAAAGCATTTGATAATGTTTCGTGGCGGTTTATGAAAGAAAACCTAAAAACAATGGGAATAGGAGAAATGTTTTTGAAAGGTATTGAGGCTATATACTCAGAACAAAAAGCCAAACTTATTATAAATAATAATTTGTCTGACAACTTTGAAATCTCTAAAGGTACCAGGCAGGGTGTCCTTTGTCGCTCCTTTTGGTGGTATTAAACAAGAATTTGAGAGAAGTGTCAGAAATCAGAGGTATTAAGGTGGGATCGAAAGAGTTTAAAGTAAAAGCGTTTGCTGATGATTTAGTTTTAACATTAGAAGACCCAAAGAACAGTGTACAAAAAGCCCTAGAGAGAATGGAGGAATTTGGAAAAGTTGCGGGATTAAAACTCAATAGAAATAAGACCAAAATGCTGGTAAAAAATATGAATAAAGAAGAGACAGAGGAATTGCAACACAGGACAGGAATTATGGTGGTTAAGAAAGTGAAATACCTTGGAATTTGGTTGACAACAGGGGAAAAAATTGTATAAAGATAATTATGAAACCACATGGAGAGAGATTAAGAAGGATTTAGAAATTTGGAACAGTTTGAAATTATCCTTTTTGGGCAGAATATCGGTGATTAAGATGAACGTTTTACCTAGAATGTTATTCTTATTCCAAACAATTCCATTGATTAAAGGGACAGGACAATGTAGAGAATGGCAAAAAATAGTGTCAAGATTTGTCTGGCAGGGAAAGAAGCCGAGGATCAAAATGAAAATGTTGATAGATGAAAAAGAAAGAGGTGGATTTGCCTTACCAGGTATGAATCTCTATTATGAAGCATCCTGTCTCGTATTGTTAAAGGAATGGATAACATTGGAAAATACGGACCTATTGGATTTAGAAGGTCATGACAACAGGTACAGGTGGCACTCGTACCTGTGGTATGATAAGGTAAAAGTTCTTAAAGGGTTTTTTTTTTTTTTGAAAATAATTTTTATTGAAGTTTTAAACAACGAAGAAAGAAAAAGAAGAACATACACAATACATATCTAAAAAAAAAATAAAAAAAATGATTACAAAAACACAATTCAACAATAAAAAACAAAAAACATAACAATTAAAAACAATATCTCTTTTCCATTTCCGTTTTTTTAATTTACTTATTTTCTGGACTTCCTCATACCTCCCTCTTTTGTATTCCAATCCAAATTGTTTGTCCAGCAATTTCTTTTCAACTTTTTAAATCCCAATCTTTAACTTTAATATAATATTGTAATATATAACTTCAACTTCTTTAAACCTGATCTTTAATCTTAGTATAATATAACATTAAAATTTTCCCTCTTAATTGTCAAATTTCCATTTCTTTAAACATCTTTAATCCTAATCTTAATCTTAGTCTATCATTAACTTTAACCTGTACAGCTGGAAACCGCTTATTTTCAGTCCAACATCACTCTAACATTCTTTAATTTTGCAATGTTTCTGAAGATAGTCTTTGAATTTCTTCCAATCTTCCTCCACCGACTCTTCTCCCTGGTCACGGATTCTACCAGTCATTTCCGCCAGTTCCATATAGTCCATAAGTTTCATCTGCCATTCCTCCAGCGTGGGAAGTTCTTGTGTCTTCCAATATTTTGCGATGAGTATTCTTGCTGCTGTTGTTGCATACATAAAGAAAGTTCTATCCTTTTTTAACACCATTTGGCCGACTATGCCCAGGAGAAAGGCCTCTGGTTTCTTAGCTTAAAGGTTTTTTAAACCATGTGATCAGAAGGTCAATTTATGAAGTATGGGAAAGAAACAAATATTTATTGGAAAGGAAAGCCCCATGGTGGATATCGCCAATAGAGGTACTGACAGTTAAAAAAGTAAATATGGAAGGAAGGTGAGCCACCTATGAGGAAATTATTAGAAAAATGGAACAAGGGTTAAAACTTAAACCATAAGAGTAAAGAGAGGGCATGTTTACAGGTTGGTTGCAATACCATCAGGTGAATGATATATTGAGTGAGGATAAAAGGAAAGCCGGGTTTAAGGATAAAAAAATCAAGATTTCAGTTAGAATTAGAGGAAGGCAGAGGTAGAATACTATCTAAGATATATGATTTGTTATTAGAATGGTTTCAAAAGTTGAAGAGGTGAAAGAAGCAATGATAAAATGGGATATAGATTTTAGGCATACTATTGAACTGGATGCATGGCTAAAATTATGGAACAAAAGTATGAAATTCACGGTGTGTACGGCTTTAAAAGAAAATTTAATGAAGATGATATATAGGTGGCATTTGACACCAGTAAAACTGGCAAAAATGTATAGGATGAGGGATAAGAAATGCTGGAAATGTAAAAAGGTGGATGGAGACTTCTATCATATGTGGTGGACTTGTGATAAAGTCAAGAATTTTTGGGAGTTGATCTATAATGAACTTAAGAAAGTACTTAAATATACCTTTCCCAAAAAACTAGAGGCTTTTTTGTTGGGTTTGATGGGGAAGGAGGTTAAGAAAACAGACCAAATGCTATTTATGTACGCCACAGCGGCAGCAAAGAATATATTGGCCCAAAACTGGAAATTACAATACGTTCCCACCATTGTGGAGTAGCAGACGAAAA